GCCATTGCTAATCATGCTGTCACGTTGCTCGGCGAGGCCGAGCTGGCTCTTCAACTTCTCAATCTCACGCTCTAGTTCTTCTTCTCGGTAAGCCTTGCGTTCCACAAGACCACGAAGCTCTTCCTTTTCGCGCTCCAGGCGCTGTGCGTCTGCCTTTGCTTGTGCAAGCTCTTCAGCGTCCACAGCAGGGCCTTGTGGTGATAGAGGCGAGCGAACACGCTCGTCCCCACCGGAACTCAAGGAATGAATAATGGCTTTGAGTCCTCGGATTTCGTCGTCACGTTGCTCTACCTCTCTTTGGCTTGGGCTTTGAGGCGTATCAACCATGGCACCCGCGCCCTTGAGAGCTGCAGCAGCCTTCTCTCGCTCACGACGAAGCTCTGATCGGCCACGCTCCACTTCACCCCTGAGGAACTCCACTTCCCCTCGAGCTTCTGCCTCGCCTCGACGCGCATCTTCCAGGCCTTCTTCAAGCTCTTGCACAAGCTCCTCGAGTTGCTTCAGCTGCATAGCGACAGTCTCAACATCTTCAGTACGAGACTGGTATTCTCGCAGTTCTTCAGTCAATTCCTCGACCTTCTTTTCGTATACTCGCTCAGTTTCGGTGCTGGCTAGTTCGAGAGTGTCAATGGTGCTTCGGAAATCAGAGCGATGTGCGTCAAACTCGGATGTGAGCATGGCAATCTTATCGTTCTTCTCTCGCAGAAGTGCTCGTAATTGTGCAACATCAGTGGGCTCGTTGCTGCCATGAGCCGACCCCATGTCCATTCCATCTTCTGGTATCAGGCTCTGGATCTCGGCAAGGCTTGCCTCCATTTCGCTCAGCGATGCAGCCTGCTCTTTCAGTTGTCTCTCTCGCTCATCCAAAAGCGCCTGTAGCCGCTGCACCTCTTCGCTAGGAGAGGAGCCCAGCCGCGAGCCGGGGCGGCGATGTTTGTAACTGGATATGGAATCATTGCTTGTGCGCGCTGCGCCGATGGGGGTTGTTTCGGTGTCTTCTTCAATAATATCTTGCTGGCCAACGCGAGAGCTGCTCCGCGAGTAGGATCGCTGGGGGCCGGGTGTCCGTGGCTTCTGCAGGGGAGGAGCCCTCGGGGCAGGACTGGCAAAGCGAGGAGGGGCTGGGCTTGCAAATCGCGGGGGTGCGCCGATTGCGCTCTTGGAGAAGCCAGAGGGTGTGCGCGAGCCACTGCGAGCCGGCGAGGCACTCAAGCCTTGCTTCTGACGATAGGGCGATTCAGGGCGTGCAAAGGAGCGGCCCAGGCTGGATTTGCCCTGGGGACTGGTTGCGCGGACACCGGGTCCGATGGATTGGGAGAATTGCGACTTTGGCGCATCGTGGCCGAAGTTGGGTTTTTCGGTGGTGGAAAGGCTGAAGTTGGGGTACGAAGGTGTGACTGGCTCAGGCGCAAAGTCAGATGAGCCTCCTGAGACCCGCTTTTGAGCGCGATGCACAGGGAGGAAGATGCCGGAGTTGGGGATCGAAGTATCAAAGTACTGTGTGCTGTGTCGCCATCAGTGCATGTGCCCAGGAGTGTGTTCAGAAGAGCGGTGGGCATGCGTACCCATCGACGGAGCCGTTATTCTTGCCCCGCGCGGCGTATTCTCTGTTGAGTTCGACGCCGGCGAAGACTCCTTGCTTGCCGCGGATGCTGCCGACAAACTTGACGACACCGACCATGCCACCAGGGACATCTACGGTGTCGCCTACGTCAATGTCCTGGCCGTCGGCGCCCATGCGGTGTGCTGGCGAGTTTCCGCCTACGAGTGCTGAGAGGGAGGCTTGTCGGGCCATGTTTTTGCTGGCGGCGTTTAGGTTGGGCGATGAGGCAGTGGGATGTAGCATAGGTCGCGCCCCAAGGCGGCGGGGAGTCTGGGGATAGGCCATACCAGGGCGTTGTTTGTCGCAGGGTAGACCTGTTCCTTAGTGTAGGGTAGGTTGGACAGACCAAGGACGGTGTTTGTTTTGATAAGAGGGGACTACAGGGGTCTGGACAGCCAAGTCATGGGCGACGGTAGAGCGTGATTATTTAACCGACAGCTGCCCAATGAATTGCGATCATCCCATTTGGGCGACATGGCGCTCCTAATTGTTCTTTATGCGCCCCGTCCCGCGTTCCCCTGGATGTGGACGCCTATAAACTCTGCGGCTTGACGCCTTGGGGAAATGTCTTTGCAAGGCCTACTACGCTCAACAAGGCCGCATCACGTCACCCAGGCCTAGTGTGTGATAGGGCCGGCCATCACCAACCGTCGGTCCTTGGTACCAGAATGGATCCAATAAAGTCTACAGCACCAGTCTGCGGTTGCCCTTAGCATGGCAGACAGGCCCTCTCTGATGCATGCTAGCCGGCTCAACACACAGAGAGGGTTGACAGTTGTCAATTGTGACACCTCAGGGGTTTTGACACGACAAGTCTGCAATCAAAAGCTGACCCGTCTTTACAGGGGGTGGTAGAGGATAGGTGTGAGGATATACATTTCCATCTACGTGGACACGATCAGCACATTGGCCTTGTCCAAGGAAAAGGAAAACGTGTGATGAGCCGTGGACCGTACGTTGAAGTGGGAGCCGTGCCTTTGCCCACAGACCCGCGAGCTGGCCCTTGCGTGCCGAACATGCGCAAACGCGTGGGCACGTGAGGCCATATCGCCCAGACAAGCACTTCCACAAGTTCCCCTGGCTACCTGCCTGGATGCAGACAAGCTCGCTGGAAATACTCCATCATGCTATTAAGTAGATGGATACACTGTATCTGCTTTCACTTATTAGAGTGCGTGCTATTACGAGCATCCGTTTCAGATTGAGGCAAGGAATATGGATAGTGGCATGACAACCACCACAACGAAAAAAAGGCTTTTGGAATCAGTCACGGATATCATTGACCCAATTCGCAAGGAAACATAACTCCTTTTTCATGTTGAACTGTATTGAACGAGTCTTTTTTCCGATACTCATGCTCATCCCGATTGAGCTCGTTGCGGAGATGCAGCCACTCCCGACTCGCCGAGCCAGATCCCCCCATGTCCAACAATTGCCGAGGCTCATGGCTCGGTGATGCTCAACCGCGCCAGCTACATCACTGTGCGCCCGCGCTTGCCATGCGCTCTCTCCAGACGCACCCACCATGGCTGGCAATGTTCGGCAGCCCATTGATGTAGCCTCCTTGGAGCGCTACATCGAGGCTCATGTTCCTGAAATCAAGGTTCCCTTGGACGTAAAGCAGGTGCGTGTGTAGTCGAGCGGGAATCAAGCTTGACCCAAGGAACACGATTTGCTAATATAGAAGCTAGTTTGGCTATGGACAATCGAATCCGACATACCAGTTGACGGATAAGACCGGAAAGAAGTATGTGCTGAGGAAGAAGCCTCCGGGCCAGCTGCTGTCAAAGGTACATACACTTCTACATATCAGTCCTCTTTCCAACACCGAGAAAAAGAAAGTTAATCTAATTGCTTGCTCGCAGACTGCACACAAAGTCGATCGTGAATACCGCATCATCCATGCACTGGAGAACACAGATGTCCCTGTTCCACGAGCACTATGTCTCTGTCAAGACGAAAAGGTCATCGGCACCGACTTCTACATCATGGAGTTTCTCGATGGCCGCATCTTCGAAGACCCCGTCCTTCCTGACGTAACCCCAGAGGACCGAACAAAAATGTATGCTCTGAACACACCCAGACACTCCTTCCAAACTCCGAAACATTAACTAACCTGCCTGTAGGTGGCACTCCGCAATCACCACCCTCGCAAAATTCCACCGCGTATCCCCCTCCTCCGTAAACCTCGCCTCCTACGGCAAACACTCGGGCTTCTATACCCGCCAAATCGCAACCTTCAACACAATCTCGCAATCCCAAGCCTCAGCCAAAGACAAAGAAACCGGCGAACCCGTCGGCAAAATCCCGCATCAAGACGACATGGTCACCTTCTTCAGCGACCACCGCACCCAACCAAAGGACCGCGCAACCTTCGTCCACGGCGACTACAAAATCGACAACGTCGTCTTCCACAAAACCGAACCCCGCGTCATCGGCATCCTAGACTGGGAAATGAGTACAATCGGCCACCCGCTGTCTGACCTCAACAACGTCATGTCCCCGTACATCACGGCGTCCAGCCAGACTGCAATGTCGATCGGGCGTGCGCACCAGGGCTTTCAACCAGGTGCTACACCCGGCTTGCCCACCCGCGAGCAGCTTATCACGTGGTACTCCGAGGTAGCGGGATGGGATCCGCGCCCGGATTTCACCTGGGGGAATGCGTTTAGTACGTATCGGCTTGCGATTATCATGCAAGGTATTGCGGCGAGGTATGCGTTGAGGCAGGCGAGTAGTGCGCAGGCGCAGGAGTATGGGCAGATGATGAGGCCGTATGCTGAGATTGCGTGGGAGTTGGTGCAGGAGGTTAAGAGGGAGAATGAAAAGGCTAAGTTGTAGGCGTGGGTTCTTTTGGGGGGTGTTTGTGTCTGGTTGTCTGTAGATCAATTTTAAAATGCAATGAAAAGAAGCCATGTTTTGAGTACCTAGTGGAGAAGTTGTTGCTTTCTTTGATTTCGATGTTGGCAATGCAGATTGTCTGAAGCCCATGGCACTGATTTTATTTCTTTCTCTATCAACCGTATGACTCGGATCCTACTTGCGCTCCCCTCAAATGCTCAATTACTGTTCCCTCGGCTGTCATCATATTGAGGGTACTATATCGCGTAAATAATCCAGTCTGTCAACACAGATATCGTGCAAGAAGAACAATAAAACACTGTCCTCTGTAAATAGTAAACTGCTCGGGACAAGGGAGATGCAGGCGATGAAAAAGAAAAGGGAGGTGGAGGGAGCCTGGTAAAGGCATGCCCAATAGTTTCTTTTCGCGCCTCAAACGCCAGATGCGCCGTTTAATAATCTTCCCATACTCTGTGCCATGTCGCTTTCCGCTCTGACGCTTGGTCCAATATATCGCTGACTTTTGCTTCCTCGTGGCGGGTCGTATACACGCTCTTTACCGTCCGATCTTAGGGACGTCCTGGTTGATACGGTCGAGAGCCTAGAGCAGGTTAGTTAGCTTATGATCCACCGTATTTCTCATGGATACAGGGGAATTCGTACCTCAAGCATGACTACGGCGTTTCCGCGAATGACGACCATGCCGATGCGCACTTTCTCACCGCCTGCCTTTTCTTCAAGCGCTTCGTCGAGGACAATGTTTAGGTAGACCTGCACGGTGTGAGCTTTATTTGGTGAGATTGGGGAATGCTGGATTGGACTTACGTCGTATCCACGGAGGATTCCCATGACTTTGCGACTGCCGTTCAACTGCACGAGGACGCGCTTCTCCAGGTACTTTGGCCAGGTTAGTAAGAGTAGATTCTGGACAGCAATTCGTAGTTTACCTTCTTCAACTCGGGCTGTGCTTGAGGCATATTGGGAGCGGTGGTATAGCGATGGGGTCTGTTTGTTGTGTAGGCGGTGAGTGGGCGTTTAGGTGACTACGCTTGTGTCGGTCGTGGGTAAGCTGGGTCGCGCGTGGTGTTCGACGAGCAAGAGCAACTACTACACATGGTGGGAGAGCTCTGGGGCTTTTTGCGGAGGGCCCGTGCACAGGCACCACCACCGACATGTGAGCGCGACCACTAGTCTTCCTCTACAAATCCTCCACGGACTTGATCTGATTTTAAGAGCATTGGGAAATAACAAGAAACCACCAAACATGAAAAGATCTAGTTCTACGCGTGTAGCGCGCAAAATCGGCAGCTACGATGACGACGAGTCCGCCGACAGCACCAATAGCTCGCAGAGTGAAGTACAGAAGCCTACAGGTTAGTCGTACATTCTTCGCGATTACCAGCCTTTCTGACGTTGGGGAAACTTGCAGCGAACCTTTCCAGGCCCATGTGAAAAAGCTGGCAAAGGCTCTGTGCTAACTAAGCCTTGTAGTCGTCAAGCGGCCTGCGCTTGGTAAAGCAAAGAAGCGCTCTTCTCTACGCATGTCGTTTGGTGCTGGCGACGAAGCGAACAATGGCGAAGAATCAAGCGATTCAGCGGTTATGACTCCGAAGAAGGCGAACCTCAGTCGCATAGCACTGGAGAAGAGTGCACAACTTCGGGCCCGCTCACCACTCGTATCGGAATCTGCGAAGCCGACCGAATACAGCAAGGATTATATTGCTGAACTACGAAATTCGACACCGTCAACGCCCAGGGACCTCAAGATATCCGCTGAGGAAGAAGAGGAGATTCGCGCGCTGGATATTGCGGCCAAGTTTGGGCCTGTCGCGTCACTCGAGGCGACGTCATCTGCGATTCCTACCGAAGCAGAGATACGGGAAAAGAAGGCGCGGAGGCGGCGCTTAGCACACGAGGAAAATGCGTATGACGACGAAGATGCAGCCTGGGCATCCGACGACCAAGGGGAGGACGAGTTCAGACAACACAGAGATAAGATTTCCCTTCGACCCAAGGACAAATGGGGAGAAACCCGCCTAGTCCACGACGACGAAGACATTGCCGAAGGCTTCGACGACTACGTAGAAGACGGCAAAATAGCCCTCGGTCGCAAGTCCGAAAAGGAAGCCCAGCGACGACGGCGTGCCGAAATGGCCGAACTCATCAACGACGCAGAGGGCTCCTCAGGAGACGATGGCTCCGACGACTCCGACGAAGACCGCAACGTCGCATTCGCTACAGCCCAAGCTCGCGCAGGTCGCTACGGCCAAAAAGTAGACGAAGACGACGACGGCACCAGAACGCCTCCTCGCATCACGCCTCTCCCAGATCTCAACGACATCCTCCAGGGCCTCACCATCGACATGGAAGCCCGAAAGCAAAGAAAAGCACTGCTTCTCCAGAAAATGCAAGATCTCAAAGACGATAAAGTAAGGATTGAAGAGCGCAAAAAGTATCTCCAGGAACAACTCCAGAAGACGGGCGAGGAATACGAAAAACTACGCCAGGAATCCGGTCTACCGGCTTTGCCCACTAATACTTTGGAGGGAGGAGGTGGTGCTAGGTTGATTACAGAACGAGGCTTGGATAGTCTGGGGACTACGCCGCTGGGTGGTACACCGTTGGGTGGCACGCCGCTGGCGAACCGATCGAGCGAGGATTCGGATTGAGTAGCGTGTTTCTTTTTTCTTTCTTGAATTGAATAAAAGAGGGACCTTTTAGGTTATGTGTAATCGTACATTTATTTCTCTCCCCCCTTCCATGTGCCGTGCTCCGTGACGCCTAATTCCCATCCCATATTTACAAGAACTCCATCCAATGTCCTTTTCCTCATCCTGTATTCTTACATCCCCCCTCCCCCCCTTCCCCTTCCTTTTCTGCGTGCGAGCTACGCTCGCAACTATTTATTCTCGTCCAACTCCCTCCACACCTTCTGAATCCTCTCCCTCTTTTCTTTCGCCGCCTCGCGATTCTGGCGCGTGCGCTCAAGCCGGATGCCGCGCAGACACATGTTGACCTTGTGCTTGGCGTCGGTGCAGTTGCCGGTTACTTTCCAGAGGAAGCCGTGGGCGTGGCATTCTTCGAGGGCGGCGACGACGTCGGCGCAGTCTGAGTTGGGTTGGTGTTAGCTTGGGGTGTGTGTGCTGGGGAGGGGGAGGGGAGGTTTACTTTTTTGGACTTCTTCGGTGTGGAGGTGGGGGTGCATTGTTAGGCTCGGTATGTAGGGGTGCGGAATAGGATGTGTTTCGTTGTTGCTGTCGTATGCAAGTGAGGTTCGTGGTGGGTAGCTGTGGTCCAGAGCGTAGGTGTAGTAGAGCCAATCCGATCTCTGGTTTCTTGGACGAATCGCACGAGATCTCAGCGTAGTAGTTACCCTAACGTTAACACCGTACGTCCGAGCGCGTCTTTCTTCGGCCTTGCGCTCGCAACGTCGGTTTCGATCAACAACGCTTGCTTAATTCTCGCGGACAGATTAGCCATACGCAAATTTAGCGTATCCGTCTGTGAATAGAATTTCATCTGCGTGGCTGTGAGTGCACTGCATTGGCCATTGCACGATCTTTTTTCTCTCATTCTTTCTCCCGAGTTCCCCGCAACCCAGAGTGGGCGTCTCTCACCCGCCACCCCAAGTTCGCCATGACGTCTCAAGCACAGCTGAAGAAGCAACAAGGTATACCTCACAATCTCTATTTTCGAAAAGTAATTTCAGGTAAGCTAACACGAAGACAGAGCTCCAAACAACGTACCAGAATTACAAAAACACGTTACAAACCATTGCCTCCAAAATCGGGGATATTGAGCAAGAATCCGAAGAGCACAAGTAAGTTTTCCATGATTTGCATAGCGTGCTCAAACTTCAGTCACCTGCCCCTTCTCAATCACACCGCTTGTTCGGTGGCTCGGCGACTCCAACACCCCCTCCTTTGAGGAGATTGTCTATTCTTTACAGAAAGGAGCAGGATGCCTGAGTTGTGTCATGGAGTCAATGAGAATCATTAACTGATGTATACTAGACTCGTACTCGAGACGCTGCAGCCGCTTTCGGGAGACCGGAAATGCTTCCGCATGATCAACGGCGTCTTAACTGAGCGGACGGTCAAGGAGGTGGTGCCTATTCTGCAGACTAACTCGGAGGGCCTGAAGAAGGCGCTAGAAGAGCTAGTCAAGCAGTACAAGTCGAAGCAGGATGAGATGGAAAAATGGAAGGTACGTGTGTCTGTTGTGTGAGAAAGAGAGTTACATATGACGACTGAGACTATGATCTGGAGTTGGGAACGGACGGCTGACTTTGCCACTACAGAAGAAGAACAACATTCAGGTTGTTCAGCAGCCTGGACAGTAGACTGGTGTCCGGATCATGCGGCACCCCTTTGACAGGGAGGGTACACGACGTATGCTTGGTTCCACATGGGATACTACCAGCATCAAGGCGGCAGAATCTCGGCCACCAGAGTCAGAACAGATGCAGACAGGCCATGACGGAAGAATGAAAAGTGTTCCGGTTCGGAGAGCAAGGCCGTAGTGTGTAAGGAGTGACTCGATGATGAGATGTTAGTACAGCATGTCACGATATGACAGCATAGCTTTCCCCACAGCAATTCAAGAAGCACCCATGAAGGAGGGCATATGTATATAACCCCCGTACTATAGCTTTGGCAACGATGTGTGTGTGTGTAAAACTTGAAATGTGACGGGGGGAGCCAGGCACAGCATGGCTAGGCAGTGCAATGGTCGACGACATCGATAGTCGTGTGTGCCCCCACATACCACATGGACTACCCACTGGTTGTATGTATGTAGGCATGATTTGACGAATGAAAAAGTGCCGAAGAAAGAGGGAGCGTGGGCTTGGAGGCCGAGTTTGCAGCCGACCAGCACGTGCTCCCCACTCTAGGCGGGCCTTCTGCACGATGAGCTGTCGAGTTGGCTTTCAGTCGAGCTGACGCACCGATCTACGACCATGGTACCATGACCGTGGACACGTAGCTCATAGGGTACCGGCAAAGCTGGCTGCAAGGAGAAGGCGAACGGTGAGGTTCAGAAGCCGTTTGCGGCTAGGGAGGGGACGTCATCTAGCGGTGGGTAATAGTGAAGCTGATAGCAAGGCTGTACTTACATGCAACCGAGCCCAACAAGAGAGATTGAGGGATTGCCGTCTGCATGTGGCTGGGATTGTGCTGAGGATAAGGTGTGATGATGGGAAAAGCAATACTAGGAGTGGAGTAGACTTGGCGTGGTGGTGTATGTAAGTGCGTGGGAGAGGATACTCGTCTAATTGCTGCTCTAGTGACAAGAGCATGTTTGCATTCGGGTAGAGAGAGAGAAGAGCAAAGTGGAGTCTGAGCATCTCAAATGGGGAAAAAGAGGGACTTGCAACGTGGGATAGCGTAGGGCTGTCGAATAAAAGGTGGTGGCATGGCTTGCATAGAGGATCGCCGACTAGCGCCTGGGTGTTGCAGCTGTGCTTCTGACGACAGGCCGGAGGACGGCATGGCGATGGTGATGGCGAGGTTTGCCGGCAGTAGCCCGTGGCCGTGGACTGGACCGAGACGGGTCGGGATGAAGCCGGGTGAGGCAGAGGCAGTTGGAGAAGAGCCATGGAGAGGAGAGAATGGCTCGGGGCGGGCCGAGCATGGTGGGCGCAGGCGCATTGATGGCGGGAGTGGTAGTGGTAGTAGTAGCAGCAGTCGCAGCAGTAACATGACATAGCAATGGCAGTCAATGCACCGTCTCTCCGCGCGCAACTCCGGCCAACGTCCAAGCTTGGCCGCGCCCCCCCATCTTCGGGCGTCCTGAGCTTCGCACCCCATATCATCTCCTCGCGCTCCTATTGGCAGGCGCGTCCCCAGCTGCTTCTCACCTCCATTCGCGACAAAGGCGTACAGCTCCCGGAATCCATTGACTCGACCCGAATCACGGCCCTTTGCTCCAACTGGACCTTCTCCCCCAGCGACTTCTTGCATCCCGTCCCACCGCTAATCCATCGCCACGGCGGACCGCCATCGTCGCACCGACTATCAGGCCGCCGCCGCAAGGCATACACACGACTCCGCCATCTCTCTGCTCGCCCCTCGGTTTACGTGTAAGTCAGCCTGTGTCTGTCTGTCTGCGTGCGTGTCCATGTGAGAGAAAGAAAGAGAGAAAGAGACATCCAGAAAGAGAAGGAGCGACCAAGCCCGTCTGGGTCGCACCTGCCTCGCCCATCGCCCATGGCCCGTCGCGCCTTCCTCGTCTGGTTGTTGTTGATGGCTGACTGATGACCGACCAACTGACTGACTCCCAGCAGTTCGCGTGCCGTCGAGCCTCTCCACTCGGTCGCCGCCACCGTCGTAGTACGTCGTCAGCAGCAGCAGCGGCAGCTTCCCAGCCTCCAAGCTCCCAAGCTATCTCCGCCTGCACCTGCTGCATGCCACTAACCGTTTCCCTTGCTCACCACCCTCGTTACACCAGTGACCCCCCAGCCTGCATACTCGGCCGCCAACTCGCCCCATCGTCTCTCCCAGTGACGTGGTCGCCAACGAAATAGTCGCCAGCGCATACGCTTGCCGACCGCGCAACCGCTAATATGTCGGCCTCTCCCCCAAAGCAGGAGGGCGTGGAACCAGTCCAGTCGCCTGACGAAGAACAGCCCATGGACCGGAACACAGAAGAGAACACAGCCCAGATAGGTTACGAGTTCGAAGTTAAGGAACAAGACCGATGGCTTCCTATCGCCAATGGTACGTCCATTTCCCCAATGCCCTTTTCCCCTCCCCGCCGTCGGCCATGTTTGCGCGCCCGTCACTTCTCTGGTCTGCACGTCGACGGATTGCTCAAACGCGCGCAATCGCTCTCTGCATGTCCCCAGACTCTCTCCATTCGCGCGTGCCTGCGTCGAATCGCCTAAATCCGCACTTTGCTCCAGCCACTCAGCTGCGCGCTGTGCCTGGAATTTGGCCGACGTGCAGCCTGCGCCATGTCGTCGTCTTCTCCACCCTCGTCGACGTCCCCGCCACAAGCAACGCCAAAGAATGCAAACACAACCCAAAGTGCCGCTTCAGATGCTAACATTCGTAACTTTGCTCCAGTCGCCCGTATCATGAAGATGGCTCTTCCCGAAAACGCCAAAATTGCAAAGGAGGCAAAGGAATGCATGCAGGAATGCGTCAGCGAGTTCATTTCCTTCATCACAAGCGAGGGTAAGTCTATTTGTTTCCAATTCTGACCCTTCAAGAACTAGTCGCTAATCATGTTTGCAGCCTCCGAAAAGTGTCAGCAGGAGAAGCGCAAGACAGTCAATGGAGAGGATATTCTCTTCGCCATGACCTCCCTTGGCTTCGAAAACTACTCCGAAGCTCTCAAAATCTACCTTTCCAGGTACCGCGAAGTAAGCTGCCCCTTTCTCCTTCTCCCCCTCTCACTCTTCTTTTGTTGCCTATTGTTTGGCGAAAACGTTTATCTGAACTATTGGTATTGATTGGTGGTACGAGACCCTCCTCGCAAATCAGAACAAGCCACCCACTGGGCAGTTTGCAGCCGGGTCCGGCGGGCCCAACGCAGGCGGGTCAGAGAACCAACAGCATGTACTGAGCGGCGATTCCGAAATGGGCGACGACTCGACTGCCTTTGGCTATCCTGTCCACAACGGAAACGGAACGGAGTACTAGTTGCGCCGAGCTCTGGTGATCGCAGTGCAAAATATGGAAGAAGAGAAAGCCATCGTCCAGGAAAGACGTGGGAAAGGCTGCTAGATCACCAGAAAGCAAGCAACTTACGAACAAGTTACTTGCCAAGAATTCATGAAGAGATGGTATTGGGAACATGTTTTTTGGAATCAGATTGTTCATACTGCCGGAGCATCTGTTGCGGGGTTATAATGTACGGGAACAGAATACTTGTTGTGTCGACAAGATGTCATCTTGAGGTCTTGTCCCAGGACTCTATACGGATAGGATGGACAGAGAAGGACACATGTGGACGATTCGGATACCTTTTGTCTTCTTGCACGCTGGATTACTATTGGTCTAGATTTTATCTTTTGCTCACACGGGCCGACCGACATTCGTTATGCGACTGGGAATCAAACATATTAAAAACCGCTTCGCCAATGCTGTAGCCACTTGAGTGTTGATTGTGTTATCATTGTGGTACGACGACCTACGGACGGCTATATCCTGATGTCGACGCACCTTACCTTCGAGCTATCAACTGACTTAACGGTATGTCGTCGTCTTGCTCATCGTAAAACTCCACGTCCTCATCCACGCCAAAGTCCTTTAGTCGTTCACCCTCGGCATTTCGCCATGCAGCCTCTCCCTCCCGTCCCTTTTCGCCGCGCTTCTTCTCAGACTCTTCCTCTTCTTCCTCAGCATCATCACTAGCATCATCTCCATATGTGTACCCCCCATCATCGTCGTCACGACTATTGCCGTATTCTGCTTCATCCTTGACTACCCTCTGCTGCATCCTTTCCCCATACCCCCTCCTCCTCAACGCATCCTCCGCCTGCCTCGCCTTGAAAGCCCTGACCGTCTCCTCCGCACTCATCTCCGGCGCCTCTGCAAACTGAAATGCACCCGCATTCACCGCCTTGGCATTCCCCCTATACGCGCGATCCGGGTCTGGCGGCGGCCACACCGTACCCGGGTCCTCGAAGCCATTCGTCTCAAACGCTAGGCCACTGGTCAGACTCGGTGTTGCCCCGAACGGATTGAACCAGGAAATTGGGTTCGCAGAATTCATGCCCTGCACGATGTTCGCCCAGATGCCAATGTCGTAGGGGAACTCCTGCTTGCGGATGCGAATCTGCTGCGTGCCGTCGGGCGAGGGGAGGTAGCCTCCGTACTGGCGGGCGCGGCGCAGCAGCGTCCTGTGGCGTTCAATCTCCCAGCCTTCGATGGTGGTGGTGTTGACGGCTAGGCACCAGATGTTGCGGAGGAAGAGGACGCCCAGGATGAACAGGGTGAGGCTGTTTACGATGAAGATGGTGAAGAGGTGGGCGAGCTGGAAGGGGGTTGGGCCCATTGACGAGGGCATGTCGAGGTTGGACCAGAGATAGGCGACGCGGGTTAGGATGAAGGATTCGAGGAGGGCGAGTCCGGCGGTGGAGTAGAAGAGGAAGCGGATGAAGTGGGGGAAGGTGGTATGGCTGACGCAGTTGTTTGTCCAGGGGCAGTGGTGGTCCATTTTGGGTATGCATCTGGGGAGGTGGTTAGCTGTGCTTTTGGTGGGGTTGATATGATGTGTGTCAGATAGCTTCCTTGTTACTCCAAAAGTTCATCACATCTTGATCGATCCTTCCATGACTTGGTGATTCAGAGGCAAAATAGCTATTACGCCCTTGCCTTGATATCTTTCTCAGAACAAACATGAACATACAAAAAATCCGACCTACCTCTTACACTCCTTACAATGATGGACCCTCGGCGGCTTCGCAGCCTCACACCGAAAACACCACTTCCTACTCTTCCCCACCATATCTTCCGCCTCGTTCCCCATTCCCTCCTTACCCTCCGCCTTCACCGCACCCCCAACATTCCAATCCTTCGGTATCGTCCCGGGATCCACAAACACGCTCTGCGTATATGTAATAAGTATTAGTACTAAAAGAGTATTCGCCGCAATGATCTCATTCTTGCTCAATGGCGCAGGATCGAGCCGCATCAGCAGCAACTGCGAGGGGCACCCAAGGAACAATATCAACGCATAGACCGCGGGCACCGCGAGTTGAGAAATTTCCATCTTAGTGACACCATCCGATGGGGGGGGAAACCTAAGATGGAAAAATGGAAATTAAAGGTCGGAAATGGGCGGATAGGGAGTTGTTGTTTGACAAAGTCACGCTTAGAAGGGGGGGGGTTTCGTGTAACAAGGGTGGTGGGATCGCGAAAGCACGTGATTGGTAGCTTGCCCTCTCCAAAAGAGAACGAAGTTAGACTTGCTTCATCTTTGCCCCAACGAAAAACTACTTGACCGCCCCCCATCAAATACACAGCATCTCACCGCCTTCTATCTGTGTACCCTGGATCCCGAAAAAAAGGCTAATCTTTGAAGCTGCGCTATTGCGCAAACCCGGATGCAATGGCATCAACGTGGCCTTTTTTCTTGCTCATCCCAGCAGTAATACTGATACATCTTTATGTATCGCCGTATACAAAAGTCGAAGAGTCGTTCAATATCCAAGCTGTCCATGATATCCTCGTACACGGTATCCCGACGGAGAATGTAGACCAGTTCCTAACTGCGAATTACGACCATGTTTCCTTTCCGGGGAGCGTGCCGAGAACGTTTGCGGGTGCGGCGGTGCTGAGCGGGTTGAGCAGGCCGTTTGTGGGGTTTGTCGAGGATTGGGAGTATGTGCAGATGCTTGGTGAGTTTTTTACTTTTCAAAAATCTTTCATGTGGGGGTTGTAAAAGGGGGAAAGGGCTGACGGTGAGGTGTGGTAGTTAGGGCGGTGCTGGGACTGCTGAATGCGGCGGCGCTGGTTGCGTTTGGGAGGAGTGTGCAGAGGGCTTTTGGGACTGCGGCGGGGATTTGGTATGCGTTGTTTCAGGCAAGTCAGTTTCATGCTATGTATTATGCTTCGAGGACGCTGCCGAATATGTTTGCGTTCGTGTTTAGTAAGTTTGCGGTTTGCTTGTTGAAGTGGTTGTTGGCTTATGGCTACAGGCAATATGGCATTGCGAAGTCTAGTTCTTGCGTACAATTCTCCCAGTACTTCTTCGAATGTCCCGGGACACTACCGACTGAGCTTGTATCTGCTCACTATTGCTGGAGTTGTCTTCCGATCTGAGCTAGCTATCCTGGTCGCCACTATCACTGTGTATCTGTTTTTCACACGCAAGATATCGATCATCAGCGTCATCATTCCAGCCGGCATTGGAGGCCTCATCGTCGGTCTTATCTGCACAGTACCTTTAGATTCTTTCTTCTGGCAATCATTTCCCCTATGGCCTGAGTGGACGGGTTTCTACTACAACACCATTCAAGGAAACTCGGCGAACTGGGGTGTCTCGCCATGGTATTTCTACTTTGCAAATGCACTTCCGCGACTAATGCTAAACCCTATAACCTACCTGGTCTGCATACCGATTGCTGTTTCGAATCCAGCAAGCCAAAGACGAAGCCTTGATCTACTTATCCCTCTACTCAGCTTTGTGGCTATATACAGCTTTCTTCCTCACAAAGAATGGCGTTTCATTCTCTATGTAATCCCAGGATTGACAGCGGTAGCTGCTGACGGAGCCTCCTGGATTTGGACACGACGATCCAAGTCTATCATATATGCTATCCTCAGCTTGGCTCTTGTAGGATCAGTCCTGGTGTCATTCGCTGCATCCACAGCTATCTTGGGTATTTCTAGTCTCAACTACCCTGGAGGAGAAGCTCTGCACGATTTGCACAAACGAATGTCTCATCCGCACGATAAGCACTTCAATGTACACTTTGACAACCTTGCGTGTCAGACAGGTGTCACGCGTTTCCTGGAGAGCCACAGGGGCCCACAGACAGTACTCGATGTTCTTGAAGAGCAAATGGCACCAACCCGGAAATGGTCTTATGACAAGACTGAGGACCCGAGCGCACTTTTGGATCCGATGTTCTGGACAAAATTTGATTACGTTCTTACCGAGAAGCCGGAGAGGATAATTGGAATGTGGAATATTGTACATGTGGTGTACGGCTTCGGTGGGGTCAGGCTTCTGAAGCCAGGCGAGGAGAGCAAAGATGAATTCGGACCTCTGTACGAGGGGAGTGGACCAATTGTTGATGTGTCAGATGACTGGACTACAAAAGTTGCAGTAGAATGGGATCGATTGGAAGGGCTATTGAGAAATAGTTTGTTCAGGGGTTACTGGCCCATGTTACGGATGGAGCCAAAGACCTATATTCTGGAGAACAGTATGAGTCCGCCAATGTATATGTAGATATAGGGTCATAATTTTAATAAAGAGATACACATCATAGTACACTAAGCTTTGAGTGAAAGCATCAAGCACGTCCAAGGACCCTTGCCCAACTTCTCATACGTACCCCGCCACGCTTGCTCTGCCCCACCAAGCTCTCTCCTTCGCGTCAACCCCGAAACTCTCTGCACCCAACCAGATACATTGTCAGCGCATAAAATAACCGGCAGTTTATCTGTTGGCACATTCACCATGTCTGACGATACAGTACCAAAACAGGTCATCTACTGCGGAGGTATGTAGATATTGCTGCGGGTAGCTTCTCTAATCATCTACTAACGAGAAGCAGTATGCAGTCTACCACCTGAAGTAGGTATGACACTGAGACGCGTCGATACCGAACTTAATAGTAATCTGAACCCGATTTAGTACTGCGAGTTTGGCGGCACAACAAAGAAGTGTGAAGAATGGCTTGCGGAAGCGCACCCAGACCTTCACGCCAAGTTGTATTCGGCAGGTATGTACTGCTTAACTTCTGGAATGCGCTTAGCTGGCGCAATGAAATATAGCATGAGAAATTTTCTAACACTTTTCATAGAGGCATTACAGCAGAATATGGCCTCGCTCTCTGTCGACGCCCAAAAACGCGCGGAAAAGGATGCACAGAAGAAAGCTGCCAAAGCCGCGACCGCCGAAGCACGAGCAGCCGAGACACGCGCATCTTCCAAGATCCTCATCAAGCGTATCGAGCGTAACAAGCGAAAATACGTGACTGCTGTACAAGGACTCGAAGCATTCGGTCTCGACATCAAGAAGGTGGCCAAGGACTTTGGCAAGAAATTCGCGACCGGATCAAGTGTGACCAAGATTCCCGGTGGCGGCGAGGAAATCACGGTACAGGGAGATTTGAGCGAGGATATACTTGAGTTTTTGGTAGACAAGTATGATGAGGTGCCGGAGGACAATGTGGAGTTGGTCGAGGATAAGAAGAAGAAGAAGGCCGAGGGAGCTTGAATATTTTGGGTACAAGGTGCGGGTTTGGAGAGACAAGAAGATGCGAAACTTGAAAGGCGTACGAAATGTACATTTCAGCATGTGTATTGAAGCTGGTTGCTGAGAAATTGGAGATACAGAATATGGAAGGCATGGGTCTCATGAGCCGGGACAAACCAAACTGTAGATGCAGTAATCATCGAGTCAATGATAGCACTATTGTGTAAGAAAAATGACAACTTAGGCAGACAGATTATCTCAACGCTCAAAAGCATGCAAAAAGGGCAAATATATGGTCTGTCTAGAAAACGTGGGCGTGTGACATCCAAGAACCATGGGTTCATTGGTGATATCGGAGGTGATGCGGTATCACGTGCTCTTGCTGCAGCCTTTGGAAGCTCCATCATTGAACTTTTCGAGATTCCGCCGCCGCTCATTTACATCCACCACCAGGGCGTGTCCACAGCCCGACCACACTCAATCGGACAACTCTTTTCTTTCGTTTGATCTTGACAGGACGGCGACTCGTTCTTTCGTCGTGTATTTTATTATATCTCGCGTGTAGACAGCTCGAGAAGACGATACCAAAAGCGCAAGCCGCGCAATACCACGATACCCACCACCACCATGTCAAAAGATCAAAACAACCTCGCGCAGTTCAAATATGCGGCCATGTCGAATTTGGTCCTGCAGGCCGACAGACGATTTACGTCGCGCCGACCGGACGAGCACACTGGTGACCCCGAGTCGCTCGCAGGCCGCATCAACATCCGCGACATGGGCGCGCGTACTGCGCGTGACAGTGCAAGTGCGCAAACTAAGAAGCTCAAGGTGCCCGGTGTTGAGCGAGGCAATCTCGGGGAGGGTGGCGATGTCCTGGAAAGAGAGCAACGCAAGAGGAAACGGGACGATGGCACAAGCGCTTTTGGAGCTATTGCTACCGCCGACCTGAATATCGAAGGCCTTACATACAAGCCACGGACACCTGCTACTCGCCAAACTTTCGAACTCATTACGACCATTGTGAGCCGAGCTCTCGGCGATGTCGATCCTGCGACCACGCGAAGTGCGGCCGATCAAGTTCTGGAATACCTCAAGGATGACTCTATGAAGGACTTTGACAAGAAGAAGGAGGTGGACGATCTTTTGGGTACTTCTATGGGCGCAAAGGAGTTCAACGAGCTTGTGAACCTTGGCAAGAAGATTACGGATTACGACGCGCAAGATGACGAGGAAGGAGGCGATGAGGAGATGGCGGATGGAGATGGCGCAGACAATGGCGACAACCAGGGTGTAGCTGTCGTCTTCGATGATGAAGAGGAGGACGAAGACGGCCCTCAGACTTTCGAAGTGCGTGATGCCGACAGTTCGGATGAAGAGGATGAGGCAGAAGCGCCGATAGAACAAATCGGAGGCGACGATTCAAAGGACGCAGGTTTTGCGGACACCGAGGAGACGATAATACAGGGCGACACGGCCATTTCGGATCGCAAAAACGGCGCAGACCAGCTCATTCCCGCACACGAGATCGACGCATACTGGTTACAACGGCAGATTGGACAGATCTACGAGGATGCGCATATACAGCAAGAGAAGACACAGGAAGCGCTCAAGTTTCTTGCGGGAGTCTCGGAAGACGGTGAAGAGAAGGAGCTGCGTGAGATTGAGAACGACCTCATGGATCTCTTTGATTATGAACATCACGAGCTGGTCGCCAAACTTGTTCTCAACCGTGATAGGGTCGTTTGGGTTACAAGGTGGCGACGCGCCGCGGAAGACAATGACGAGCGAACGGCTGTTGAGCGGGAGATGAAGGCTGCCGGCCAGCAACAAATCCTGCAAGAGCTGCGCGCACGAGAAACGGGCATCAAGGCAGAAGAGGGTGCTGGCACAGGAAAGATGAAGTTCAACCTCAAAGACATCAGTCTTCCCGAGGTGTCGAACGACGTCGAAATGGCCGACGCCAAACCAGAGGGCATTGTTGGCGGTCTACAACCATCAAGCCGACTTGTGAACTTGGACAACATCGTGTTTGATCAAGGTAACCATCTCATGACGAATGCGAGCGTCAAGCTGCCTCAAGGTTCAACAAGACGTCAATTCAAGGGATATGAAGAGATTCACGTCCCTGCACCAAAGGCGAAGCGTGATCCCAACGAACCACCACTGATGCCAACCTCCGAACTCCCAGACTGGGCACGCCCTGGTTTCGGTAACTCGAAGTCACTTAACCGTATCCAGACAAAGTGTTTCCCGACCGCCTTCAATGACGATGGCAACATGCTGATTTGTGCTCCCACTGGTTCCGGAAAGACCAACGTTGCCATGCTGACCATGTTGCGAGAGATTGGCAAACACCGCAACCCCACGACAGGAGAAATCGCCCTTGATGACTTCAAGATCATCTACATTGCTCCGCTCAAGGCTTTGGTTGCGGAACAGGTCGGTAACTTTGGCAAGCGTCTTGAACCATATGGTATCAAGGTTTCTGAGCTTACTGGTGACCGTCAACTTACCAAGCAGCAAATCGCAGAGACCCAGATCATTGTCACCACTCCTGAGAAGTACGACGTCATTACTCGTAAGGCCACCGATACAAGTTACATTAATCTCGTCCGCCTCATCTGTATTGACGAAATCCATCTTCTTCACGATGATCGTGGTCCAGTCATTGAGAGCATTGTCAGCAGGACTCTTCGGCATAGCGAGCAGACTGGTGATCACGTACGCATTGTAGGTTTGAGTGCTACTCTTCCCAACTACCGCGATGTTGCGAGTTTCCTTCGTGTAGATCCCGACAAGGGACTGTTCCATTTCGACGGTACCTTCAGGCCGTGTCCCCTGAAGCAAGAGTTCATCGGTGTTACAGACAAGAAGGCTATCAAGCAACTGAAGACCATGAACGATGTCTGCTACACTAAAGTTCTCGAACAAGTCGGCGAGCACCGCAACCAGATGCTTATCTTTGTACATTCGCGAAAGGAAACTGCAAAGACTGCCAAGTATATTCGTGATAAGGCCCTTGAAGAGGAGACTATAGGCAAGATTCTCCGATCAGACGCTGCTAGTCGTGAAATTCTAAGGGAAGAGTCCGAGTCGATACAGAACGCCGATCTCAAGGATGTCATGCCCTATGGATTTGGTATCCATCACGCTGGAATGTCGCGAGCGGACCGTACCTCTGTAGAAGATCTCTTTGCCGATGGTTCAATCCAAGTCTTGGTGTGTACAGCAACCTTGGCTTGGGGTGTCAACTTGCCAGCGCATACAGTCATCATCAAGGGAACACAGATCTACTCTCCCGAGAAGGGTAGCTGGGTTGAACTGAGTCCACAAGATGTTCTGCAAATGCTTGGTCGTGCTGGTCGACCTCAATACGATACATATGGAGAGGGTATCATCATCACTACACAGTCTGAGATTCAGTACTACCTGTCACTGCTCAACCAGCAGTTGCCTATCGAGTCGCAGCTCATCAGTAAACTTGCAGACAACCTTAATGCCGAGATTGTTCTGGGCAACGTCCGGAGCAGAGATGAAGCTGTAGACTGGCTTGGCTACACATACCTCTTTGTTCGAATGCTTCGGTCGCCAGCTTTGTACCGGGTAGGCCCCGAGTACGAGAACGATACGGTTTTGGAGCAAAGACGAGTAGATCTTATCCACGCAGCTGCGCACGTTCTTGAAAAGTGCAGTCTTATCAAGTACGACAGGAAGACTGGAGCTCTTAACCCCACCGAACTTGGAAGAATTGCCTCCCACTACTACATCACCCATAACTCCATGGCTACTTACAACATGCACGTTCAGCCTGGTATCAGTGCGATTGAGCTTTTCCGAGTGTTTGCACTGAGCGAGGAGTTCAAGTACATTCCCGTTCGTCAAGACGAGAAGTTGGAGCTTGCTAAGCTGCTTGGAAAAGTTCCCATTCCTGTCAAGGAGGGTGTGGAAGAGCCTCAAGCCAAGATCAATGTTCTTCTCCAGGCTTACATCTCTCGTCTCAAGCTCGAAGGTTTGGCGCTCATGGCAGATTTGGTCTACGTTACACAGTCGGCTGGACGTATTCTTCGCGCAATCTTTGAAATTTGTCTCAAGAAGGGTTGGTCGCAAGTTGCCAAGTTGGCTCTTGACATGTGCAAGATGGCCGAGAAGCGCATGTGGCCTACCATGACTCCTCTGCGACAGTTCCCCACTTGCCCCAGGGACATTGTGCAGAAAGCAGAGCGCATTGATGTCAGCTGGTCGAGCTACTTTGGCCTTGATCCACCCAGCATGGGCGAGTTGCTTGGTATGCCCAAGGCAGGCAGGCTCGTCTGTGGTCTGGTTGAGAAGTTCCCCCGACTCCAGATTGAAGCAACACCACGTCCAGTGACCAGATCATTGCTTCGTTTGGAGCTCACCATTCGACCAGACTTTGTTTGGGATAATGAGCTTCACGGAACGTCTGAAGCCTTTTGGATTCTGGTTGAAGACTGCGATGGTGAACAAGTTCTGTTCCACGATACCTTCATTCTCCGTCGTGATTATGCTGATGGCGACGTCAATGAGCATCTGCTCGAGATCACAGTACCCATTGACGAGCCAATGCCGCCAAACTATTTCATCACAGTCCTCTCTGATCGATGGATGGCTTCCGAGACCAAGCTCGCTGTCTCATTCCAGAAGCTCATCCTGCCAGCGAAATTCCCTGCTCATACGCCTGTCCTGGACTTGCAGCCACTGCCTGTCTCTGCTCTGAAGAGGAAGGAATATATGGGCTTGTATGAGAACATCGGTCGCTTCAACAAGGTTCAGACACAAACTTTCAACACCCTCTACACCACAGACGACAACGCACTCATTGGTGCTTCGACTGGTGTTGGAAAGACTATCTGTGCTGAATTCGCCATTTTGCGACACTGGGGCTCCGGTGACGAAGGCCGTATCGTTTACCTAGCGCCGTTCCAGGAACTTGTTGACAATCAGTACAAGAACTGGAATGAGCGGTTGTCGGGTCTCTCTGGAGGTAAGGATGTTGTCAAGCTTACTGGCGAAACTACAGCAGATCTGCGACTCCTTGAGAAGGGTGACCTCATTTTGGCTACACCTTCTCAGTGGGACTCCCTCTCCCGTCAATGGCAGCGCCGAAAGAACGTGCAGTCTGTGTCGTTGTTAATCGCTGATGAATTGCACATGCTTGGCGGATCCAACGGTCATGTGTACGAGATTGTTGTCTCTCGTATGCAAGCTATGGCGACTCAGCTCGAGTCAAAGCTGCGTATTGTCGGACTGAGCGTCTCTTTATCAAATGCACGAGACATTGGTGAGTGGATAGGCGCAAACAAGCACACCATCTACAACTTCAGTCCAGCTATTCGAGCTGTACCGCTCGAGCTCAAGATCCAGTCATTCACCATTCCCCACTTCCCATCTCTGATGATGGCCATGGCGAGACCGACATACTCTGCCATCACGCAAATGTCACCCGATAAGCCAGCTATGGTCTTCGTTCCGAACAGGAAGCAAGCCCGCAACTCTGCTGCTGACCTCTTCAACGCGTGCATTGCGGATGATGATGAAGACCGTTTCCTCAATGTTGACCTGTCGGAGATCCAACCCATCCTCGAGAAGATCAATGAGCAAGCGCTTGCAACTTCGCTTTCTCATGGTATTGGTTACTTCCATGAGGCTCTCAACTCGTTCGACAAGCGGGCTGTCCAGCACCTGTTCAAGGTCGGTGCTATCCAGGTAATGATTGTTTCGCGAGACTCTTGCTGGGAGATTGATAGCAGTGCCCATCTTGTTGTCGTCCAAGGTACCCAGTTCTACGAGGGACGTGAACACAGATATGTCGACTACCCCATCAGCGATATTCTGCAGATGTTTGGCAAGGCTGGCAGAGTTGGACTGGACAAGTCAGCCAAGGGTGTGCTCATGCTGCCTGCGGTAAAGCGCGAGTACTACAAGAAGTTCTTGAACGAGGCGCTGCCCATTGAGAGTTACCTCCATGACTACCTCCACGATGCATTTGTCGCGGAAATCAGCGCAAAGACAATCGAGTCCACACAGGAAGCCGTTGACTGGTCGACATACACATACTTCTACCGCCGCCTACTCGCCAACCCTAGCTACTACAACCTTCACGACACTTCTCATGAAGGACTCAGTGCGCACTTGTCCGACATGGTCGAGCAGACCCTCAAGGAGCTGACGGATGCCAACCTCATTGAGCATGACGAGGACGAGGATGCTATCACACCACTCAACCCATGCATGATTGCAGCGTACTACAACATTTCGTTCATTACGATGCAGACACTCATGATGTCGCTGAATGGTAGAACGAGCTTGAAGGGCGTCCTGGAGATCATCACTGCTGCCACAGAGTTTGAGGATATCCAGATCCGACGACACGAAGACCACATCCTCCAGCGCATCTACGACCGTGTTCCATTCAAGATGCAAGAGCCAAACTTCGAGACGCCACACTTCAAGGCCTTTGTCCTTCTCCAAGCTCACTTCTCGCGCATGCAGCTGCCTATTGACCTGGCCAAGGACCAGGAGACTGTCTTGCGAAAGGTTCTTACCATTCTCAGCGCCAGTGTCGACGTCCTCTCCTCGGAAGCACATCTCAACGCCATGTCCGCCATGGAGCTCTCCCAGATGGTCGTCCAAGCAATGTGGCAAAAGGACTCTCCCCTCAAGCAAATCCCACACTTTGACGCCGACACCATCAAGGCCGCGCAAAAATTCGGCATCAACGACGTCGACGACTTCATCAATGCCATGGACGAAGACGAAAACCCAGACTACAAGCAACTCATCTCCGCCCTCAACGTCGACCAACGCCAGCTCGCTGACATTGCAAACTTCACAAACAACTTCTACCCCAACGTCGAGCTCGAGCACCAACTCGTTGACCCCGAAAACATCGCTTCCAACACGCCTACCCAACTCAAAGTCCGCGTCACGCGCAACCTCGAAGAAGACGAGGAGCCCAAGACCGAAGTCCACGCTCCGTTTTACCCTGCTGATAAGACGGAGAGCTGGTGGCTTGTGCTTGGAGACCAGAAGGAGCGCACGCTGCTTGCTATTAAGAAAGTACCTATCCTACGCAAGCTCGAGACGGTGCTCGAGTTTACGCTCGAGAAGCCGGGTAGCCATGAATTGACGCTTTACCTTGTAAGTGACAGTTATCTGGGTGTTGATCAGGCGCCTACATTCCAAGTTGAGGCTGCGGAAGGGATGGAGGAAGATAGTGAGGAGGAAGAGGATGATGAAGAGTAGATCTGCTAAGGAAGGTTGTGAGGTTGTGTGGTAGGATTATATACCTGGTGGTTGGTGGAAAGGAAGAAAATCCGGATTACTGGGGTGTTATTGGGCGTTGAGAGATTGAGTTGAGTTGGATGTAATTTTAGTAATTTTATGCTTGCGATTCATGAATCATTCACTCTTCTATTCCTTGAGTGAAGACATGGGCTGGGAAATCATTGAGTAGGGAGGTTGCTGTTGTTTTTTGCTGGGTATCATCTTTTGATGTACCATCGATGTGGCTCGGCCATTGTGATTTCGTCTTTTTGTAAGCAAATTGCGCGGATTTTGGGAGCTAGGGGTCGAGACAGCAGTGAGCGAGAAAACAAGCATGTGAAGCTCAAGTCACAGTGAAATCAGGGCAACTACAGAGATCTTATGTGCATTAGTGATATCTCCGCCAGCTACTACTCTTGTCAACTCCGATTTAACTTTCCGAACGGATAAGCCTCGGTAGATCACAGAGATAAGTCACTGAATCTTCCCGCCTCTAAACCATGACGCGTCGAGCACTTTTCACCCGAAGGCATTCTGGAATCGGACCGACTCACGTTTGAACTACTGGTGCGGGGTCTTCAAAGAAAGAGCCTTGGGAAAATGTGATTGTCCCTCTTGCAGCAGATGCATATAGTCATCGTGTTGATCATTAATGCCAGTTTGCCAAGGGCACCGGTACGTACTCCGGTGTGTTTGATGACACGAAATCGTCTCATGTGTGTATGCGATTGCTTCAACTTGCAATTTGGCCAAAGAAAAAAAAGATTATAGCTTGCATGGACTAATGCAAAGTCCCGTGTCTAATTCCTTGCCCGATCAGGCGAATAGTAACAGAACGATGCTACAATATATAGATAGTCCGAGAACATGCCTGCGTACCGATCTTGGCGTAGTTGGATTTATAATGTATGACGGGCTGTTCATCGAGCTCATAGTTTGAATTTAATGTTTGGTTGTACTTTGTGTGTGCAATGTCATGAACAAGACCTCTTTGTTCTACTACTTGTTTCATATGATTTGCTTTTTATGGTTCGCACACCATCATAAGGTTATCCTTCGGAATTCGATACCCCTGTCGCCTTTGCATGCATTCACCGGTTACATGAATACCCATCTCCTCTAGAGGCAAGCTAGCGTCGGTTTATCACACCATTTTACCGATTTGGTACTAAGGTAAGTATGCCTGATCATCGCCCGAACTGATGCCAAGTGATATCATATTAATGCTAGTCCTGGGTAAGTACAGCGGCACCCCTCTTGTAAGGCCTATATCACAAGAGTGAGCTAACGTTGCAGTCTGAGAAACCCTATCGGAGCTTCATTCCAACTGTTGAGATTATGGCACCTTCAGCTACTAGCGTGGACACACCAGTGGGCGACCACCCACCCCGAGGTAAGCCACACAGCATAACCTAACAAAGCAATCAACACATCATGCACTATGCTTACAACAAACAGTCTGGACAACACTCCTCACAAATACAGCCTATCTGACGGGTCTCCTAACACTTGACTACTCACTGAAACGCTCCAAATCTCTCTACCCGCTCGTCGTATTGTATACGGATGAACTACCAACCGAAGCTCATGAGGCACTCGACCGCCGCGGCATTCGCAAGCGGCACGTCCCTTACCTCCTGCCGTCTGCTGGAAACGATTACAGCAATGACCCACGGTTCTACGACTGTTGGACCAAGATGGTTCCTTTCGGCCTGACAGAGTTTGAGCGAATCGTCCAGCTAGACAGTGATATGCTTGTCATGCGCAACATGGACGAACTGATGACTATCAAACTCGATTCTCCTGCCCTTGAAGGCAAGGGTAACAGGGTCTTTGCAGCTTCGCATGCATGTGTGTGCAATCCCCTGAAGAGGGCACATTATCCTAGTGATTGGTAGGTTTTGATCTTCTCAACACACATCCACCAATCCTTTGGTACTACGCGGCGTTATGAAGATCGAAGTTACTAAATGTGCACCAGGGTTCCTGAAAATTGCGCCTATACACATCAACACGGTAAACCGGATGAGGCGCAAACAACTGGAGCTCCCTGCACCACTGGACTTCAGTACATGAACGGCGGTCTCCAGGTCGTCAATCCAAGCAAAGCAGTATACGAACTTATCCTGAAAACCCTGGACAAGCCCCAAACAGCAGACTACGCTTTTGCTGATCAGTCACTACTTTCTGATCTCTTCCGCGGTCGATGGGTTGGACTGCCGTATGTGTACAATGCACTAAAGACTCTGCGCTGGAAGGGCGTTCATGATTCTATTTGGAGAGATGAGGAGGTCAAGAATGTCCATTACATTTTAGCTCCTAAACCGTGGAATGGGAAAGATGTGCACAACGAGGCGGATCTTGTGACGCATGAGTGGTTCTGGGATATGAATGAGGAGAGGAAAAAGGCTGAAAAGGAGGCTGGGATTGATGACGAGTATTAAATTCGAAACATATGGAGAAAAAGAGATACTATCTCTGCAATCCGTTCGCTATTAATTGCGGATTGTCCACGAGCTTGGCGATGGAGTTACGAGTTCAACTTGAACAGGTGCAGCCCTTGCCCTCAACTGCTGCAAAGCATGTTCCTGAAGCCGCAGTGATTCCGCACTAGAAACACCTTGTGGTAACTGTTCCCACCAAATCCCAATCTTCTCTGTAGGCCACCATCTTTTTGCCTTCTCAAACACCTCCATGATATGCGAATCCCACATCTCCTCCGTTCCAGGCTCTTCCCTCTTCCCATCACGATTATCAACCCGCATAACCCCAGGATTAATCTCCTTATTCCTCCTCACCTCGAAAAAATACAACCCAAAGTGCACCTCCTCCAGCGCCTTAAAGCGTCTCAGCATGCTAAACATTAAATGCATATCCGTCACCAATCCCTTGTATATATTGGGTAGCTTCTCAGAACTCTTATGCTGGTACCCACCCCTGGAAAACACAATGTCAACGCCGAACCGCGGGATCACAATATACCGAACCAGCATCCGCATTCGTTTGCCGATCTTTAGGTAGAAATGGGTCATCATGTCCAGAACAGAGTAGCGATTGTTGTCGAGGTGGAAGATGAAGTGCGTGAAGCAGTAGTGGAGGGATTCGTGGTTGATGAGGCGGTTCGTGAAGATCAAGCTCTGGATTGGTTCCAAGCCTTCTAGTTTGTAGGTGTAGTTTTTATAATAGATGGTCATTTCGAGTGTGCGATTTTCGAGGGTTGGGACGAGGACGTAGTGGTAGATTTGTTGGCGGAGTTCGAGAGGGAGCTTGAGGAGGCCGGCGAGAGGGGTGGCCATGGTGGTACAGCGTCTGGGTTTCTGATGGTTGGCTTGCTGGTATCTGTGGTGCTTATTCGTAGGCGTTGAGCGATATGAGATCTGGTGGGTTGCTTCAATCCGGTGGGCTTAAGTATGACCATACTAGCTACAATGGCGGAATAGCATGTCTCCTATCTTGCGGGGTTCCTGACTTACGTACATGTGATCTGAAAGGGCATCAGCTCTTACTCGTCCAAAACATTGGCAGCAATATGCTTGTCCAACACGACGATATCTCTAGTTGTGCTTTTTTCAATATCCGTTGGGTTATGAGATGCGAACATGCATTTCATCCCTGAACCCCATTGAAATTTGAGTGCTCTGATTGATCGAGCTAAATATGAAACATAGCACTACATTAGAAGATAGGTGTCATTCACATTCAAGTAGACTAAACCCATTGAGCAAAAATATATCAATAGCTAGTATGTGGAGTGGGGGGAGGTTGAGCAAAAAAAGAAATCAACGAACACTCGTTGGTCCACGACATTGGACGGATGGATGATCGAAATCCAGACCTCCCGCAACTTTGCTTGATGCAAAGCGGGCGCTCTACCACTGAGCTATACGCCCGATGGATCTTACGTAAGATGGAAGGATTACAAATTACATCAAAAATATACTAATTCCAAACTGATTTAAAGCTGTGTGTTCTGCGGTACTCACATGTCAGCCACATTGAGCGGCTCAAATCTGTGGGGCATTGACCGGAGGGGGTTTCGAGCCTCTAGAAGCGCGACGTGAGCTACGAGTTCACAGCCACACCCTTGGCGCATCTCGGACAAACCACGTCGTCAGCTTCTCCGAGCACCGTTGCGCCTTGTCTCAGCAAGCAACACCGTCTTCGCAATTTCCACGACTGTAACCGGCATTTACAATAGTTTCGCAATATTCGCGGTGTGGTGTCCAACCGAAGCCCTGTCCATCGACCGCGCGTCCGGTCTCTACGCTAGTATCGCGCCCCGAAAGTTGTTGATAGCTGGCAAACAGAGAGTATCGCAGCTGCAACAACTGCAACCATGGGGTCACTAGGCACATACTTTCTCGACTTTGTCTATTCTTTCACAAACTGCATGGTTTGCTTTCCAAGCTCACCTCAACTGAAAGTCAATAGTCGAAGCTTCAAGATACTGCGGTTGCTGGGTGAGGTAAGTTTACAGGGCGCGGTTGAACTTGGGTTCAATTAACTTATCTCGACGCAGGGTGGTTTCTCATATGTGTACCTGGTACAAGACAATTCAAATCAGCAGCTGCTTGCGCTGAAGAAGATAAGATGTCCTTTTGGACAAGAAAGCGTCAGTCTTGCGCTGAAAGAGGTTGAGGCATATTCACTCTTTGCGCCACACCCGAACATCATTCACTCAATCGACTACTCCGTCGAGACCGACAAATCAGACCCGTCTGCAAAGACTGTCTACATCCTCCTTCCATACTACCGCCGCGGCAACCTACAAGACATGATCAATGCGAACCTGGTCAACCACACAAAGTTCCCGGAACGCAGGCTGATGGAGCTATTCCTGGGCGTTTGTAAAGCTCTCAAGGCGATGCATCAATACAAGGTCAAAGGAGGACCCGGAGGTGGGGCAAGTGAGGGGAAAGCGAAGAAAGTCAGAAGAGACGCTAAGAGGGCCGACGCAGAGGCCGCGGAGAGTATGGAGATGCGTCCAAGCAGACGGAATCGCGACCACGACGAAGATGACGAGCAAGAAGCCGAAGGGCTGCTTGAGGAGTCTGAGGTCACAGCGGCACACGAAGGCATTGCGCCTGGCGGAGAGAGGGCATACGCGCACAGGGATATTAAGCCAGGTACGTGGATCGTCTCATGCGTGGTTGAATCGCGAAGACTAACAGATACACCAGGAAACATTATGATAGATGATGACGGCAAGACACCCATCCTAATGGATCTTGGCTCCCTCGCGCCTTCACCAACACCCATCACATCGCGCTCTCTTGCTCTGCAAGTCCAGGATACTGCTGCTGAACACTCGACAATGCCTTATCGCGCACCTGAGCTGTTTGATGTCAAGACTGGCTCCGTCATTGATACCAAAGTGGACATATGGTCGCTAGGTTGCACATTATACGCGTGTCTTGTAGGCAAGAGTCCTTTCGAAGCACGATCAGACGAGACTGGAGGCAGTTTAAGTATTTGTGTGCTGGGTGGAGACTGGAGGTTCCCAGACGAAGGTATACAAAGGGGCAAGCAAAAGGCCAATCCCGAGGATGCCATCTCAGACAGCGTAAAGGAGGTGGTCAGGAAGTGCTTGAGACTGGAACCAAGTGAACGCCCAGATGTGGACGAGCTGATTAGGATTGTGGAAGACGTGCTGAGGAATCTGCCCGAGGATGGCTCGGACGACTAGATGGTACAAGCGTGGTCTAGCGTGGGGTAAAGGCTACACTGTTTGTCTTGGACGAACACGACTTTCCTATTCTTTGTTCGTGGGAAATTGAGTGTTCCAACTTCTACTTGATGGCGGACGTGGTTTTGCATCAAATATACCCCTTTACAGTTGGGTTGGTCTAGGTGGTGTGCTGTGACAGGCTTGGGTAGAAGCAAGATAGTGCTATTGACAAGGAGAGACCTGCTTGTCAATGTCAAGCGCACCCAATAAATGAAGAACATCTCCAGTAGCTCGTGTGCTGGCCAGGTGTTGTGTGCCCCTAAAAGAAAAAGCATTGGCGGGGAAAGCGAAATCAGCGCTCAGGCATCCGAGATTGTACGGGCACATCAAAGCGATCTGAAACACGCCGTTTGTGGACATTACCGAGAAGAGACGTAAGCAGATGGCAATTGTGCCCTCTCAAGTCGAGAAAACAAGGCCAAATGGCAAAGAGCAAGAAGAGTGTTAGTGGAGATGGATTGTAGTTCTGTAGCATCATAGCTAGCTGCATGACATAGTTATCCACGTGGATCTCCGCAGTCCGTCTTGGTCTTGGTGGCTGTTGGAGGTGGGGCGTGTCTGCAACGGCGGGAGTGCCCCTGCAGCAACAACAGACTGCTGAGATGAGAAGCCGGGGGCTGCTGGGGCTGCTGCGGGCCGTACGGTCCTGGCCTGCCCGTAATTGTTATGCTTTCCCCTTTCACCATCTCCACTGTCTCAATCCATACATAGGTACTTAGTTGCGCGCGCGCCTGGCTTCTGCTTGTTTACACACAAACATCTGTACCACCAAACCCCCCCCCCCCATCGCGCCCCGCCAGAAGCCGCCACTGCGCCAGCAGCCATCCATCATCCATACACAACAGAAATTAGCATACAGCAACAACCAAAAAAGGCGTCATGACGCTCCGCGACACGTATGCCAGATTTCTGGCCACGCCCTCGACCGGCGCGCTGGCTGAGAACGCATCTCTTCATTACGTCTCTACCACAACTAGCATCAGCGATGCAACGGCTATCATCAAGCACCTGTCGGTCCAGGAGAAGCTGTTGAAGAAGACAAAGCAGAACATCCTCGACGCCGTCGAGGGCAGTCGCGCCCTGAGCGTTGATGTGGAGACGACCGTTGAGTTCAGCAACGGCGGCGGCGCATATCTCCCAGGCCTAGACGACAACTTTGTTGCCGACCGAACCGCCACGTTCCCCATGGTATGCATTGGCTCTTACCCACGCGATTCACCAACACTGACACGAACAGGTTCACGTGGTCCACTTCGATCACGCAGGCAAGATCACACAGATTCGCCAGTACTGGGACCAGGGCTCGCTCCTCAAGCAGATCGACGTCATCGGCGCGCGATCGCGCAACTGGCCTATTCGGGACGCCAGCGAACAGATCCGTTTGATATCCAGCAACGCCTCTGCTTCTCAGCCCGAGTCTGCGGCTTCGTCGCGCCCAACAACTTCCGCTTCTCGCGGCGCAGATGAGGTTTCCATTTCCTCGCGTTCGCAGAGATCGACAAGCAATGCCATGAATGACCCGCACGCGTCGCTCTCGCTGTTTGCGCCACGCGAGACTGAAGAAGAGCCATCCTACACAGGCCAGCCTGGAGCACCCCGCGCGCAGTCTGCCAAACCTCCACCACGCGAGTACTCCGAGTTGTTCGTTGCCGCCGAGGGTGGTTCGCCTACGCCATCACAGAAGATCCAAGCCAAATCAGGCGCTGGAAAGAACTACAAGCCCAACCGCCTGTTTGATGAAGACGACGACGAATCGGTCACCAGTGCGCCCTCGAGTGTCAAGACAAACTCAAAGAAGTACGACCACTTCCAGTTTGGTGACGGTGAGGAGACGCCAAAGGCCCCGGAGGCACTACGACCAAGGCAGAACCAGCTCCGTACCAAGAACTCTGCGCATTGGGACTTTGACGACTTTGCTACACCCGACAAGGCCAAGCCCAAAACTCACCCCCAGGCCGTTCGACACTTTGGCTGGAGCGATGATGAGGTTAGTTTGTTTTGTTAGGCAGAGATAGAGGCTGCATCTCCATCTCTGCTCGTCATTGGAAAGGAAAAACAAGATGCTAACATGTCTCCACTATAGGACGATGTCTCGCCCGTCCGCCGCCCAATAGTCCACAAGGCCCGCCCTGACGCAGACGCGCACTTTGAATTCAACGACGACGGCACACCGGAAGGCCAGCGTGCACGCCCCGTAAAGGGCAAACAGGGCAACAAGGGCCAAGGCCTCTACGACGACCACGTCACCAACACGACCGACGACAGCCCTGCGGCAGGCAAGAAAGAAAATGTCAAGTCGAGCCAAGCAGTGCGCAGCTCCATGAAGACACACTGGGGCACGCACGCCGATTCGCCCGAGAATCGCGGTATCAACATTGCCGGCAACGGCATGGGCGGGCGCAAGGGCACTGAGGCTGCCTGGTCCCTGTTCGACGAGAGCCCCGCCAAGAAAGAGCCTACGGGTAAGCAGGCCGGCATTAAGACCGAGGGTGATGGCATGGGCGGGCGTAAGACGGCTGACAAGTCTTTCTGGGACTTTTAAAGAAAAAAACAAAGAAAGGACAAAAGGGGAAAAAAAAAGGTCCAGCTTTTTTTTACACTTTTTTTCGGTCTTCTCTTTTCCTCGGTCGAATGCTCCCGACGGATTTTTGCTGGTTGGCTTACATCTGTCTTTTTTTTCTTCGTCTTCTCTCAGGCTGTTTTTTCGTTTTTTTTTCTAGGGATGAAGATTGGGGGAGAGAGGGGTATGCCATGAAAGACCTCTCTTTTTTTCGTGTGTGTGTATTAACAGATGCCTCCCCTACACTTTCACCCCTCTAATGATGCGGGATTGCGGGCGGCAGTGGCGGCGTAAACAAGAGAGATTGTAAAGACATCGTGAAATGTAACATTAGTCTTCCTTTTCTTCTCGTCTATTTCGATCGATACCTAGGGTGAAACCTCGGGTTCGTGTCTGCGCGTATGTGTGTCTTTACATGCGATTGGCTGTTTTGTGATAGAACAGATGTGCAAGTCGCTGTGTCTTGAGCAAAAGGGAGAAAGAAAGAGGGGAAGTGTTGTAGGCATTTTTTTTGGCAACAATGACATGCAGATGAAAACGGTCCGAGAGAGAGAGGGGGGGGGGAAACATGTACCTTTTTCCATACCAAGACCTCAACTTGAGAATGAAAGAGTTGTTGGCTATTATGCCTCTACTATTGTCTATTTTTATTTTTATTTTTTTTAACTCGGGGAAAGAAAAAAAAACTTGTTAGTTATTTAGTTGTACAATTTCCTCTCTCTCTCTCTCTCTCTCTCTCTCTCCCACATGCATACATTGACCTCGCGAGTGAAAATAAATGAATCACACCATCTCAAGACCTCTCGGCATAATTATCGGGCAGAATCCTCCCTCGTAAACACGACGTCGAGCTCATCACCAACCCTGCCATTATCAATCTCGCCATCCCAAGGCACAAACGAGACCGAGGCACGCAGACCCCAGCGCTTACCCAGCTCTTTCCGATGCTCAACCGGAATCCGCGCTTTCATGCCCTCCCACACGGCACGAAACGCTTCGCCCTGGCCCTGGCGCTCATCTTCCTGACCCTCGTCGGGAGCGTCGAACCACACGCCTTCATCTACCATACGCACTAGATCATCCGTTGGTTCCATGGATGCCCAGATATCTGTGGGTGCGTAGCGGACACGCACTTCTTGGAGACTCGTCGAGTCGCCAGCACAGCCGAGTGCACGTGGAGCAACGAGCATAAGTAGTGCATGCACACAGACTTGGATCCAGTAGCGGATTTTCACGGGGAGCGCGTAGCCCGGGCGGGAGAGGTGGCGGTGGTGGTACGACTCGCGGGATATAAAGGCCAAGGGGAGGGTTATACTGGTTAGGGTGAAGGAAGGGGAAGAGAGGTAGGTGAATAAGGGTGTTACTTCGAGGGAGACGAGGAGGTCAAGTTTGCTGGATATGTCTGCGGCTGAGGCTTCCTGTGCTGGATCGCGGTTGGGGTCGATGAAGGGGTAGTGGGTTGAGAGGCCAAAGGGGTCGTTTGCGTTGGGGGGTTGAGAGGGGGTGTGGTGGCGGAAAGAAGGGTATAGAGGCATGTTTGGGGGGTCGTACAAGTTGTCATCGTAGTGTTGGCCTTCGTGGTCGTATTCATCATAGTGGGCGTTGTAGTATGCGCCGCGGATGTAGTCGACGTCGACTTGGACTTGGTCGTGCTCCCAGTAGTCATCGACTCGGGCCTCATCTCGCTCGGGGGGATAGTTGCGTAGGTTGGGGAGTGTCTCCCAGTCCAGGTGTATCTTTTTCAGCCACTTGAGCCATTGTCTGCCAGGGCCATTTGGTTCTTCGATCTTTTCGAACAGAGTCTTGAGTACGAAGGGTCCACAACTGAGATAGACAGTGTGGTGCTTGAAGAGTACCTCGAGCGCCTCACGGGCGACTTGGCGGTTGAGGAGGAAGTAGTCATGGCGGGTTATGAGAAGAATGGCAGCGGCACTGGGCTGGAAGTACTTTAGATTGCGCCGCTCAATGGGCCGCTGGCAACGGTGGTTTTGAGTGGCAAAGGCATAGTCATATATCTATCTGCTTTGTTAGTTATACGGCAGGATATGGGTGTGTGTGCACGGATGATAGATAGAGGTGAAGTGCGTACATGATCTCTGAGCTCCCGAGGAAGTTTAAGAAAAGGGAAGATGGCTTGTTGCGGCAGTGCATCCTCACCTTGGTGTTTTACTGCATCGACATGGTACGCATCAACGTTGGACATTATGCGTCGTGTTCTTCTCTTTTTTTTTCTCTATCGTAAATTAATTCTCCGCTTGACGCGTCGTGTTCCTGTCTGCAGACCAAGCCCTGCCCCGCAAGGCAGCAGCTAGGGAAGTGTTCCAGGTTCCCCGCCACGGCGATCCTCACGTGAGGGCAGATTTTCAGTGCCGACGCCACCCCTGTCGTGCGGCAGCATGGCGGTGCAAGCGCCTGACACAGAGCTTGGAAGAACGGGCCGACTTGTGCCTGTAATGACCTTCATGCGCGTAGCGTGCCGTCTTTTCGGGTCGCTAGTAATCGCGTCAGTAGGGAGCCCTGAAGCGACAAAAGCCGTCGAGGCCGAGTCTCATTGTGCTACTAGATTTGTGAGGCAATGGCGCCCCGAGAAGGTTTCTCGACGCCCGGAGCTAGCAAGCAACCTTCTTTGAAGGCCTTAGTTACTCGACGCCAAGCGAAGGCTCCTCTACTCATGGTCGCACGGCATCTGGGTAGTAGGACTTGGTCCATGTACATATGTCGTATCTATGTGCATATGCATGTACCACTCCAGTCTGTGGCCGACGCTGCAGGGCCATTCGGCTTCTTTGATTGCGGATGGGCGACGGTACATTGCCTGTTCAGGTACTGTCGCCACCCTCATCGGCCCATGGCACGCCGAGTTTGTCACCAGCAAGCATGCAGAGACAAGGTGCAGAATACACATGTATCGAGGACGGGTCGGCAGCCGTCTCATTTCGTCGGTCATGGCCCTATTAGCGCCGAGCGGACTGGATTGGATAGCACCAAACCAAATTAGCCAGCACCCCAAACTGGTTGAGCCCTTTGACAACCGAATGCCCTTGAATCAATGCATTGCGGAGGCTGTATACATACGGGGGGCATCGGCCGACTGGTCTTTTGTTGCCAACCGACATTCAGCGTGTAATGACGGGCTTGGGCTTGTCTTGCATGTGTACTACCCGCCAGCGCCCCAACAGTTCCACCTATGAGCGGATACCAGCCGCTGGCAGGTTGACGCGTTGTGTGGTTGAGTGCACAACATCCGTCCTTGACGCCCGTCTGCTGTGCGAATCTGGCGCATCTGGATAATGTGCCGGCCCATGTGATGACGATGCAGCAGCAGAAAGAGGCTGCTCAAATGTTGCAGCGTCATGAGTGGCAGTATTGGGTATGCCGTGTTTGAAACTTTATCAACAAAAGGTCCCTGAGCTGTTCCTCTCTTGTGGGGTGTAGCCCTGCATGTGCAACGGCGTCTGTGTCTGATGAGGCGCACATCTCTTACATGCTAGTGATGGTTGTGTTTGTAGCCCCAAGTGTTGGCATCCATGTACAAAGCAGGACGGAACCATAAAGCCTGACGATTATTTGTTGCGTGGGAATGTTAGCACCAAGGTGCTAGGGCCATGTGGACGGTGTGATACTATTGGAATGATAATAATGATGATGATGATGATGATGATGATGATGATGACGGTGGAGGTGCCGTGATCAAGCGATCCATGGTACTGATGTGGGAATTGCAGAGCACGATTGTTAGACAGAGTAGAGTGGAAGGAGCAGTGTGCTGAGGTACAAGACATCAGGTGGCAGCTGGCAGCACAAGGCCGTTGTCTGTGCGGTTGAATGTATGGACCCGGTGGTTGGGTCTGGGTGAGGTGGCACGGTCAAGTCGAGTAAGTAATTAGGTATAGAGTGAGGTGAGGACAACATATACTACATGCATGGTGTAATAGAGGGCCGAGGTCGGCATGAGCCGAAAGGGCGACAGGCGGTGCAGGAACAAGCATGAGAGAAGATGCAGTCAGCAGCTCGGTCTGGCCACGACCCATGTTGGTGTTGGCCGCGAGACTAATGCTGGATTAATAGAAGCAGGTTTAGCCTTCGGTCGTGTCACCTCAGGATGGCACGGATACTGGATCTCGTCGGCGCCGGATGGGTGTGAGGAGTGGGCACTGGGATGTCGATCAAGAAAGCAGGGACGAGTGAATGTTTGTGGACGGGACAGAGTGGATGGAGAAATGCCAAGAGGGGCAGAAGCACGGGACTGGCAGCGAATAGGACTACGGGCTCCGGGTGCAGTGGCATGATTCTGGAGGCTGACGCATGCAATCCTAGCTTTGGAGGACGGCTTCTTCAAAGGCCCAAGGATGGAAACAGCAGGTATGAAGGGCCTGGGCGTAACGGTCACTGGCGATCTGCGAGAGGGCCCCCGGCACGACAGGCAGGGGGCTAGCAGAGTATGGCAATGGTGAAGGCGAAGGCGACGGGAGCTTGCGGGCAGGGGTGCATGTGCTGCCACGGACGGATGCAGAGGCGAGGCGCGCGTGTGAAGGAAGGGCGCGTGGATCGGGGTTATGGGGGGGGGGGAAGAGGAACGTGGAGGAAGAGGGTCCTGATAGCGCGGCATGGCTGCAGCATGGGCGGCGAGGAGTGGCCACGTCGATTTGTTTCGCGGCGGATGCAGCAGAGTAGTTAGTGTATAGGGCAGGGTAAGGGAGGGTAGCGTAGGGTAGCGTAGCGTACAGTACTGCGTAGGCGTGAGTGGCATGCTGGCTGTCCTGTCGTGTCGCAGAATTTGCTTGGGCTCGGCGCAGTGGCCGGTTGGGTAGCATGTGCAGAGGGACATGTGGGACCTCGTGGCGGTACAGCGGGCAGCGGGCTAGCACCACTGCTTGGGCGACGGTGACGACAAAAGGACCAGCCTCTGCCATGTTCGCATCCCGCGTTGCGCCCGGCCGCCGTCGTAAGTAGCCAAGTAAGTAGTAGTCGTGGTTGTGCCGGCCTCTGCTCGTCTGTCACTGTGCTGTTCGTCTGTCTGTCTGTATGAATGTACACTACTGTATACCGTACAGAAGAATACTCTACACTATTACATAGTAGGCACTCTGCGCCGCACCCCCCTTGGCCGCCCCGAGTCAATCCGCGTCCCCCGTCTGGAGCAGAGTCGGTAGCGCGGGCACCAGTTCACGCGTCGAGACAGGGTGCCCATATTAAAGTGCAGCTAGCCGCCGCTAGACGGGCTGCTGAGATACACGAGGCCTCGATTGAACGATTTCCCACGTGTGGCTCGCTCGTGTGCTCGGCGCCATCATATCCATTAATTGGCTGTTCCCTGGCCCTGCCGACCCTCACCCACACTCGACTCGACTCTCTCCGTTCTCTACAAGGCCTCGTCCGACGGTCGTACATTTGCTCCCTGACCGCCAACCGCCGGCTGCCCGCTGCTTTGTTGTGCTGCCCGCTGCCTGCTTGTGTTCCCACCACACCCCCCCCTCCCAAGCGTCCTTGGAACTGCCTGGGGCCCGTCTATGCAAGGCACCATCACTGCTGCTGCTGTTGCTGTCCCGTCCTTCTCTCTCCCTCTCTCCCCTTCTTCTCCCTGCCCGGCTCCCTGTCCCTGTCCCTGTCCCTGTCCCTGTTCTTGTCCTTTTTCCTCTTCCTCTTCTTCTGCCGCTGCTGCTGCTACTACTTCTTATTATTCGGCCACTTCGTTCTTTTTTCCCCACCTTCTTCGCGACATGCACCCGACCTGCTTGTCTGCCGAGTGTGCTTAACGCCCCTCCCCCGGGTGTATTCTTCGGTCTCACGCGCCCTGGCCCTTACAGAATCTGCCATCTGCATTCGACTTTCTTTTCACGCCTCGCCTCACCTCATCGCACCTGAGCCTAGTAAGACGTCAACTCGTCGTGTGTACCACGGCAGCGACACGCCACCCACCTCTCCGTCCACCCACTCGGCCCAGCCGGCCTACCTCTTGCTCGAGCGCCCGCCACGACGCTTCGCTTGACGCCTGAGTGCCGCAGTCCCTCTCTCCGTCGTGCCGATCCCAAATCCCACCATCTGGACGCCTTGGACCAATTGCGCCTGCCACCAACCACGTCCACACGCTCTCGTGGCAGCATTGCACCCGCAGCACGCTCCTTTTCTGCCCACTCCTCGTGCTGCCTCTGGCGTCATCGCCGTTGGTGCTGCTTAGCCCTCGCTCTTGCTGTCGCTGTCGACGCAATTCAACGTGTGGCGTGCGCGCGCCCTCCCGCGTGCCTCGTCGCATCGCGCTTGCCATCTGAGTCGGTGCCAGTCTGGCTTGGCGTAGCTTTATCCTGCCCTGCCCCACTTCCTCGCCTGCCATTCTCGCGTTGGAGCAGGTGCAAAGCAGTATCCCCTGCTCAGCTCGACTATCCTTCCCACCCCGCCTCGCTCTGACTTCTCCGTTCCACGCTTCTACTATACGTCCATCCTTGGGAACGGGTCCCCTTTATTTCTCAATCATTACTTTTGGACCCTCTTCCAGACCCTGGGTCCTGCCCTGACCCGTTACCACTTGCCCGCCACCCTGTCAGCCTCCCTATTGGTCCTGTCGCTCGTCACCATTCAACCCTGTGATCCATTACTCTACCAAGACACCTTTTTCGCTAACGCAGAGGCCACACTGTCCACTACTATTAAACTGCTCGCTCGTGAGCGAAGCCCACAGCCATGGATTCAACAGCCCAACCCCGAGTGCAGCATGGTAATGGTGTGCATGGTAAGCTGCCTCAAGGGCAGCAATCACTGCCACCATTATCAACCCTCACAAACGGCTTGCCTACAGCTGAACACAGCCCGGCCCAGCCAAAGCAACAATTGGACAGCCGGGACATCCGCGACTCGGGAAATTGGTCCATTGCTCCAAGCAAACGTGAGTATCCAACACCACCGCCTGCCTGTCACCTACACGTTGTCCTAACGTGTACGCCAGACTCATCTACTGTCTCTCAGCACATGGGGCTGCAGGTGCAAACTCTTCTGAACCCTTCAGAAGATTCGCCCTCGCGTGCATCGATACCAGAGACACCATCATCGGCGAGGTATCCTTCTGGCTTCTCTCAGTCTTCACAGCCAAGTGCTTTGCCATCGCTCAACCAAGGGTTTGACAACAGACTAAGTGTTGATGCCAGTTCACATCTAGAATCTCGACGCAGCAGTGTAGACAGCCGCATGAATGTTGGCATGGGCCATCTCAGTATCCATCCACAATCGCCGTACGAGAGCCAGAATGCATCCCGAGTCTCCCTTGTCTCGAATCTGCAGCAGCAACGAGGCATTGCAAACCCCGAGTCGCGCCCCAATGGCACTTCTCCTCTGTCGCCTAATCGCAATGGTCCACGTGCGAACCACCCTCCACGGCGCGCTCCCGTCATTACTCCAAACCCCAAGAGTGTATCTGGAGCACCCAATCCTACCGCCTCGGCACCAACCAAGGGATATGCTTGGGCCTTTCCAGCAGACGACTTTGAGCATGAGGACAAAAGAGCATCGAGTAGTGGTGAGTCTAGCATTGATCGCTCAAATGTGCCTTCGCGTCAAAACAGTATTGCAACTTCAATCAATAGTAGTATATACACTACTGACTCAAGATTACCCCAAGGCCAACAGCGGCTAGATGACGGCATGTATTCCAGTCTATCTCATGTGAAATTACTGACTGATGTAGACATTCCAAGTACCCACCATCATTCTATGCAACATCGTAGCGTTACGAATCTTCAGAGCATAGACCCCAGTAATCCATTGACTCCTGGTGGCGGAAGCTATAGTCGGACACCCGAACTTCGCGTGAGCCACAAAATGGCTGAGAGGAAGCGCAGAAGCGAGATGAAGACTTTGTTTGATGACCTAAACAACATCTTGCCCAACTCGCCAGGCAGCAAATCAAGCAAGTGGGAGATACTCACCAAAGGTAGGATTGTCCACGGCCTCTCTCATGTATCTTGCTAACAACTTACCAGCCATTGAGTACATACGGAATCTAACCAGAGCACACCAGACTGCTCGCGAAGAGATTGGTCGCTTGCGACCTGACGCTGAATATTGTCGACGGGCCCAAGAGGAGAACGAGCTACTTCGCTCCGAATTGACAGCCGTATGGAATGCTCTTCGTCGTGTTGACCCCAACAATGCACACGTCTACGGAAGCATGACTGGTCATCTCGCTCAAGGGCATCCTACAACGCCTGGTTCTGCCACCACCGTGCTCCCGCCACTTCAGCAACAGCAACAACAACAGCAACAACAACAACAACAACAACCGCCAGCCTCGTGGGTGCCACCGCATGCCAATGCGATGCAAGGCGTCGAGTTTGGTGGAATGCGCCCATATGAGCATTCACATCGCTAAAACCATATTTCTCTTCAAACTTAGTCAGGCTGAGCGCTTCTGCTCAACAGCTTGCCTTTGGCACTATTCCACAAAGCTTGCGGACGGATAAAGACTTGCGCAATCGTTGTCGATTTAGCGCCGGATCCAGTCACGCCACATTTACGGGATGTTCGCCTTGACATTTTTTGCTCTTTCTCATCGAGGGGTTCGAGGCGGGTGTGCGCTTAAGCGTTATATCGACATGGGTACACGCCTTAGTTGACTCTAGGTCAACGGAACCCCCTGAGCATGGCGTTAACTACCTTCGAATGTGCTTTACGACCTTTTCAGCATGGAAAAACTTCTCGTAGCATGGCCTTTGTGGCCTTTTTTTTTCGGTCTCCCGGGGTGAAGGGGAGGACATTTTTATTTCTACTATATGAACGTAGGGCATCATCTGTTTGCAGGAGAGGAGTAATTGCCCGGCAAGCTGGACAGAAAAATTTATACGCCATATATTTCCAGGGTGGATTAAGAAAAGATGAGAAAACTTCAAAAAGGCATCTGTTGGCTTGTACTTCTAAGTATATCACTGAAAAGGACGGATGCTCTGTATTTACCATAGCCTGAAAACAATCCAGGTCAATATTGTTTGTGATTCGATTCCATGGTGATTGTTTGTTATGTGTGGTGTTTGCTGTGCTTCGATGGTATTTAAGACCTAGTTAATTACCAAGATCGATGCTTAGCGACTATGTTGGAATTCAGCCTTCAGATTGGTGGGATTGCCTCACAAAGGCCCCGTGCAGACCTCTACGGACGATTGTCCTGAACTATACCCCCTTCTATGTCACCATCTAACGTTAGTAAGAGAATTCCCTTTGTTACTTGTTATTGGTACTACTACTATCCTTGACATCACTTTCATAGATATCGGATAAACCCATCATACGCACAAACAAACTTTCTCGCATCTCTCTTTCGCTATATTCGACACACACACACACACACTCAACATCCAAGGATGCATGCAGTCAATCCAATCTACTCTCTCCCCTACTTCCACCATACCCATCTCCCCCATCTTCCTTTTCCGTTTCTAATCCAATCTACTAACTAGACCGCGCTTACCCCAGCTCACAATCCGAGAACTCTACACTAGCCTTAGAAAGGGGAGTCTAGAGCGATATTCGATGAGATACTACTATATCTTTTTTTTTTCGAGAACAGAGAGAGAGCTGGAAATATACTTGACCTACGCGTTTTTTTTGAGGCGAAAGCGAGGTTATGTACCTCTCCAATCCATCTATTTTATTTCAGCTGCCGTGAGAATACATCTTTGGATATAAGATACGTGAAAGCGATAGTAATAGTTTAGAAAATCGACGGCTCTATAGTATCACCGGGGGAGGAGAGGGGGGGGCGCTCTCAGAGGTATATTCGATTCGTAAAAAGTGTTGGACTGGAAAAGTTGGGTTGATTGGTATTGAAGTGGTCTTGGATTGGATGAAGCAAAGAAAGAAAAAGAAAACTCGAGGTGAGTACAGACTCGATACTTACCAAGAACGCCTTGCCCATGCACAACCCGTACTCTCCGTTTCCGCGGATTCTGCTCCACGTGGTATATACACTTTGTGGCGTTTTTCACTATATATATATATATATATATTTTCAGAATTTTTCCTCTTTTCATAAAACTTTATAAATAAGGCGTTCCAAGCTCCCCCCGACCTCCCCTGACCCACTCCACCACCACGTGTCCTAAACTCTCTTTCCCCTTGCCTTTCAAAATCTCCTCGCTTTCTTTTAAGTTTCGGGGCACAAAGAAGAAGAAACAAACAAGGGTATAGTGGTTGTCTTAGGGTAAGGGGGATCCCAAGCAACAGACGAGTCAGACCATGGGTGTGTGTGTGGGGGGGGAAGGTGGGCCCACGTAGGAAATGTGGAAGGGGAGAAAACGCGCTCTTTACCCTTTTTCGGGGAAAATGAGGCTTTTTTTGTAAAGAGAGAAGGAAAAGCGAATGCAAGGGGAGGTTTGGGGGAAAAGAAAGAGGAATGGTGCGGATTCGGAAATGGAAGGGAAACAGGGTATATAGCTTGATGCAAGTCAGACTGAGTAATACAGAACGCGCAAACGAGTTATTTGTACGTGAAGGGAAATTGGCAACCGAGACCGCCAGAAAAGGGTATATGTCATTAAATCCAATAGAACGAGAAAGATGGCTTCTCGGAAACTTTTCTATAATGTTTGAAAAAAGAAAACGCAAACAACAACGCTAGCATTCTAACCGCGATGCAAAATAGTGTCCAAGGGATTCTTGGTCCTCTGGCCCAACTTCTTGTCCATCTGCTTCTTTTCCGTCTTGTTCATAAGTCCCTTTGCCTTGATACCGCGTTCCTTCCTCAGCTTCTTGAGTGCTTCCTCTGTCATTTCTTGGCGGAGCATCTGCTCAACGACTAGTGTCTTGCGGCTGCGCCGGTCGCCTCGGCCAATGAGGATGCCGGCAGTAATATTGCATGTAAGACTGAAGCTGAGGATGATAGCGGTGACTTCTTTGGGCCGATTCTTGTAGTAGATGCCCCATGTAGTGCCACCAAGGGCACATTGGAACATAGAGTGGAAGTCGAGAAGGACGATAATGGTGATGAGTAGACGAATGGAAAAGGCATGGTGCGTATATGTTTCGTGAGGCCGGTAGAACGTATGCGACTTGGCCAACTTGCCCTGGTGATGTTCCAGTTTCTTTTGCTCTTCCGCAGTCAACACAGGTGTCTCCACATCTTCCTCCAGCGCTTCTCCAGTTTCCCAGGCAGAAGATGGTGGCATAGCTGGGAGCTCGTTGTGGTCCTTTAGTTCCTTTAGGCCCCTCTCTTTGCGGATTCTCCAGGTTTTGTGCGCGTAGTAAGCGACAAAAGCCATGTGGTAAGTGTCGACAAGGCGGAAGGGAAACATGGTGATTCCAACCACACAGAACAGAGCGGTAAGAATCTGGTCGGCAATTTCGACAAAATAGTCTTGTCGGTGGCCAACGTAGATCCAACCGATAAGAAACAGAACCCATGCTGCTCCCCAAAAGGTAATGAGGAAGAAGTACAACGTGACAATGAAGCCAAGCGGGTTGCGGACGTAGCGTCCGAAACCCTTCATGGTCCGCTTAAACTTTGCGCGTCGCGAGTGAAGGAGATGGCGCACATGGTCATCGAGAGCTGCCTTCTCCTCGTCTGTCCATCCTGTCAAGGAAGCACCGTGAGGGAGCACGGCATAGTGATGACCGGGGCCTTCCTCCATAGTGGACAGAACCGAGTCGATTGAGTTTCGGCGAAGCAACTCACCATCATCGCCGCGTGCATCGCTCGTTGGTCGTCCTGCTTCGCCCGTTCGTGTCGTTTCTGCGTTTCTTGCTCCCCTAGCCGTGCCCATTTCTTCATCCGATGACTCAGACTCAGTCTGCACCAGATCGTATGTAGGCTGGCGATTGTAGAGCCAGGGCAGATTGGGTATAAACAACGAGTTTTGGACATTGTTTAGTGTCGTCAGGGTAGATATTTCGGGATCTGGGAATTGCATTAGTCTACGATAGTGAACTGTTGAGAGATCACTAACCAATGACATCGAGTACGTCAACGACATTATCACCCATCATGTTTTGGCGGGGAGTCTTCTGGCTTCGACGCATATGGAAGGCTGAAGACGTCCGAGTGAGGCCTCTTCGTGGGTTGCTAGCACCCTGAGCCTGCGGAGGACCGTTGCCAGAAAAAGGGGCCGTAGCTTGTGTATCATGTTCGTACAATGGCTGTAAATGGGACGTTCCTGTCAGTTGAGGCCGCAGGGCATCGTCATTGAACATGGCTTGTGGAGGCGGGCGTGGCTCGGAACTGCTTCGTCTACGACCACCTTGCCATGCATCGTCGACAGCTAGCGCTTGATTTGAAGGAGCTGGTGCTGCATCGGCCTCTTGGATAGTCTGTGAAGTATTTTCAGGTGGGAGTGAAGCTCTCTGGGTACGGACGGAGGAACTGCGTAGTCTCAGGGGATATGACGGCGCCTGGTGCACGCGCGGTGGTGAGGCAGAAGGTTGGGGCGCAGGTATGTGGGTGGTGGTAGTAACAGTAGGGTGAGTGATGGTGGTTGAACCCTCTGGAGAGTGGTGTATCGTGGTTCCCTGTTCCGGAGTCGTGTGAGTGGTTGAAATAGTAGTAGTATGGGGACCAGAGGTGGTAGTGGTGGTGGTAGTCGAAGTGACGGGCGATGCCTGTGGGAGGCTTTGATCGTCTTGCCTGGGTTCCATGGTTGCAGTAGTCACGACGGGCGTCTCCCCAGGAAAAAAAAGCGTGGGCGACAGAGGAGCCGGGCTGGGGAAGTAGAAGGGCAGAGGGTTAGATGCAGTGCTTTCTAAGCGTGCGTCTGTCCGGTCGCAACCGGCAAGAGCTTAGTTGATGGTTCAGTAAGCAGATGGGGCGTGGATCCTGGGCAGGGTCAGGCTAGGGCGACGCTAGGGAGGGGGCAAGCAGCATGTGTACATATGTGGATGCAAGGCGTCCTGAAAAGGGTGTGGACAAAGGTTTTAAGGGAGTGGGCATGGATGTAGTCTTTGTAGTGCTGTGGCTGGAGGGACGGGCGGCAGCGTATACGGGGAAGGCTCGCCACAGCCACTCCGCGACGCCCGGCGCCCGGACCAAACAGCAGCCGGAAACTTTGCGTCATAAACACGCTGGCCGTGCGGGGAGTGCAATATTGTTTTTGCACAGTGCCGCCAGCTACTGCTACTACATCCATACATCTATATTACTGCTTGATTACATACTATACAACACATCCCATGGGCATACAAACACGCGCTGAAACGTGATGTGCCGCCAGAACATAAACGAGCCGTCACCCTGGCCATGTGCTAGCGTGGCAGCGTCCCGCATCCTTCATGGGCTCTAGCCTAGCCTTGACAGCATACAAGCAGCAAGCTACAGCAGCCGAAGACGCGATATATGCTCCCGGTCGACCGATGAAGTCGGGAGATAACATCGCCCACCACCACCATTACTATTATATTTGTCATTCGCTTGGGAATCATTGACATCGGGTTAGCGTTTTCGTCTAGTCGAAATCTTATTAAAAATCATGTTACGATGGTGCTGATATCTCGTAGTAAAGGTTGCTCGTTTTGGTCGGCTAGCCCGCTTGGCCTGGGATTTCTGGTTCCACCGATCGACCGAGAGGCATGGCCATTGCCTCCGCAGTCATGTGCTAGGATTGTGTATTACTACGAACCCGCTAATGTGTAATCCAACGGTACCTCTGTACTTATGCCGTCGCTCCATGCTTTCTGCCAAAGCCCAACACGTCGCCAGAAAACCACAAGTGAGGCGAGTTTTTGCTCGATGCGGCAAGCCTGCTATAGGGCTGAGACGCGTCTCTGCCTTGGCCCGTCACGCTTTGGCCAATGCTGTGACGCAACAGTCCCACGCCTGCTGTCCCCATCTGTGCCTGAAACAGGGCCGCCTTTGCGCCTCAACATTTATAGTACCCACGCCCTCTCTTCCCACCTATCGCCATCACATCCCACCTCTCTCCACCATGAAGCCTATTCGCGCCCTCTTGCCGGGCCTCATGGCTGTCAGCCATGTTGCTGCCGCACCCCAGCAGGTAGTCCTTGACGCGTTATCCAAACCATCCACCAAGCCTGTAGGAGTCGGCCACTTCAGCGAATGGAGTCGCCAGACCAAGAAGGAGTTTCTGATTGATTGGCAAGCTGGAAAAGAGTCGGAGTGGATTCTAGTCCAGGGCAATGAGGGCGGTGATATGGACTCGATGACTGCAGCTCTGACCTGGGCATACCACCTCGAACATGCCACCATGAACACCTCCAACCCCCTCAAGGCCATTGCCTTGTTGCAGACCCCGTCCCATGCCCTTGATCTGAGGCCCGAGAACAAGCTGGCCCTGGACAATTCGCAAATGACGCCTGGCCATGAGGACCTGCTGACACTAGACGAACTGCCCGAAGATCCAGAGACATTGAGCACCAAGCTCAAGGGCATTGTCCTCGTCGACCACTCGGAACCCCTTAAGAAATGGTCAGCCGCCAAGATTCTGAGCATTTTCGACCACCACAAAGACCGCGGCACCGCACCAGACGCCGATCCCCGTGTCTTTGAGACGGCAGCGAGCTGCACAACCCTTGTCGCCCGTCAAATGCTCGACGAATTAGAGAAGCTCGACGAAGAATACCACATGCCACATGAGCTCCTCGAGCTTATTCTCAGCGCCATTGCCATTGACTCTGGCGGCCTCACAGGCGACAAGACCACCAAAGCCGACATTGAGATTTCCAAGCGCATTCTCGCACGCAGCAACTGGAGGGACGACGACCTCAAAGACGTCATGGAAGATCTCGACGACGAACTTACCAAGGCCCAAAAGGACATTGACAATCTCGGCCTATACGACCTCCTCCGCCGCGATTGGAAGTCCGACGCAATCGACACGCCTTCTCCACGCACACCTGCCATCAGCGTCGGCTTCGCATCTATCCCTTACTCCATGGACGAACAGATCCTCAAGACCGAGTTTCAGGAGCTATTTGGTACGTTCAATTGCCCCTTCCTTGTTTACCCCCAAAAAGTCTCAAGCTAACACCTTTGCACAGACTGGTTCGCCATCCACGCCGCATGGACCGCCCAAGCCAACGTCGACGTCTCCGTCTCAATCAACAAGTACAAGAAGCACTACAAGGACGGCAGCAAAGAGAAGATCAGGGAAATCGTGCTTGTTGTCCGCGACGATGTGCGTATTGATCAAGATCAAGCGGATTCGCTCTTCAAGCTTGTCAAGGACGCGATTGAGAACAACAAGGACGGCATTGATTTCCAGCCTTGGCACAGGGCGGATGAGTTGGCGCCTAGGCAGATGGTTTGGCAGCATAGATCGGATGCGGGCAGGAAGGTCATTAAGCCGCTTGTCGAGGAAGCTATCATGGAATGGGACTAAAAAACGCGTCTGGGAGATGGGAGACCTGAAAAGTTACCCTATTATCTTTTTTGAAGCCTCTGGATTAGGCTCATCAAACACCACGACTATTGCTATGACGAAGAAAATGAAAATGTCATGTCATGATTCATCTCTCTCTCTCTCCTATGCTACATGAGTAGAGCCTTCGTCGCTATGCAAAACAACAGTCCAACAAAATAAGCAAAGCGTCCATCACTATGCAAAATCGAACAATCAAACAAAATCCAAAAACAAGAAAAAACATAAACAACAAAACTAATACACGATGCGAAGCGAACCCCACACTTTTGCCCTCAACCCCAGCAAGATATATCTCCTCCAACCCGGCTGTGTTCCGGAAAATTTCCCCTGTGAGAGCCTTCCCTTGCGGGCGGCTGGAACTCGAACGGGGGAAAGAGACCTTCATTCAAGCCAATGGCGAGGTGAACCAAACTGCTGGAGTCGGGATGATGTGAAAGCCGAAGAGAGAAAAATCAAAATCCAGATATCCGGAGAGTCAATCATCGAGAAAATGCAGGAAACCCAGAAACCCAGGGATTCCAGACAAAAACAAAAAACAATCAAAAAACACTTTGAAAACAAATAGCGCCGCCCAGATGCCGAAAAACGAGAGGGGTATCATCACCAAACGCCAAAATAACATATGCTGCGTAACCATATCCGTCTAAGGGCGCTACCGGGGGCGGACGCTACGCGCAGCAGGAGCGGGCTTGCGCGCGTTGGCTGCGTTGGTCTTGGGAGACAGTACATGGCCGCCCGCAGGCTTGGTGCGAGATCCAGCCCGAGTCGAACGTGTGGTGCCACTGGCCGTCGTCTTCTTCTCGGCTTTTTCAGCCTTCTCGACTTCAGTCTTGGGAGCAACATTTCTAGTGCGCTTCTTGGGCACAGGCAATTCGGAGTTTTCCTTGTCCTCGCCAGACAGTTCGTCGCTGCTGCGCTTCTTCGCTCGGGCCGTCTTTGTTGCTTTGGCGTATGTGGGGACAGTCTTGGTATTGGTAGTCTTGGTTGTGGAAGTGGACTTGATGCGCACTTCTGGAGAGGATGCGGGTCTCGAAGAAGGCGCGCTGGGAACAGCATTGCGAGGTTTGCGGCCAGCAGTGCCAGTACCGGCTGCCTTCTTGGTGGCGGCAGTAGTGGTAGTCGATGTTGTGGTGACGGCGGTTGTAGTTGTGACCTTGGTTGGTGGGGCAGGCGCGGTAATAAGTTGTACTGGTGCTGATGCCTTGAGGAGGTTGGCGAGTGTGGTTTGGCGCGTCACGACCGGGATGCGGTTGACGCGTCGCTCGAGGCGCGACTGCATACTGGCGCACTGAGCCTCGCACTGGGATCGCAGCTTCTCAATGCGCGAGTTGAGTTCGATTTGGAGGTTCGCAAGCATATTGGCCTTGGCCTCAGCTGTAAGTCCGCCGGCAATGTTGTTCATGGTGACGGTAGTAGTGACGCGTGAACAACCACCAGATTGATGGCGGTAGCGGGATGGCGGTAACGGGTATGACGAGAAGTTTTCAGAAAATCCCTTAGAGTCGCGAAGAGATCCTTGGGTAGTCCAAAGAAGCTTTGGTGCCGTTGCTGCGATTGAGGCTGTGTCCTTCAGGTGCTGGGTCCAGAGAGTAAACAACGCGTACTAGGCCGCGACGCTGACAATGGGAGAGCAGATACAAGGTGAGAAAAAACGCCGCGAGGCTATCCGGTACCTTTTGCAACAGCTGGGAGAGTTTTTGGTGTATTCTGGTGTGGTTGTGGGTGGTGTTGGTTGCGGCTTCTGTGTGGTGTGGGATGGTGGAGGAAGGAAAGATGGACAGTTGACGAGGCTTTTGTACTTACACCTATGCCAAGGTTGCCGACCACCTCCAGGCTGCACAGAATGTAGAATAATAATTACGACATTGTTTCTTCAGCGAATACCAAATGAGTCACTTCCAACAAAACGACTACAACACAGCGCTGCACAATAAGGCGCGCAATTCACCATATCTCAAAACACACGAGTAAGGTTTCGATTATCTCCATCGGAATATGAGTCATTTCCTCTGGCATAGTCCCGCACGGTCTCCCGCTGTCTCTCGTCCCCACGTGACGTCGGGGGTTTGCTTGCCAGCCTCCGGTCTCCGCTGCGGCGACCTAAGCTCAGCAGCATACCGTAACCGTCGATCTAATCAACTACCCCAAACTATCACTTCGACACCTAGGACAAATCACATTCAAGATGGTGTTAGAAGCCTCCATGATAGTGTACGTTTGCCTCCAAACCCCACATCTGCCTTTCCTTACTAACCTTCGCAGTGTTGACAACAGCGAAGCTAGTCGAAACGGCGATTATGTACCCTCGCGATGGGAAGCGCAACAGGATGCTGTCAACATGATCTTCTCCGCGAAGACTGGAGCAAACCCAGAGTCTTCTGTGGGCTTGATGAGCATGGGAGGCAACACTCCGGAGATCCTCACGACTCTGACAACGGATATTGGCAAGGTGCTTGATGGACTGCACAGGACAAAGATAAAGGGTAGCTCACATTTCGTCACTGGCATCAACGTGGCGGCGGTACGTTCTCCTGTAACATTAGAAGGGATCACTTCTGACTAGGGCGCGCAGCTGGCTCTCAAGCATAGGCAGAACAAGTCACAGAAGCAGAGAATAGTCATATTCAACTGCAGTCCTATCGAGGAAGAGGAGAAGAACCTGGTGAAATTGGCGAAGAAGATGAAGAAGAGCGGTATCAGCATTGATATCATCGCGTTCGGCGAACTCAGTGACGACACCACGCGGAAACTCCAGGCCTTCAGCGACAACGTGCAGAGCGCCGAAGGCTCCTACCTAGCCATCATCCCACCCAGCGCAAACCTACTCAGCGATTCTTTGATTACCACACCCATTGTCGGCGGAGAGGGCGCGTCCAACGCTGGGGGTGAAGGCGGTTCTGGAGGTGGTGGCGGCGGTGCATCGGGCGGCAATGACTTCGAGTTCGGAGTAGATCCTTCGGTCGACCCGGAACTTGCACTTGCGCTTAGAATGTCTTTCGAAGAAGAGAAGGCACGACAAGAGAAGGATAAGAAGGCTAAGGAGGCTGCGGAGGGCAAGTCGGAGCTAGAGCCAGTTGCTGAGGGCGATGAGAAGCAACCATTGTTAGATGATCAGGGTCAGCCTAGTGGAAGTGGAAGCAAGAACAAAAAGGACGATGACACAGATAAGATGGACACAGCATGAGCCAGAGTAGGCGTGGCACGGCGTCAAGGTGCGTTTGGCATAGCTTCCGTATAGAGCCTTTCTACCGGGCAGAGCATCTACGGCGTCTACTGTATGACTAGAGCTAGTGTCACCACATCTGACACAGATGGATGAATGAAACAAATAATGATTTTGCCAATCTGCTTAACCTGACATGATCATGTGTCGTGTTTATTGATGACTCGTGTCCCTCAAGCCCGGCTATCCCTATCCAAACGACGCTTCAATGACGTCGACGTCTGTTGCAACGGTAGGAGCCATTGAGAGTGATCTGTCTTTGAAGATGCTGCTCTCAAACCCAACGTCTTTCCACAATCGCCACGCTCCTTGATGCACACTATGCATGCACTATGGGCGTGCGAGCTGGGCGTTTCTCATATGGCCATGTATATCAATTGCGGCCACATGCCATGACCAGCCCCTCATTCCGCGATCGTCATGTCCTCCTTATAGACTGTGCTGCCCTCACCCTCTCACCTTCACGAATCCATCCAACCCTCGATCGAACTTGTCGCATCGGATGGGCATTTCCACGGTGTAGAATGGATTCTTCATGACGTAGTCGGCATACAATTCATATATCTTCTTTATCATTGTATCCACGTTTGGTTGTTGCGGCTCGGTGAAGAGTAGAAACTTTACTCCGGTTTGTGTTTGGAAGCATTGAATGCGGAAGTGGGAACTTTCGAGCACTTCAATACCGGTAGCGCGGACGGGGAAGGTTTGCAAGTTTGGGGTGGTAGTTGAGGGAGGGGGTGCGCGAACGGGTGGCACAGGAGAGAGTTGGGCGGTTATGGCGTGCATACTGGAGCGGGGTTAGCAGAGCCATGATTGCGCTTGTAGTAGGGCTGACCCATGGAAGGATCCAGCAAGCATAAGGTAGTCATTGCTGGTGAGCTTGTTCATGCCCGTATGAAACTCGCGGTTGTAGATGAGGCCACCCGACTTGCTTACTATGAAGAGCGCAAAGACAACCCTATGACCGTTAGCTGGAATGCTATGATACAAGACCTGAGGCATACATGTTGCAGACGCAGCCTTATCTGCTGGCTATCGCGACAATTAGAGCGTGGTGTTGCGGCTTGGGTTCCGTGAGCGGTGACGGATTCTGCCCCTCCGCATGCATCTCCCTGCAACCCGAGCTACTAGGGCTTCGTTACCCATGCCTGCCTTGACACCGTAACGATCTACAGCCTTCCTGCAAGTTCTTCTACTGCTGTCGGCTGGGGGTACAAGGTCACCCACATAATACTTTGTTTTCTCCTCACTTTCTTCTGAACCACAACTCCAACGGCGTCGCGAAATCAAGCAAACGAACCCACGAGGCTGCTGAATCTTGCGGGATTTGCGCATTTGATTGCCGATACGGTAGCCTAGAGGTGCCCGAGCGACTGCTTGTCGGCTGTCAGTCACTTTGCCCAATAACGACTTCCAGACCGTTCGATCAGCTGTCTCCTCTAGGCCCTCACTAAGCCCACTGACCCCGCGCCTCCAGCCCGCACAACCTACTCACATACGAGACCCTAGCAGAGACGTTGCCACGGGACCATGTCGAATCAGTGTATTCTCAGAATCACCCGCGAATTGGGCGAGATCCAGCGCGGATCCGACCTCTCAATAGCCGTCGCCTGCCGCGACATCGATGTGCGCCATGTGCGGGCACTCATCATAGGCCCGCCTGATACCCCATACGAGTTTGGCTTCTTCGAATTTGCCGTCAAGTTCACTCGAGACTATCCAACCAAAGCACCAAGCGTAACAGCCATAACCACAAACGGCGGGCGCACGCGCTTCAATCCCAACATCTACGCAGGCGGAAAGGTGTGCCTGTCAATTCTTGGGTCAGCAAAACCACGTTCTCTACCTATTCCAAAACTTACATGATCCAGCACATGGCGAGGCGAGCGTGGTGAAGAGTGGTCATCTGCACAAGGCCTCGAGTCAATCCTGATCTCCATCCAGAGTCTCATGTCCGGCAACCCGTACGAGAACGAGCCCGGTTTTGAAGACGCGAACTCCGACTATGACAAGAAGAACCAAGAAGCATACGTAGACAAGATTCGACATGAGTCTTTACGCATATCTGTTATTGAACGGCTTGAGGAATACCTAGGCATCAACCGACAGAGGCCTGGCGTGACAATCTACAACGCTGAAGAAGACTACCAGTCCAACAGAGACGATGCGCCGTTCGAGCCTTTCAAGGATCTCTGCAAGCGACGTTTTCTGTGGTACTATCAGTCCTATCTCACCCGGGTAGACGAAGCGGTCAAGCAGAACAAAGATGGAGATCGCTTTGAGAAGATGCCATTCGAAGGTCCAGGAAATACCATGGAAGGCGTTTTCCAATACACGTCTCTCCGGGAGCGCCTCGTCAAGATTTTCGAGACTCTCAACAAGGAAATGGAATCTTGGGCCTTGGAAGGCATGGCAGCCGTTAAGAAAGAGATGAGCATTGCCAACAACCTTCAGCGGCAATACGAACAGATTGTCGAGAAGTACAAGAAGCAAGACGCAATCGCATTGGACCTTGACTTGGTCGACAAGAATCCATTTGTATGGCAGCTGGTGCTCTTTGGTCGGCCCATGACAAACCTTGACGGAGGCATGTTCAGGATCAGGCTATACATCAGCCCCAAGTTCCCAGATGTCCTACCTCGAGTCCGGTTCGAGACACCAATTCTGTACCACCATCGCGTGTCCCCCGACGGTATTCTTTGTTACGACGCTGCTCGCAAAGACGATATGCGGTCGCACATTGAGGCTATCATTGCAGCTATCGAGGAGGAGTCACCTGCGTACGACCCGCGCACGTTGGTAAATCCCGAGGCTGCAAAGCTTTTCTGGGGAAGTCCAGACGACAAGAAGCTCTACAACCGTCGCTTGAGGCGGTCCGCGCAAGACAGCGCTGAGTAAGTCTGCCGTCTGTTACCTCGTAGCCATGTGCTGATCAAAACATAGAAATTTCTTCTAAGTTAAAAAAGAGGGTTATGCGGATGACGATTTAACGGCCTACCGCATTAGTGATGATCTTACATGATACCCCAAGTCTGATCCAGGCTTGCATTATACGGCGTTTGTGGGCTCTACTAGGCATCGTAGTATGAAAGATGACCACCTCAAAATATGGCGTTAGTTAACCAATGGTGGTACAATTTATCATGAATACATCGAGTTCTTGCATGGGCGCACATGTGCGCGTATATGCATCTATATGGGTTACAGGCATTGAACGAAAGCCAGATGATACGAACCAAGTCTATGTGTGCAAAATACCGCCTCAAACTTTCAACTATGGTAAATTTCTCTTCGCGAAGTGAATTCACGAGAGCATGATTCAGAGAATGATGTAATGTTGAAGATTGTAGACTCGTCCAGGAGTAGAGCACGGCCGGACTAAGACCGTCCGGACCCTGAGCAACATGCGGGGACTGCCAATCCATGCAATACCCCTGGGCGGAAATAGATCCCCGACCTCTCCGCAAACAAACCTTAATCCCCGTACCGTCTCTTTCGCCATTACTAAACATCATCCACAATGTCGCGTGCGGAAGAAATACAGTCTCTCGGAAAGGTCCTCATCGTCGGCGGGTGCGGCTTCCTAGGCAGTCACATCGTCAGCTTCATTGTGAAGCGCCACCCACAAACACAGATTGCAGTCCTTGATTTGCGGACCAGCTCAAATCGCCATGCCAGTCCGACCGTCTCCTACCATGATGGCGACATCACCGATGCTGCTGCAATGAAGGCTCTGTTTTCCCAGGTCAAGCCCCACTCGGTCATTCACACAGCCTCTCCACACTTCGACCTGAAGCCTGAAATCCACGACAAGGTCAATGTTGGAGGAACCAAGGTCTTGCTGCAAGCGGCGCAAGAAGCTGGTGTCAAGGCCTTTGTCTACACAAGTTCAGCAAGTGTGATTCTCGATCCTACGACAGAGCTCATCAATGCGGACGAAAGGTGGCCTCTTGTCACTGGTGCTGACCAACCCGAGTACTACACTACTACCAAGGTAAGCGGACATTCTTCGTTTACTTGCCATTGCTAATCCATGCATGTAGGCCTACGCAGAGACCGCCGTACTCCAAGCGAACCGCAACCCCGAAAACTTCCTGACCTGCGCTATCCGTCCTGCAGGCATCTTCGGCGAGGGCGACGTTCAATTGCTTCCCAAGATGGTCGCCGCGTGCCGCAAGGGACAAACCAAGTTTCAGGTCGGCGACAACACAAACTTGTTCGATTTTACGTATGTTGAGAATGTCGCCCATGGTCACGTCCTCGCTGTTCTGGCTCTCCTCCATACCCACAAAGTTCTGCCCACCATCCCTCTGGACACAGAGCGCGTGGATGGTGAGGCCTTCTTCATCACCAATGGCCAGCCTGTTTACTTCTGGGACTTTGCGCGCAAAGTCTGGCATGAGGCAGGTGACCGCGTGCCCTTGAGCAGCGTCTGGCATCTTAGCGCTGATTTTGCCTGGGCCATTGGCGCGGTCTTGGAGAACGTGTTCTGGCTCATGGGCAAGAAACCGAACCTGACCCGGGCTCAAGTAAAGTACAGTAGCATGTCCAAATACCACAGCATCAACAAGGCAAAGCAGCGACTGGGATATGCGCCGCTTGTTGATCTTGACGAAGGTATCAAGAGAGGCGTGCAATACATTTTGGAGCAGGAGAAGAAGGCAGAGGAGAAGAAGGGACAGTAGATGCGGTTCGAACACGCTGAAAGAAGTCACGAGCAACATGGTTGAGTAAATTTAATTTCATGTCACAGTTGATAGCATTATTGCATGCAGCAGAAGTAGTACATAATACATATAATTGCGCCGTATGGCTCCGAGCGAGATGCATCAAGAAGGCTGGATGCAGTTAGAATCTCCCAGGCGGACCCACTCTTGTCTTGGTTAAGTCAACTTTGTCGCGCGCAAGCTCATTGACTTACTAGCAACCCCACGTCCATCCCCGCCACCATGGAGCGCAATCACGAAGTATGTCGCGCCCGCTACTTCCCGAGTCAGCATACGAAGCGCTCGGTCTGTCTCCTGAAACGATCAAAGACCTGATGAACCCTAAGCCTGCGCCGGAACCCACCAAGGTTCACGCCCCGAATCTGCTACAGAGCGACGAGGATAATGCGCGCCCCATGTTGCCCAACGAAACGTCGATAACCCTGTACGCCGAGCTCTTGCTGCATATCCGGACAGTAACGCTCTTTGCGTCGCTGCGCACAAACCACTCGCGGCAGACAGACGCGAAGCTGTCCGCCGATGGCTCCTACATCACCGTGTCGCATGAGGGAGAGTCAGCAACAATACGTCTGCCGATCAACGTCAAGGGTGCTGGCGATGCCGCACTCGAATTACCATCGCGTCCTCCAAGTAAGGAGCTGACGCTACGCCTGCAACTGGAAGAGAAGGAAGGAAGTGATCTTTTGGGGGCTCTGCAACGCCAAGACCGACGGGCTAACATTGTGCCTTGGGACGGTGCCTCGCTGAACGGCGCAGAGGATGCAGAGATACTGTGCAAAAGCTGTGAGCGCGTTGTTGTGCCAAAGGGAAAGATTCATCAGTGGAAAGATTTGCCTAATGAGAATTGGGCTGAGATGATGGACTTCTGGCACTGTCACAAACCGGATGAGCATCACTTGCACAATCACACGCATGAACATGCGATTGGACAGAAGGGCTACGCGGCTGCCAACCGTCTACAGGCAAAGGAAGGGGTAGGCTTTGTGGATCTCGCAAGCTTCCTCTTTGCGGAATCTGATTGTGTGGGCGCGCAGGTAAGCCCATAACTTTCTTCTGATTTTTATTTGTTCACGCGCTCGTATGTTGTTATTTCATCATACGCGCGTCGGGGCGCAAAGAAGGCGACATAGCCTTTTTCCGTGGCACTATCGTTGATACAAGCGCCCCAGAGCAACAGGCTCACACACGGTCTCCTGGTTCCGGATATACCTTCTCCTTTCGAGGTTGATGGGTTGCTGGTTCCGTGGAGACAGCGGCCTGGCGTTTCACTGTCTCTATACCCTTTGACCATTGGGATTGACAGGTTTAGTCCAAGGCTACATGCTCTTTCTTCATACATATAGATGTCCTTTTTTTCTTCTCTATGTGATACTAACACTTCATAGCTATCTGCCGAAGAGAATAAAGAAGAAGTAAATCCGCACCCACTCCTCTGCAAACACTGCACCCAACCCCTCGGTATCCAAGATCCCCTCACAAACGGCTGGCGCATCCATAAATGGCGCTTAACCCTATCTTCCAAACTTGCCAATATCCCATCTTTTTTCTACTCACCACAAAAATGGATCTCAGCCCGTCTCCTCTTTCTCATAGAAAACACTGCAGTCCGAAAATTCCACATTCACACCCCTACCCCTCCTCCTTCAGACAACACAGTAGAACCCACACCCTCCATCCTCATATGGGTCTTCACCCCAGACCTCCTCTTCTCCTCCTCGATCCCCTCCCCCAACCGTTTCGACCCCACCCGCTGCATGAAAATCTTCTACCAAAGACAAACCTGGGCGCCGCTGCAACCCGGCGACGTTGAGAGTGCGAGTATAGAAGATGTAGAGTTTTCCAAAGACTTATACAACGAGCTGGATCAAGCGCTACGGCAGAGTCAGCGGTTGTTACCGCCGACTGCGAAGAAGTTTCAGGGGTGGGATGTTGGGCTTTTGGAGCGGTTTGAGGTTGTGGAAGGGGGAATGGGGTGGGTTGGGGAGGAAGGGCAGGAAGGGCAGGAAGGGGAGAGAGAAGACGAGGAAGAGGAGAATGAGTGGGGGATTCCTTCTGAGCCTGTTGATTGAATAGATGAATACACGATCATACGATTACATGCTATATTAAACCTCCTCCTTTTCTTCAAACAAAAGCTCTAGTCTCACACGCATGTTTTTTTTGGTACACTTGAATACGTACATGTCGCATTGGCCCCATGCAACATGTAGCGCAGTCAGCGCCACTCGCAAGCACCCTGTCAGTCCCAGTGACGTACCAAGCCTCCCTACCCCACACTTCCCTTATCAACCCCCGAAGCGTTCCAGACTCTCATTCCCCAAAACAACCAAGTGACGCCCAAATTTCACATGCTTTTCGCGCGTCCTTTTCCATCCCCCCCCACACACACACATACACACACAGCTGCACCTAGTTACGCATACGTGCAATGGGGGTGGATATCGGGCATTCTCTCCATGGTTTGTAGCTGCATGATAATTGCATCGCCACCACAATCACACCGACGTAGCGCGCGCTAGCGCTGAGTCACACATGCATCGCCGTGTAAACTTGCAACCCATGCATTTCGTACTACCCTTACTCAGCCCCAAGGAGTCACATTGGGTAGCGCGAACCAAATGACGAAAGGAAGAGAGAGAGAGTTTGTGAGAGATAGAAAGGAGGAAGAAAGAAAGAAAGAGAGAGATAGAGAGGGAGAGCGAGAACATTGTTTTGTTTTGTTTGATTATTTCGTATTTCTATCCTACACTATCTGATGATCTCTACCACAGCCTTAAAACTCCGTATGAGGGTGGACAATCGAAAAAAGGAGGATGAGGAGAAAGAAGGGGGGAGATCCAAATCAGTCGCAAAGAAGGAAAAAACCCGCTCGCCAGCTAAACAAAGATCATTTGTTTTTTTGTGAGGATTTTCTCTCTTTGGTATTTTTTTCCCTTGAAGTGGGATAAAAAAAAGGAGGATGAGATAATACGCGTTGATAATAACAGGAGTGAGAGGGATAAACAATCCTAAATTTCCAGGTCCGATGGGACTTCCATCCTGATCCACCTCTTTTGTCGTAAACAATCATGAGCGCTAGTTGCAAAAACGATGAAAAACGCCAGCCCGGGGAATGAATCTGCTCCAACGTACAAAGGCAAAAAACTTGCGGGGAAATAGCTACACAAATGCGTGATAAGCGTATACAAAATAGCGCAGGATTTACTGCGTGCTCATGAAGTTCATGTAGTTGAGATCATCCAATGTAGTGGTGGGCTCTGGACAAAAATCATCAAATTGTCCCCCAACCTGGTTGAACTCTGGGAAGAAGTTCGTTGTGTTGTTGAATGCCATTGCGCTGGGTGGCGAGGCGTCGAACAAAGTAAAGTCCTCGCCTGGAAGGTTGAAACATTGGTTCATATCCATGTCGCCAAAACCTTCGTCCATGTGTGGTGAGAAGAGTGTCACATCGGGCTGAGCCAGTGGAGAGAGCTGGGGGTAGCCGTTGTTCATTTGGTTATTCGATGTGAACTGAAGTGGCTCAAAATCAAACGTAGTGCTCATAGGGGTTGGCTGTTGGAAGCCAGTGTTGACGGTTGTGTCGAGGTTGCACATGTTGTACACATCATTGTGGTTTACACCAACATCCTCGGGAGTCACGACTGCATCGTTGAACGATGTGGGCTCAACGGGTGAGTGTCCAGATGAGTAAGTAAAGTGAGAACCGTCGGTGGCAATGGAGTCACGACGGAAGTCACCTTGGTAGCCGTTCGCGCTCATTGCTGGTGTTCCGAAGCCAAAGTCCATCATGGGCACTTGAGGTGAGGGAATAAATGGTGTCACTGGTGTAGCCATGTTTGCAGACATGGGTGTGCCAATGAAGGGTGTGAGAGGAGTTGTGGGGCTACGGTTGTTGCTGGAAGGAGCCTTCTTGCGACCGTTGCTCTTGGAGCGAACGTATTCCCAACCGTGTGCCTTCTCCATGTGTTGCTTGCAGTTGGATTCACGCTTTGAGGCGTATGTGCAGGGAGGGTAGAGACACTTGTATTGTGCGGGGGCGGCAGAGTGCTTATCGTTCATGTGTCGGTCGCGTTCCTTCTCGGTTGGCCAGCCAAGGTCAAAGTATTTGCAGTTCTTCTCAGAGCACTTCCATGGACGAGAATGGGTCTTCTCGTGTTTGGTCAGGTCGCATGGGCGTTTGAACTCCTTGCTGCAGTCACGGCAAGCATGAATGACATCACCTGGTTTCTCAGACTTGCGTCGTCGGGCCATGGAGCGGGTAACCTCATCGCCGTCCATGTCATCATCAACGTCGGCGTCTGACAAGCGACGTTTGATCCTGAAAGTCTTTGCGGCATCCTCATCAATGGAGATGACCTTTCCGTTCTTCTCCCGGACGAGTTCAACAGGACGACCGTTGTGGCTGAGGCCACCACGGAGCGTGATCTTCTCATCGCTGTGGAAGGCTTTGTCAGTGCGGGAAAACAGAAAGGCGGCTGCGCGGTCATACCGTGAGTAGTCCATGTCGTCCAGGTCCTCGCCTTTGGATTCCTTTTCGCGGGTGGCGGCCATGATTGAAGCGTATCGTCTAATCTGTTCCATCAAGTCGAGGAAGTAGCCGTCAGTATAAGGGCGGTCGGTTGGCAGTCGCTGGTCTTGTTCGGAAAGATACTGGACAGTCGTGGCCAAGAGCTGGATTGATCGTTCACAGAATCGGGAGTATTGGTCCGGTGTTGCCGAGAGCTCCTTTAAACCGCGAAGAATGCAATAAGCTTTTGCACTCCCAGAAAGACAACGAATATTACTTACCGGTGCCAAGAAGATGAGAGTCTTCTCGAGATCGCGAAGGTTGCGGATATTCTTCTCACCTATGCGTCGGGGGACGTCTTTAATAAGTTCGTGGAAGTCCTTCAAGGACTCCTCGGCGAGGATGGGCTTGACAATGCTGTCGTGGATCTGCTTGCACGCGTACTCGCCGAGAGTGTGGCCTTCGTCAGACGCACCCAGGGCGGAGAATGAGCGTGTGACAGCAGAGTGGGTTGAGCTGATGGAGGTGCTGATGGATTCACGGACGCTGGAGCGTCGGGAGCGGATGTCGTCTTTATGTATGTTAGAAAATAGGGCGTCCTGGTCTAGCATGGGTGGCTGCAGTGACTTCTTACCGTATCTCGATCCGCTAACGCTGGAACCAAGACCGCTATCAGAAGCGTGGTCGTGGGGGCTGTGGTCTTGTGCAGACGGCTTGGAGTCAATGTCCATGGGTGTATGGTCCAATACGGTGTTGTCTAGGAACAAGCTCGGGACAGGGAACACCTCAGGGTCGCTGAGGATGTTGGAGGAGGTGGACGAGCCCTTTTGACCGGCAATCTTGGCCTCGATGTCGTTGAGCAGGTTGGTGACACGACGGACGCTGGGATCCTGGATGGACTCTTGGACAAGCTGTTCGAGGCGCTCAGTGTTAGTGGGCGAGCGCCTGGGCATAAAGTGTCGATCCAGATCACAGATGTCGGATGATATGTAGGTTGGCGACGAGAATGTACCGCTTTTGCGAAGCTGCATGGCATGGGTGCTAAGAGGGGAGGCCCCGCCCTTAAGTGGACGCCGCCGGGGATGGCGGTTTTGGTCGTGGGGTGCAGACATGTCGGGTATGACTGGTTCAAGGACCGGTGGGAGGGGAAGAGGCGGCCTCAGGCTTATGAGTCACGGACTGTCACGGACTGGCACGGTTCCCCAGAGGCCAGGGATCCAACAGTCCAAGTGAAAGTGAATGACAAGGCCGAGATCACGTTGTCATGAACTAGTGACGGTGGGACCTCGTCTGGAAGGAAAACAGATGCTAGGCCGGGGAGGGAAGAAGGCAATGAGGTAGTGGTAAGAGAGGGAAGGGCGCCGGAGAGTTGGAGGAGCAGTGGTAGTGCAGTATATAGGAAGGCGCAGCAGCCAGACTAGCACGAGCGGTGGGCGGCGGGCGGCAAAGACGCAAAAAGGGCGGCGATGGTGCAAAAAGGACAACGGGCACTGGGGCGTCGGGAGGGGAGGCCTGAGGTGTCGAGGTTGAAGGTGGAGGAAGAATCAAGGGATTGGGGGGAGGGGGTATAGGTGGTAGTAAAAGAGAAGCGTCGACTATGAGCTTTGGTGTCGCTGTTGCCTAAGCCAAGGATTGCACGTCCCCACAGCCGATGCGCCACAATGGCCTCTAGTCCCGGATCAATACGAGTTGAACCCAGAAGACTGCCCATTGCTCGCCCACGACGGCCGTCATTCGCGAACAACCATCGTCGCCCTCGTCCGTTCTTCACCTGCAGCGCCGGGCATGTGCAGTAGCGGCAGCAAGTGTGCAGTTGTCGAGCACTACGAGCTGTCACGGCCAGAGCATCCACGGCACAGAGGCCATGCCAAGGCTACCGGTCAGCCCCAAGCAGCGCAGGAACGGGTGTTAGTGCGAGCCCTTCACACGCTCACGCTGCAAGGCGTCCAGGCTGTGCATGGATAAAGGTCATCTCGCCATCCTCACCCTCGTCACCATTTCTGGTCCGCCGACTGCTGGTGATAAAACCCGCCGCCCCGCGACCTGCGACTTGCACAAATGCGCAGCTCCACCCGATCCGCAATTCCCCTAGTCGCATGCTCGTACAGCACCCGTGTCCTCGCGCTTCTCGTCGCCCGCAGCGCCGTCTTGTTCTGGGTCCACGCAGACATACATACGTATGCAACTCCGCCTGATTGGCCCGTCACTGTCTCGACTTATTCACCGGTATCGTGTGGGGGCCGAAACAGTCGTCAACCTGCAGGTCATGTTTAGGGCTGCGCATGCAGGGCAGACGACCATTATCGATTTCGAGGCTGGCACGGCTTTAGACGGACCAAGACGCGCACCGCCGGCTTCCGCGGACCCACACAGGCCACTGCTACCAAGTAGTGTACATACTTACACCCTATCTATCAATCACCCACACTGGCACCCACCATCAATACACCTTGCCCCCCTTCTCCTCTCCTCTCCTCTCCTCTTCAACGCTTCTTCCACCACTTTTTCCAACCACTCTATCCTGCTGTCCTCATCCCATCGCCTCCACGCTCTGAAATCTAACTTTCTGCACAGTTCTCTGATAACCTCCACCTTGCCTGTCGTCTCAATCTTCCCTTCCATCGCACTGGCAATCTCCATCTCGCATGGTTGCATCATCTCTTGCCCTGTCGTACACTTCTCAACATACTCCTGCTTCCCCATGAACCACATCTCGCTGGGGTAGCCAAATTGTTCGATTGTGAAGTCGGCAATGTACTCTTCACCCGATCTGGTCGTGATGCTAAAGACACTATGCCGCACCTTTAGCTGAAGCGGATTGCCGTACCAGTGGAAAAGGAAGAGCGGTTTCGCGTCCACCGCAAACCACTCGATCTTTGCATTTACCTCTCCAAGGCAGCGCAAGAAATGACCAAGGAACAGTCGGATACTATAGTCGCAGTGGTTGTACTTATGACTACTCCTTCGCAGTTCGTGTGAGACCCAACATGGATAGGCAGCGGCTCCGGATTCTTCGACCAGTCCCTCGAGGAAATGGATAAGTACAAGAGGTGAAGATCTCGATATTGTCCACGGAATCAGGGCTTGTATCTTCGGTCGCTGTTCGTGCTCTAGGACAAAGTTGAAAATGTGCCAATACGGCTCTAGTATTGCCATGATTTCAGCACCATCTGCTGACAGTTGTAATCTCCTTTTAACTTTCTTTTTCTTGTCAGACCAGCATACAGGCCTACCCCAATTACACACCCTCCTGCACTGTTTCGTTGTTGTATACAAGACATGCATCCTCGTAATTCTATTAAATTAGAATCCTCCGCCTGGTGTTGTCGTCTTGTGGTGTGTCGCACACTTGGTCACATGCCCGCGAGAAACTTGTCTTCTATGTATCTGCACATAATTCATGGAATGCACTTGGGGATGTGGTACTGTGGCTCCCAATAAGTAATCCAAGTGAAATACCCAATACCGAACCCGATGAAAGGTAATGTATGATTCACAGTCCGGACTAGAGCACATTTTCCTAGTCTGGAGTTTTCTTTTCTTTTTCGCCATACGTAGACGAGAAGTGTGTAGAACTAATTTAAGCATCAATATGTTTGAAGGGCCACAATTCCACCAAGGGATCGTTAAATGACTGACCAACCACCGAACATGCAATATAACATCCGCCCCGAAAAGGCATGACTCAACAGCGCGTGCCCATGGTTGCACCATCGAACCGCTCTGTCGTGTCTTTCACTGGACCCTCCCATATATATAGTCCATTCCAAACATTCTGGAAGAATATCCTCGGATAAGGTACAAAAACCCCTGAGGCCGCGCCCCTCTGGTTCTACCCAGCGCACTTCCCGCACTGCACGTCGCCATAAACCTGTTACAAACATCTCGGTGGTAAGATGACTTCGAATCCAGTCTTCCCGCATCGGACCGTCTAACGCCCATTGTTTCTGCCAGTCTTGTTGTCTTGGGCCAACCCATTCTTCTCTCCCGGTACCTTGTAAGTCTTGGCCAAAGCAAGCATTTGAACAGCCCGGATGGGCGCATGGAATGCTGCGCCCATTAGCGAAACCATGACCTTTATTTGAACCCCGACTTGGCTGAGCACGTCCCAAAGGGGTGGCTCACGGGCGAGAACCATCTCAATCTGACATCACATGGGACCGCGTTAAGCGGCTTGGCGCTGGGTGGTGGCTAGCGCTTTAGGGCGGGAGGCTGAGATCCAATGGGCGCGCGACGCACCACTCCTTCTGTTTCAAACGCTCCATCAAGCTCAAACCCCTCGCGCCATGTTGGTGTCGCCGCCGCCGCCGTCGTGAGCGTCCAGTCTCTATTATCTCTCTTCCACAGTGAGCCTGTCACTCCCTTGACAGTCCATTCTTGTCGCTCTCTCGCCATCTGTATCTCCATTTCCTTTGGGTCCCTTTGTACCCGTCGCAGTCGCTATACACACAGGTTCACGCTGGACGTGCCTGCCTACGCTCTCTCTCCCCCGCGGTACACTGTTCTACCGCACATTCGAATATTCCAGGATAGGCTGTTTGGGTTTCTTTTGCAAAAATGTTGGGTTTCCACAGGAGAACGCGGTCACTGATCCCAGTGAAGGATCTGGGCAAATATGACAAGGTGTCTATGGTTGAAGAGGAGGAACAAGAAATCGAGGAAGAGATGGAGAGTCAAGATATACCGGATAGTGCGGATAAGTCGCAAAGAGGGCAACTGGTGCTGGTTTACCTCGTCTTCTTCGCCGAAGCGTATGTGTTCTCCCACTGGCGCTCAATCGTAACGGGCTGCCAAACCTCCCTGGACTAACACTAACCTTTGCCTACAGCATTATGGCGTCGAGCCTACAGCCACAACTCCAAATGCTCCTCTCATCTTCCGACTTCTGCGGCACTCTATCCTCATCCTACCTCCGAAGTATACTCGACTGCGCATACGCATTCGGCGGAACCACAGGCCTCTTCTGGGGCTATCTCGCGGATCGCATGGGCAGACGGCGTGTGACTCTCATCGGACTCTGGAGCATGTTTGTCTGCTGCTTATGCATGGGATTTGCGACCACACTTGTTGGCTGCACCATTTTCCGATTCATTGCAGGCATGGTCAGTTCGGCCATTGTATGCACAACCCTAACCATGCTCGGAGATTTGAGCACAACAGCAGAGGAACGCGCAAAGAACGTTGCTCGCCTACCCGTCATTTCCCTCGGCGGTTCCATGGGCCCAATTATGCAACTCATGGTCTCGGAAAGTCTGCAAGCATACAACATGGTATGGCAAAACTACCCCACTCTGGGCTCTGAGCTGGCTTGCGGAATTGTCATGTTCATCATCGCACTTGTGGCAAGCATTTTCCTCAAGGAGACACTGCCTAACCACAACGAGCGCACAGCAGACGCTGCAGACATCGACTGTGAGAGGGCAGCTTTCCTCCGCCGCGACTCGCACGACACAAACGTAACGCTCGTGGACTTTGCTCGTCCAGAACCCATCACCATCAGCCAGTTCCTCCAGGCCCCCTCCCTCATGGTTCTCCTATCCTCCTTCTGCCTCCTATCCCTGCACGCCTCAACCTTCGACGTCGTCCTCCCTCACCTTGGCCACAGCAGCACCGAATCCGGCGGCATGGGCCTCCCCTGCGAATGGCTCAACATCATCGTCCTCGGCGTCCGCGGCCTCGCCGGCGCCGTCGTCTTCTACGCCGTCCCCTGTGCAACCTCCAAGCACGGCCTCGTCAAGCTTTACCGCTCCCTCTCCGCCCTCCTTCCCGCAACATACATCTTGACCCCTTTCCTCGCCGCCGTCGTCACATGCTCCGGCGTCGGCCCCATCATCTCCACCTTCTCCATCTTCGCAAAACACCTCCTCACCGACGCCGCCGTAGTCGTAGTCTCCCTCCTCGTCCTCAACACCACCCCAGACGCCTTCTCCGCGGGTACCGTCGTAGGCATGATGCAAATCGCCAGTCTCTTCAAGGCCTTCGCCGTCGCCGTCAGCGGCACCACTTACTACTTTAGCGACGACGTTAGCGTAGATACCACTAATCTCGCTCTCTGGACTTGTCTCGCCCTCTTTGGTATCGCGGGCGCGGGCCTCGCGTGGTTCGTGCGTGAGCGGCCTAGCGTAGAGAAGGATTTCCCCAGCGAAGTCTTGTGCTGGGAGACGTGCTTCGATGCTGATGCTGAGAAGCAATTTGAGCTCGATAATACAGATGTCGAGTCTGATGCTGAGAGTGTATAGGGGAGGTTTTTTTTCCACACGCTTAAACTCCAAACTCATTCCACTCTCTCTTTTTTGGGGGTCCCTGTGTACATGTGTTTTTGAGCCGCTCACCCACTTTCATTCATTTCATCTATGGAAGTTTCTCTATGGCGTGGCCTCTTTTTGTTTTTTTCCCGATCTTTTACTTTGTTTTTCTGTTTCTGCATTTGTTTTTTGCGTAGTTACCCCCTCTCTCCTTCCCTTTTTTCTTTTTCGCCGCTTGTTTTGCTAGTCTAACATTGTTTGTTTGTGTCAGTTTTTCTTTTTTTCGAGGCATCACTCGTCGTATCTCTCGCTAGATAGTTGACTTGAAGGAAGGTGTTTGTGTGTGTGTACAACAATTCATTTAAAGTTCTTATCATATTGCTGTGTCACAATTCTGTCAAATGTGTAGTTCTTTTAATTATCTAAGCGGTAAAGGTAGTAATGTGTTGCATGATTCCAACCTAGAAACAAACTCGGTACCACAGTTGCGAGTGACATGTTGTCAGAACAAGATCTGACCCAAGTGACAGTAACACAAACTGTCACCCATAAACGCATTAACTACACGGTCTCAACTACATTACATAATGGCATAGAATACAAAGGCATGAATCATGTTTCAACAAAGAGTTTCATACTCTAAAGATAACTAAAGCTAATCACGACCCCAGCCTATATGGCAGACAGTCGAGTCATCTAACCAAGCAACTTTTTATTCCCTCCAGTAAACGCCATATATCCCATAAGAGCCTTGGAAAACAGGACCTCTCTCATGCGATAATCATGTCACACATCGATATCGTACGGGCAAAAACCTCCACACATTACTTACTCTTTCTCTCCTCGAGATGATCAAAGCAAATACACAGAATGCATACGAGCGACGTAGAAGCCTACAAGACGCTTAGTCGAAAGACTTCTTCTGGCCCTGGAAGTCGCCAAAGCCACCGCGGTTGAATGAACCACCACGGCCGCCTCCGCGAGCGCCGCCACGACCTCCACGACCGCCACCACGGCCACCTCCACGACCACCACGGTCGCCGAAGCCTCCGCGGCCGCCACGACCGCCGCCGCGACCTCCTCCAAAGCCTCCGCGACCACCACCGCCACCGTTGTCATCACGGGGAGCGGCGAAGTCGACGCGGAGGGGACGGCCTGCAACGTCCTGGCCCTGAAGAGCCTCAAGGGCAGCGGTAGCCTCCTCCTGGCTGCCATAGTCAACGTATCCGAAGCCCTTGAGCGCACCGCTGTCGCGGTCGGTGGGTAGAGAGACACGAGTGACGTTGCCGTACTCGGCGAAGACCTCCTGGATGGTCTCGTTGGTGCAGTCGAATGAAAGGTTGCCAATGAAGAGAGTGTTGCTGGGAGCGCTGCGCTTGTCACCAAACTTGTTGGCACGGGCATTGGCGTCAGGCTTTTGGCGGGGAGTGCTGAAGTCGACGTTCAGTGGGCGACCGTCGAGCTCGTACTCGTGCATGTCCTTCTGTGCCTTGGCGGCATCAGCAGCTTTGGCAAACTCAACGTAGCCGAATCTAAGTAGGTCAGTATTTGGTCGCACAGAAAGACATGTATTTGTTGGAGAACATACCCCTTGGCACGGCCAGTCTCGCGGTCAGTGATGACACGGCAGCCAACAATCTCACCGAAGCTCTCGAACTCGCGGCGGAGCCAGTCCTCGTCGATGTTCCAGCTCAGGTTGCCAACAAACAGGTTCTTGACACCGTCCTCAGCAACGGGCTCATCAGTCTTTGTCTTCTTGATGACAGGCTCGGCAACCTCCTCAGCCTTGCGCTTCTTGGAGGGAGCCTCGGCCTCGTCGCTTTCAGATTCGGAAGAATCAGAGTCGGAGTCGGCGTCGGAGTCGTCAGAGTCGGAGGTAGAGGCAGCCTGCATTAGTTAGTAAAGGACGATCAAACCATGGAAAAAAAGATGTAAAAACTAACCTTAACCTTGGCAGCAGGCTTCTCGTCCTTGGACTCGCTGCTGTCCGAGTCGGACTCAGACTCAGAGTCGCTCTCAGAGTCGCTGGACTCAGCCTTGGCCTTAGCAGCGCCGTTGGTCTTGACACCGTTGGCCTTGGCCTTGGGGGCAGGCTTCTCCTCCTCACTGCTCTCGCTCTCGCTGTCGCTATCCTCCTCGCTGCTGTCGGAAGAGTCAGAATCGGAGTCGGCCTTAGCAGCGGCCTTGGGAGCAGCTTTGGTTTTGGCGGCGGTCTTCTTGGTGACCTCCTCCTCCTCGCTGCTGCTCTCCTCGGATTCCTCGCTCTCGCTCTCGCTCTCGGACGAAGAATCAGACTCAGGCTCGGGGGTAGGAGCCTTCTTCGACTTCTTCTTGTCCTTGACGTTGGAAGCAACTGACTTGGCAATGTCCTTGCTCTTCGACTTGGGAGTCGCAGCAGGCTTGGTGACGCGGCCGGCCTTAATGCTCGAAAGTTCAGCCTTCTTGTCCTTCTTGGACGACTTGTCCGCAACCTTGGTCTTGCCCATTTTGATGGTAATGTACTAGATCTACAACGTATCAGTATTGTGAAATGTGCGACGTAAAAATCAATGACATTGCGGTGAAAATAAGAAAAGAGAGGAGCGGACTGTAATAGCGTCGTCGCTCAGGCGCTGATGCCCAAAGGTCATCGTATGCGCTAGCATGCATGATCTGATTGTCTCAAATTGCGAAAAGCCCACTGGTATCTCTTGAGACCGCACGAAGCGGATATCCCTCAAGCCCACGGAAAGCCCACAAGAGCCCACAGAAAACCGAGCCTCAAGGCGGCGTGTTCCCACAATGGCCGAGAAGCCGGAAGATTAACCCTCATAGTAGCGCAAAGCCCTCTGGTTGATCTTGCCGTGCTCTGACGAGCGACAGACGTGCCCTCTAGAATGTGTGTCAAGGAAATGCCAAACGTTGCCCACTGACTTGTGATATGATCTGGTACTGGATGTTGCCCTCAGTAGCCCACTTGAAGTTCGAGAAAGCCCTCAAATGATGCTCGAACTGGTGATGTTCGAGGTTAAAAAGTAAGGTGAAAGATTGGTGATAGACGGTGAGTGATTGAGTGGGAGAGGCTGGCATTTAATACCTGGAGGCGCAGAAAAGATCAGCGCCGAACTTTTCAGCGGAGACGGTGGCCCGTGCTCTGCGCCGCGACGCGTTGTGTGGCTACACTCGACGGAACCGCCCCACTGCGAACTTGGCCGGCCACGGTCAAGGCAGTATTTTGCAGCAACGCAGCGGCTCAGGGTCCAGCAAGGGACGCTGTTTTTGCCGTGGATACGTGGACGTAGATTTTCAAGAGTGGAGCTGTATATATTGCGAGCAAGGCTCTTGAGATGCACTCATATGAGTATGAGCATGCTCTAAAAGCAAAACGGCCAGTTTTGGCCATGCGCAGAGCACTTTTACTTACACAGATGTTGCCCATAGAAACTTGATAGACTGTAACCCAATTGGCAATTCCAATCTACATACATTTCAATAGACCAGACGGTCCTGCCTGTGCTCTTGCATGCCTACCTCGACGTTGGAAACTATGGCCTGCACAGTTTGCAAGAGCTTACGCGGGTTTGCGCTAGCACCACTACGGTAAGGCGTAGTCATTCTTCCACGAGTCCGAACCATGAAGCCGTGCAACTCCTGTTCAAGCAGTGTCATCATGGCTTCACCGGCAGTCCATAAACCGCGGCGGCGGAGAAAGATCGAAGAAGGATCCCTTGCTCAGGTCGCACACGGTACCCTCGACCACGATCAATCCACAAACTCAACGAAACCAGCCTTTCCCCTCGTCGCGTTCCTGTGGCCTGCAAAAGGCACCGTGTCGCAATGGATCACCATACCCCTCATACTCATGGCTGTCGGCTTGCTCCGCTGGGCCGTCGGTCTCTGGGGATATTCGGGCTATCAATCGCCGCCAATGCATGGAGACTTTGAAGCACAGCGCCACTGGATGGAAATCACACAGCATATCCCAGTCTCACTGTGGTACTTTTATGACTTGCAGTGGTGGGGACTAGACTATCCGCCTCTGACTGCGTACCACAGTTGGCTTCTGGGGGTCATGTATGTTTGGTTGATTAGACATGCAACGCTCATACTGACTGTCACAGCGGCTCCGCCATCAACCCCAAGTGGTTCGAATTCCACGAGTCGCGCGGTCTCGATGATCCGTCCCTTAAAATATACATGCGAGCTACCGTCCTTGTATCCGAGTATCTCATCTACGTCCCCGCCCTCGTCATCTTCCTCCGCCGATTCTCACGCCTCGAAGGTGTCAATATCTGGGAATCGTCAATTGCATTGGTAGCCATATTGATGCAGCCAGGAGCCATCTTGATTGACCATGGACACTTCCAATACAACACCGTTATGCTCGGCTTCGCTGTCGCCACACTGTCAAGCGTGGTCGCTGGGAGGCCACTGTGGGGTTGTGTCTTCTTTGTCGGTGCTCTGGGCTTCAAGCAGATGGCGCTATTCTATGCGCCTGCCATCTTTGCCTATCTCCTGGGCATTTGCGTTTTCCCGCGAATCAACATTGTACGATTCTTCGCCATTGCACTGACTACTGTCGCCGCCTTTGCTATATTGTATCTGCCATTCCTTGCAGGTGTGGCATACGATGTTTACATTGGCTTCCACCATGGACTTCAAACGGTGCCCCCGCTACTAAATGTGGAATGGTTCATGACACCATGGGACAGAGAGGCTTGGTACTACCCTTATGTTCTCGAGTTGGGACAGTCTATCCATCGCATCTTTCCCTTTTCCCGAGGGCTATTCGAGGACAAAGTCGCCAACATTTGGTGTACCATCCACACCTTTCACAAGCTGCATCGCTATCCGATCCAGTCACTCCAACGGCTGGCACTACTCGCAACTTCGGTCGCCATTCTGCCGCCATGTTTGATCATCTTCCTCAAGCCGAAGAAACAAATTCTTCCGCTCGCCTTCACAGCGGTTTCATGGGGCTTCTTCCTCTGCTCATACCAGGTGCATGAGAAGAATGTTTTGTTGCCATTGTTGCCCATGACTCTACTTCTTGGCGGACATGAAGGTCTACTACCAAGTACCCGCGCATGGGTAGGACTCGCAAACATGCTCGGCGTGTGGACCATGTTCCCGCTGTTGAAGAGAGACGAACTGCGGGTCCCGTACTTTGTCGTTTCGCTTCTATGGGCATATCTTCTAGGCCTTCCCCCCGTTTCATTCTCTGCCTATTATGAAGGCAGCCGAGGCGGACTTGATGTTTTCAGCAAAGTTTTGCACATCAACATATACATTGCTATGGTCGGATGGCATGTCGTAGAGGCATTCTTCCCTCCGCCAGCAGACAAACCGGATCTCTGGGTCGTCGCAAACGCAATCGTCGGAACGGGCGGGTTCGGCCTTTGCTACCTGTGGTGCCTATGGCGGCTTGTGGTTAAGAGTGAATTGGTCGGAAAGGCCAAAAGCAAAACAAACTAGGAGCAAAGGGAATGATTGTGGGAGGATTTCAGTATTTCTTTGAGATACCCCGGCTAGACGTTTGGAGCGAAGATTCCAATTCTGTTGATACATGCTGTACAGCAAAGAAACGATGCCGTCTAATATTCAACGCCACCCATATGCTTGTGTTGTCCATGTTTTCCCACTCGTTAACTCAGTCGCCATAAGAGTGCATTGGCGTTATATCTTGAAGCCATAACCGGCCATGCATCGCCTGTAGTCGTCGACGAGGTTGGCGCATTCCTTTTGCGCGTCGTTTGAGGTGGAGAACAGCATGCATTCGTCGCGCTTCGCTTTCTGGTCGGTACAGACGCAGCAGGGCTTCACTTTCGATTTTTCGGATGTCTTGAGGTCTGAGCCCATATTGGCGGCAGTGGGTGGCGCTATAATTCCTTGCGTCAGCTAATTGGCGTCGCTAATATATTTCCATCCTATCGGAACCATACCTGACGACATGTTTTGTGCGTGTATGTGTGGTGGTGGTGAATGGAAAGATGCTTAGCAATCGGAATTGCGCACCAAAAGTTCCCGCCGGGCATGGTGTCATCAATCGGCTTTGTCTTGGCGCGCATTCCCGCGGCGGCCACTGCACAAGGCAAACCCCCTGCAAGATTTCAACGGGTCTAGGCAAATCAACCCCCACTACGCCCGCCAAAACATTGCGCCCCACGACTCACACGACCTTGTCGCCCGTTGAATATTATTCACTCGCCCCCTGCTAGACTGCATTTTACCACGACTGCAAGGGACATTCAAACACAATTATGGCTGGCGCAAAGGTCTTTTCTATCGAGGGCAAGGGCCTGAAACTCACCACAGCGGCGGACATCGAGCCGCACATTCAGGAGTTGAAGACCAACGACGATGTGGAAGAGGTCAAGTTTCTGGGAAACACTCTGGGTATCGAAGCCAGCGAGGCGCTGGCCAAGGTTCTGGAGACCAAGAAGAATCTGCAGGTATGGAAAACCTCCCTTTGTTGTCGCCAACTGAGGGGCACTGACTGATATGAACAACAGGTCGCAAACCTCGCCGACATCTTCACCTCTCGTCTTCTCTCTGAGATCCCACCTGCGCTATCACACCTCCTCACGTCCCTCCTCACGCTACCAAAGCTCCACACCGTCGATCTCTCCGACAATGCCTTCGGTCTCAACACTGTTGCCCCGCTCGTCGACTTTCTGTCGCAACATACCCCACTTCGCTACCTCTACCTGAACAACAACGGTCTCGGCCCAGCTGCTGGTGTGCTCGTCGCCGATGCGCTGACTGCACTTGCCGCAAAGAAGGAAGCCGCGCGCAAGGAAGGCAAAGATGTACCAGACCTCGAGCTCGTCATCTGCGGTCGCAATCGCCTGGAGAATGGTAGTATGGCCGCATGGGCAAAGGCATACGCAGCAAACAGTGGCGTCAAGACGATCAAGATGACGCAAAACGGTATCAGGCAGGAAGGTATCTCACACCTCATCACCAACGGCCTCGCACACCTGACCAAGCTCGACACCCTCGACCTCCAAGACAACACCTTCACTGCCATGGGCGCAAAAGCCCTCAGCCAAGCCGTAGTAAACTGGACCGACCTCCGCGAACTTGGCGTAGGCGACTGCCTCCTCAGCAGTCGCGGCGGCATTGCCCTCGCCGCCGCCCTGGAAAAGGGTAAAAACAAAAAAGTAGAAGTCCTGCGCCTCCAATTCAACGAAATCAACGCAAAGGGTCTCGCAGGTCTCGCCTCCGCTTCCCACACCGCTCTCCCGCTCCTCCGCCGCATCGAAATCAACGGCAACAAGTTCGACGAGGAAGACCCCAGTCTCGATAAGCTGCGTGAGGTCCTGGATGCACGCAAGGAGGAGTCTGGTGAGAAGGCTGACGATGAGGAGTACTGGGGTCTGGATGAGTTGGATGAGCTGGAGAGCGATGATGAGGATGAGGAAGAAGAAAGCGACGAGGAGGAGAAGAGAGGAGAGGTGCAGGATCGTGCAGCGAAACAGGTGGCAGATGATAAGAAGGCGGAGGAGAGTAATGTGGCGCAGGACAAGGATGCCAAGGTTGACGACCTTGCTGACTTGATGAGCAAGACGGAGATCAAGTAGTCTTTTTTTTTGGCTTCTTGGTCTTTGTGTTTTCTTGTTTGGTCGATTGTGGTGGGCGTGGTGGGAGACCGTTTTGCATTCAGCGGTTCTGGGACTTTTGTCATTAATTCTTTTCTTCCTCGTTTCCCCCCCCCTTGAGTATCAATGGGTATGTAGCATTTCGATACCATAGACAATGCTCCAGCATCATCACTTGTATGATGCCTTTTGTTATCTTGAGTCTGTCCTCTACCCACCAACTTGATCGCCACAAGCAGTGAATTAAGTTGTGCAATGTGACCAAAAACAGCAGTTCAAGAAAGGAAAGAAAGAAAAATCCGATTTGAAGAAAGTGAAATTCATTAGGAAGCTACTAGGCTGGTTCATCTAAACATACATGCTCGTATCGTCCTTGCTGTTGATCATATCTGGCTTCAACGTCCCCTGCACGTCTCACGAATTAACCTTCCTCCTCAAACATATGTTGAGAATCATTTTCATGACGCTCTTCTGAAAAGCATGGCAGCAAACAAAGCTGCGTTGTTCGAAACGATCTCACTGGGCCTCGTTCTCTGCCTTTCGTACGTCACCCAAGTCACCCTCGACCTTCTTGGGCTCCTTGTTAACAGCAGTATCTTCTTTGCGTGGTCCAGCATCCGTTTCCGAGGGATGAGGCGAGTTGGAGATGTCGCTGAGAGTTCTCTGGCGATGGGAAACAACAGACTGTGCTGTCGCGGCCAGTCCACCCTTCTCAGTATGTCCATGAGCACGCATCTCGCATGAGTGGAGCTTGTTGGCTTCAGCTGGCGTGACGGTACTATCCTGGATTTTTGGTTGGATTGCAAGCTCTGCTTGGCGAAGGTTCTCTTCCTTGTCATGGTGGGATTGCTCTTGGGGAGAGAGGGTGTTCTTACTGTTGTCCTGGATCTTTGGTCGGATTGCGAGCTCTGTTTGGCGAAGGTTAGCTTCGGCTTCCGTGATGGTAATATCTTTCTGCATCTTCAGTCGGATTGGGAGCTCTGCCTGATGAAGGCTCTCTTCTGTGCCGTGGTAGGGTTGCTCTTGGGGGGATAGGGTATTCGTACCGTCAGCGCAAGGATACGCATCGCTAGCATTCGACTCGCGCCTTGCAGCAGTTGATTGAGCAGTAGCAGCAATACCTCCCTTTATGGTATCACCATGAGTGCGAGATTCAAGCGATTGTAGATGACCAGCCTCTTCCTTGGTCACAGTACCCTCTTCTATCTTGTCCTTGACGGCGTCCGCTGCTTGCAGAATGTTTTCCTCCTTGTCATGCTGAGATTGCTGTTCAGGTGATGTAAAGCTTCCTTTGTTTGGTTGAGGCTGTTCACTTTCCGAGGGCTGCAAGGCTTTGGGACCGCCACTTAGTGATAGCTGACGCTCACGTCTCGCAACAACAGACTGAGCGGCAGCAGTGATACCGCCCTTCTCAGTGTGTCCATATGCACGAGACTCGAGTGAATGGAGTCGATCGGCCTCCGCCTTTGTCACTGTGCCTTGCACAATCTTGGGCTCGATCTTGGCGATTTCCTCCTGGAGCTCGCCTTCAACTTCTGGATGGGGAACGTTGGTGTGACCGAGAGCCTTCTGCATTTCTATGGTAGTGTCAGCGTGGAAAGAAGATATCGGGGATGTGACAGGCATCTGTACTCACTGCTAACAACACTCTGAGTGGTACGAAGCACCTCTATAGTCACCTCCCCAGGGCTGCTCTCCACCTTGTCATGCAAGTCCTTGACAGCCGTCAGCAGCTCGCAGTGATGAGTCTGAGCATGACTAGATTCCTGATAATGCACACCTTGTTAGCAATAGCCAGATATTCCACGGCAGAGATAATGCGGACCGCTCTCTCGTCACTCGCAGTGAAGTTGTCAAACAGAAGACGAGCATCATCAACCGTGACGCTGCTTGGATCCGTCTTCAGCTTCTCGAGCATAGCCTCCAGTAGGTTCTTGAACTGGCTTGACTGGCTGCTAGCAAGACTGCTCGTATCGGAAAACATCTTCTCGCTGAGATGTTCGCTCATGGTGAGCCAAATGGTGGGATACGAGGAAGTTTTGTAGGTTGATGCTTGGAGTGGAGGATGCCAAGGTGACTGGAAGAGTTGGGGGGAAGAGAAGAGGTGTTTCTGGCGTGCAAAGTACGATGTCTTGAGGTTTTTATGTTTGGGGGCTGATGACGTTGTTGGAGGGGAGGTGAAGGAAGGTGCAGGTGCCAAACAGTGGCATTTTGGACGACCCGGGCCAACTGCACTTGCCTTTTGATGCGGCGTTGATTTGTTAGCATGTCACTACGAGAAAACTATGCGCATGAAGCAAGTACAGCGGAGTGCATCGTGTAAGAAATAGGGGTTGAAAAGATTGAAGTTTACTGGAGACCGAAAATTGTCAATTTGGGCCTTAAACTGCTCTCTCCATGGCCAAATTTACTATAGCAATTTCCACAAACAAAACATGTGCTTTTATCAGTCTGTTTACCGAAAGTCAGCAAAGGCATAAACACTGCTCATGGCGCCACATTCGAGGGCCGGCCCGCAGCCAATCCCAGCCTCTCATCCATCACCTCCAAAAAGTCTCTTTCCCTGCCAAACTCTCCAATACTAGCAAGCTTCTCGAGTGTCTTCTCCGAACTCTCGCACTCGTTGTACCACCTCCTTTCAAAATTGAAGTCGCCATTCAATTCGTCTGGGAGAATTACCCACTCAGGCAGCGCGCACTTTTCCTTCTCACCATCCATGTACCACCAAAACCTCATCTTGCCTTGCTCTTTCCAAGCTTCTCTGTTCCATGACTTTGCCAACGGCGAGTGCGACTCCCAGCCCTTTATCAGACTACGAAAGTAGGTGATGGGGTGAAGGTACTCGTTCGTGACACCTAGGTCTCTCAATTTGGTCCACGTGTGCACTTTTGACTTTTCGTCGTATTCTTCACCGCTTTCATGGCCGGGCATGCGTATATGCATACCGTTCAGGTAATACATTGCGGTATACGAGTCAACAAGCGGGCCAGTGCCCCAGCTGAAGTCGAACTTCTCATGCGCATGTGGTGAGGCAGCACGCGGAAGTTTTAGCTCCTTGTCACCAGAGCTCAAGAATGGAATAGATGGCAGCTTCGGGACACTGTTCCACATCTTCTGCAGCGTATTTGGGTGGTAGTAAGTGCAGGCGTAGCGAATACGGAACAGCCAACGCTTGTATTGGTTGAGATGCATTGAGAAGGCGTGTCGGTCTATAGTCAAGTGCGGGGAAATGACTTGAAGCATCCAGCAAAGAGTCGCTGTTGATATGTCTAAACCTAGTTAGCATTCGCATTGGCTGAGTTCGTATCGGGGACCGACTCTCTGAGTCTCCCTTCATCTCCCCAAGGGCGTCCTGTGAGCCGCCACCACAATTGATGTGTACACCAGGGAACTAAATAGATTACTGTTAGGTTGTTTGTTGTCTCAGATAGGCTGTGCTGGAGTACATACCCAGACCTGCTTGAGTTCAGGTGTACGTCGGTTTGGATCGTCGACAAGGTCCTTTGGAATATACCAAAGAGTCGGACGGAAAGCCTTGCGTCGTTCGTCTAGCGCAAGGGCTTGAAATGCATGCTCAATATCTAGTAGGCGCTTAGTAGCAATCTCACAGCTCTAGTTGGGCGACTTACTCTCTGTCAACTTGACATTATGGAAGCCGTATTGCGTTCTCTGAGAGGCTAGATTGAGACCCATCATATCTGGTATACCCAAAGATCCAACAGTGTCCCAAACACCGACAACTTTCACCTTTCTGCTGTCTTCACTGACGGCGAGTTCTCCATGCGGTCGAATTTCCCACACCTCTGCCAGTAGCTTGAGATCGTCCAGGCCAATTGCTTTAACATCCACGCCCTGCTTCTTCATCTCTTCTCCCTTCTTGCTCAGCTTGCCTTCAGTGAACCACCTCCACGCTTGTGTTTCGCGAAAGTCAACACCTTCGTCATTTGTCTGATACAGGCTGTATAGTGTCGCGAAGAACTGCATGCTAATGGGTGCTATGACTCCAATGTCGGAGACAAGTCCTGCAACTGCACGCGCAGTGTAGGCACCTCTTGAGAAGCCAAAGCAGAAGATTTCATCGCCCGGCTCATAGTTTTGCACGATGAAGTTGTATGCTTCAATGACGTTCTCTGCCAACCCGGCTCCTGTACCGCCTTGTCGGTTCCTTTCAGAAGAGCTGAGATTTCCTGTCCCCACCCCAGAATCGTAGTAGACAATCTGGTGAAACTTTTTCGAGGGGTCATGCTGATCCGAGCCAACACGGGCAATCAGGCGGCATAGTTTAGTGACATTGGATGGGACGTTTGTTTCGATAGTGACGCTCGACTGCCAAGTCCCATCGCAACATATGACTAGGCGTCGTCCCCAGGCCTTGCTGTCGTCGTCGGTCATGGTAGTGTGGGTGAAGGGGAGGGAATAAGATGTAGTGATGCTTGAGTGGGGGTACTATGTCCAGGGACAGCAAAGTTTATCGCTGTATATGTAGGACGATCCGAAAATCGTACCAAGACTGTAGTGGATGCAAGCGTAGCAAAAGAAGGTTTCGACTGTAACGTTCAGGGGCAACCCCAGACGGTGGGAAAAAGAGAGAAAGGCAATAAGGCAACCAGACTGCGTAATCCTTCCTTTCAGCTGTCTATCCGCTAGAAAGCTCACACCGCGAAGGATCGACAGGAAGCTGAGGGTTAGCCCCCAAATTGCCCAAGACAACGCCCGATCTTTTATGCTACGGCTGAGAGCTACGGCAGGCTGCCAAGCGACATGTTCCCACAAGCTGCATTAGGCGATGCCATTGCCTGCATTCTTGTGTCTCTCACTCTCTTCAACTGAGAGGTTGAATAAAAGGGCAGCCCAGATTCCTCTGGCTCGAAGCGAAAGGTGGAGGCGGGACATTTCTTTTTCTGGCTTTTGACATGACGAGTTGTGGTGAGTTGAGGGGTTGAGGGTGTGCCGCTCGACTGTGCCAATGGCGACTGTTGTTTGTTGGTTACAACATGACACTTGCTTCTCAGGTGAAGTATGCCAATGTAGATGAGCAGGTCACCTGGTCCTTTCCATGAATGGTAAATGGCTGAGAGAGGATGGGTGTGCTTATTCCCGACGTGGCGTGGGCAGTGCTTTTGTTCAGAGCAAGAGGAAGCGGCACGCGGGCCCACCCGACTCCCGCAGCCCGCATCAACGACGGACCATGGGCATGGCGAAGCTGGCCCTGTCTCTCTGAATAGCTTCAATGTTATGCACACAGCCACTGCTCAGCTCAGTTGACTATAATATCACCACACCATGTTAGCGTCACTATACTATATGACATTTTCCAAGTTGTTTGTGCTTATTTTTCTTTTGTAGTGACACTGCAACTCACTACTGGGCTGAAACTGCTTGTGCTGCTCTCAAAAAGAGACAGAATACCGATGCTTCATTCTCTAAGGCCAATGGATGTAACCGAAGGCGCGGCCTGCGCTAACATGAAACATGAGATCATAACTATTTCTGCAAAAAAAAGCAAGCAGATGGAGCTGACCACACATGTGTCGGACATTGTGTGTCGCGATATGGCGCCATTTTCGCGCAATATGTGAAAGCTCTTGTGGTATATCTGCGCGCACCACCAGTACATAACGCCTGCCATCCAACAGTAAAGATGTCGCTGAATCGCTGAGAATCGTAACCACCAAAATCTAGTGCATACCACCCAATAACCAAAACCTTTTCAATATCGTAACCACCAATCCTATAAAGAGCCTGCTCATTGAGAGCGAGGCGAGTTGCCAGCCGTATGCGGACGACTACCATATTGCGAGCCATCGTGGAACCCGTCAAAGCTTTCGCCAGATGACATTCTTTGGAGGTCATCACCGTCGGCCATATCAATGTCTTCCTGCTCATACCTTCCCGACCCATTGGAACTCTGTGGCGGCCCCATGTTCGAGAAGGATGAGTATTGTCGTGGAGGTGCTGCAGGGGGCACTCCAGCATTGCTAATCTGCTCAGCCAGACTTGGTTTTTCCGCTAGGTTGCTTAACATCGCACGGCTAGCGTCCAGCATGGAGACTGCGTAATCGAGAAAGTCGGCGCGCTTGGAAGAGACAGACAGGGTCCAGCGATATTCGCACAACCTCAGCTTGTAGAACTCGGCCTCTTCTTTGGCGGGCGCCGTAGCCCACAATAACGACCCAAACGTTCCGATGAGTGTAAAGTTGACCTTGGAAGCAAAATACCAGAAGGCCTGCAGATGTTCTGGCTTGAGGCGGTTGACAAAGTCCATGGCAGAGATCAATCGCGTCTTCGCAGCACTGCGGCACATGAAAAGACCGTAAGAGTCTGGGTTGGTCGAGTCAAGAGACTGCACAATGCGTCGATGCAGAGTGATTTCTGTCGCAAAGTATGCGAGGTGCAGATAGCCAGTCGACGTGAGCTTGCCCTTCTCCGGCGTGTTCATCTTAACTTCAGCAGGCAACTTCTCGTGCCACTGGCGGAGCTTTATTTGCACAGGCTTGGCGCGGGCCAGAATGAGTTCGGTGGACTTCTTTCCTGCATTTGCAAAATCTTGGATGGCAGTTTGGGTGTAAAATGTATCCATGACTTCTGCCATGATTTGGGTAAGTCCGATCATCTGGGCAAACAGTATCCGTCCTCGCTGGCTGTCTGTTTTTTCGTCTTCGGTCTCTTCTTGCCGTGTCTCGTATCCGTCTCCTTCTTCAATAAAGTCTTCTTCAGTAATGGGCTTGACTGCCCAGTTAGCATTGAAGATATGTGAGGGGCGACCGTGGATCAACGAGCTCCATTTGTCCTGCATGTACAACGCACATGCGATGCGCTTCCTCAATCCACGCTCCCAGAGAGGAACCGACCATGAGGAGCAGTCAAGATGGAGGCCTAGTTCTTGGCCAACGGCGACCAGTTGCGTAGTCAGACTCCATGAATCTGCTTCTGGACGCTGGAGCAACAACAAACCTGCCTGCACAGTTGACAGTTTAGGACGCTCCATTGACAATGTCAATGCCTTCATTGCAACCGCTTCCAATCGAGCTGCATCGGGTTTGGAATAGCTTGCGAGCTTGGGGTTGAAGGACCACCAATTTAGGGCCAGAATGTACATTCCAGCTAGAAGGGCTGGTGAGAAGCCCCGATCGCCACTACGATAACGCTCGACGAAAAGGTGCTTTTGGATAATGGGGTAGTTTGGATGTACTACTTGAAAATACAAGTCTAGCAGGGCAGGGCCATGTGGGTGCACAAGCTGCTCGACCTGAGTCAGTGCCTCGGACTCGCCGGCAAAATCTTGCGTGTTCTCGTCAGGCAGCATGATGAAGCATTCATGATCGTTTACTCGTCGAAGGGTGCCGAGATCAAAAGTAGATTCGTTACGGGTATCGAATTGAGAGAGGCCAATGAGTAGGGAGTCGAAAGGGGAGCTCAGACCAATGTATCTGCTGTGCTGGCGCCGTTGCAGGCCCAGCGTCTCTCCAAGCTGAGGTAGGTGCAGACTTTGCACGTGGGACAGCTGTGTTGGTGGTGGTTGTGGTGGTTGTGATTGTGATGGTGGGCTTGGCGCCGTTGCTGTGATGGTGGGGGTCGACAGTGCCAATGGAGGAGGTTCCGAGTCGACGGATCTAGCAGACGGTATCAGTCATGCCGTTTAGCCGCACAAAGCACAAGTCGAAAACGAAGATTTAAAAAGGCAATGGATACAAACCACATGACGGGTGGGGAGGGAAGGCAGGTAGAGTGCATGGCACGTGAGCACGTGACAGTTTGGCGTGGTACATGTACGTAGTGGTTGCTCGTCGGCCAAGCGAGCCATCGGACATTTTCTCGAACGCGGGGCAGTGGAGGAGCCTAGACATACCTCTTCTTTGTGTTGCTGGGCGAATCCTTTTTCTCGCCGTCGACGACTTTTCTCTTGCGGGGCAGAGGACTTTGCACAAAGGTACAGTCCTGCTTGTGGAACTCGCACAGGACACACAGGGCGGCGCCCTCGTGTATCACACAGCGACTCTTTCTCCGTCTGCAAGCGTCACACGGGCGTTCTCTCCGCGAGCGGATGTTGGAGACGGGGCCGTTGGTTGAGGTTGGTTTGGTCAGGTTCTCCTTGGTCGAGGGCGACTTGTGTACTGTACGAGGGCGAGCTGGTGCTATGGAGACGACTGGGCGTGGGCCCATGGCCGGCTGCTGCATTGCTACGGCCGTCATGGCTGGGCAGCTGGCGTGGAAGGGGGGCGATAAGGCTATGAGAGACTACGGGCCGTTGGCCAGACTGCGGATCAGGATGCAAGTGTCTTGCTATCGGAGCAGGGTATGTGGCAGGTCTTATCGCGTGGGAGATGGCGAGGTCACTTTGGATATTGGGCTATGCCAAGAACAGCAAATATATTTGGGTAATGCAGCGGAGGGAGGGAGGTAGGGATGGAGGGATGGAGAGGGACAAGACAGCGGGTGCTCAAGGGCCCAGATTGCCGGTAACGGCTGTGAGGAGAATGAGGTGGCTGATGGTTCGCGCCGTCATTGAACGTGTGCCCAACTACTACAGTGTAGGAGATGGAGCGACGTCGGCGGGGCGGGAGCGGCGTGAGAAGCCTGGGCTGGTCCTGGGGCGGAGGGCTAGGACGTGGAGCGAGGAGAGGGGTGGTGCATTGTCGGGGAGGGTAGGGCAGGGCAGGGCAGATGGGTGAATGTGTATGTATGTGTGTAGTGTATGTATATGTTTCTGCCTTTGAGAGAGCGCCGGCACTGTCTTTTGTGGCAGACATGTGCTCGGGATGGGTTTGGACATGGACCGCGCACGGATGGGCAGGGCAGTAGGACGGATGGGGCTTAGCGCCGTCCCTGCTTTGTGCTATCTTACGTACAGCCGAGAGATAAGGAAAGCACGACGGGCCAATGGCCGACGCACGACCGCTCCCCCACCTGCATCGTTTGATCTTTCCATTACTCCAGCCCAGGAGCTTATCTGCTGCGCTGCACTACTCACGCCCCAGTCTGCCTGTCTAGGCCAGTTACTCTTATGCACTCGTTACCAGACTCCATACTTGGGGCCATTGGCATATGCACGTCACCCACGACTCGACGCACACGACTGCCCATCCCTCACAGCTCACCACGCCTGCCCACGACATCATTGCCCTTTGCTTTGCCTGTCACTCTTGCAACCGACCGTTTTGTCCCGATCCCGCCGACCTGCCACACACACACAGCCCTCCTCCCTCGCCACCTGCAAATCTCAGACGCTGCATGTGTGTACGTAACTACTTAGCACCGACATTGCAAGTACCTGCTTACGTATACGACACACCGTTGCAGTAGCACCAACCAAGTACATGTCACTCTCCCGCTCGCTGACTATACCAGAAATCCTATTCGACTTGCAAATCACCACCACCCTTCTTGCATGGTTTGTGCCATAGTACCTACTCCTATAGGCGCCCTCCGCACGTGTCGCGCGACCGTCTTCTCCACAGTGCCCTACCCATACCTAGAAATACATGCTAGTGGGTCCCTTGATTGCCATGTCTGCTCCGCTCCAACCCTGCCCACGATAGCTTCACCGCTCGCCCTTCAGGCAAAACGTCTTGCTCTCCGACCACCGGCAATGCGCAGCATCCGGAATGCTCCGCCAATCCCATCTACCGTCCACCTCTCTTCCCCGTGATGTCATACCCGCCTCGTCTGTTCCTCCGGAGCCCCATTTCTCGCCCTTGTCGCTCCCGAGCCGCGGTCAATTGCCCTTGCCTGCTGCTGTAAGACGGTCGAGATCTACGCTTGTGTACGTAAAAGCTCCAAGCCTTTTAGCCTTGCACTGCCAGCGACCTCAATCTTGGGTCATGTTCGTGCAAAGCGACCGGTGGGTCCCCCAGCTGCACTCGCTGCGTTGCCCTATCTGGCCTCGCTAAAGGCCGTGTTCCAATTTCTCAACAACGGAACCTTGCCCTTAGTCGTTATCACCCTCCAAAGGCCCGTCACCACCCTGGACCTCTGCTCCGCGCCCTCACACTCCGCGCTCCCTCACTGGCCAACTCCGAGGCTGTCTACTTCCGCCCAACCGCGTCAATTTTCCGACACCTCAGGGTTCCATGGTTACGATTACGAGATCTTTGATCGCGGATCTGCATGTGACAGCCTACGCGAGCAAACTATGCTTAGCCCAATGGCATCGTTTGGCAAGTCGGGCCGCTATTCTCCGCATCCAATCCTCCATTGTTACCTGCCTGCCTGCTCTGCACCCGTCTTCTTATGCTTCAGTCGTCGCATTTGCCGTCTGTCAAGGATCAACGAGCCATGTTTACTTACTACTTACTTACATCGGCAACCTACACCGACAGCCTGCCTCTTCACGTCATGTTGTACCGTCTGGCGGTGTGAGATTACTCATGCTAGGAGATTCATACATCTGATGTAGAGCCACTTAACATTTATCATTGTCTCGCTGACGACGACACCTTCTGAAACACGGAAACTGTAGCGCGCGCACTGCATTCATTGAGACGTGGCTATAAGGTTGTCGCGACAAGGCGAATCGCCAATCCTTACAATCCGGTATATCCTTTGCGTCTCACCCTCCTCTAGTCACATTGATTTTCAGAGCTGGGGTCTGGGGTATTATTTCCCCCGTTTAAGCTTTTAAAGTTTCCAAGACTTGCCGCGGGATTTGGGGACCCCATGCCAATGCTGACATGGCAATATACTACGCACCAATATCGATGAAAATCAATCAATCTTCTTATAACGCCTACTAGCATTGCCCACTGTACATCGTACAAGACCCATAGTATCTTGGCTTGTCGAAGCGGGTTTCGTGTCCTTTTTTTTCCCTTCTCGAATCTTTTCCTTCTTTGCACTACAACGTAAAAGCGCAAGTTGACTTGGGCTAAACAAACAAACTGGGCAACGAACTGCTCATTTTTACATACTATACGAGCTTGTGAGACTATCCTACATCCGTATGCATTGGTAGATACAACCTGGCTTCATATTAACCAAAAGAAATCCTTTCCAACCCAGACCTACTTCCTTTTTTTTCCCGCCATTTCTCCAACACGTATAATATCTTATTTCCCTCAAATCCACTATCCCATTCTAAACATCAAGAAATTTTATACCGACAACTAGTATTCAACGTTGCAGAAGCGCACGTGAGGAATGACTTACCAACTACTACTACTACTACTACTACTACTACTACTAGGCTAATCGCCAACAAGCTTGCAGCTAAAAATGTTAATCGTGTATGAGCGAGCGGTGGGTCTTTTTCTGTCACGTTCGAGGTAACTGTTTTTTTTTCTTTTCTTCTTCTCTTACTCATGGTGGCAGATAGTTGGTATGGTGCTAGTCTTGAGGATTTAGTTTTTTTTATATCCGCGTTTGGCGCCTATTAATATGTTTCTTTCTAAAACGTAATGTTGATGGTAGTACACGATTTCTTGAGTTTAGTGTCGAGTGAGAAAATCCTTTGTGCACGCATGGGTACTAAGTACTCCGTGGAACAACTTGTTAGTTGCGTATTTTCTGCATCATGTGTAAGATATTTCGTCATCCTTCGCAAGCATCTTGACATCACCACTAAGACAAAAAAAAGAATTGCAGTTCAAAATGGGATCAGTTGTTGATTTCTTTACTACAACAGTCAAATACCCGTGTACTTAATCTCATGGAATCTGCTGATTGCTCATGCCCTCGGCAAAGCTCCTGTGATAATTGTATGTACAAAGTCTGGGCACTCGTCACCCCAATCGCATAATGGAATCCCAAGTACATGCCTCGTATGGGGGGCCATGTAGCGCATCATGTGTTTCGCCATGATCATATCGTCGTTATATCTAGCGTCTCTCGCTCTAAATCGACAAACAAGCAGGAAGGTATCCCAAGGAAAAAATAGGCCATGTCGAGTGCTGTCATAGTCTGCGCAAATGTTGCGCGTGTCGCGTTTGACGTGAAGAAAACCGGAAGCCGCGCCGAGGCATCCTCTTCTTCAGTGCATAGGCGGCTGGTAGTTGATAGGTCGCCTGTATCCAGTCAGTCCGAGCTTTGCTGTACGCTCACAAAGAACAAAACCTACTTGAAGAGCAAAATATGCGGCTCTGGCTCATGTACCTCATAGTGTTCCCATCCCAAACTCTGTCTTCATGTCAGCAAGCAGTACGCATATCCAGTCGGGCGCCCGTACCTGAGTGATTCCCAGTGCCCTCCACTCCTCTTCCCACAGCAACTTCAGTGTGCCTCGTGCGCCATCAAAGTAGTCCTTGGGAATCGCCTTCAGCATCTGCTTGGGCAGCTGTACATGGCGATATTCGTAGACGTCGTCCGAGTACCTATCGCCAGCATCAGTACATCCCGCGCTGACCGCTCCTTGAACAAACAACCGACCTTGCCGAGTAGTGGATCGCGTCGACAAACTCATCCAGCTTCTCCTTCTCATGCTCAGAAAGCGGGCGCGGTTTCTTGTTCCGGCGCGTGAAGTCGATATCCAGATCGCCCGACATGTTTGCAGCTGGGTGACGCGAATAGAGGCGCTCGTGTGCTCGTGCGGTGGGGTGTTCGCGGCTGAGGGAAGCGAGTGGGGCAGACGGCGGCGCGGTTTTGGTACGCAGCTGCGATTACGTATGCGGAAATGGGCGCGTTGATAGAGAGTTCTGGCCCTTGGGTGCAGAGAGAGAGTCACCGTATCAGTGAACTAGAGGAGAAATAGCTCAAGGCATCAAGCCCAAACAGTCGTTGTTTACGAGAGTCATGAAATTTAGTCGCTGCGTCGGCCCGAGCGTCGGCGCTAACCCCAAACCGGCCAAGGGTATCCGCTCCTCCATGTTCCTACCGCAACGTCTTTCACCCCTGTATCTGCATCTCTGCTGATCAGCGTTCGTTGCTCATGTCTGTGAGGCTTACGCCTTAGCCGGTGGAACAGGCGCAAGAACAATGACCACGTGAGCTTCTCCGTGCATCTGCACATTGACCATGTTTGACAAATACTGAATTTCTCTGCTCAACAATACGCTACATAAATCATTTGGCCACATAGAATTTGGCCGTCCTCGATAGCATGATATCAGCTGTTGCAAGCACACTGGCTGAGCAACCAATACATAACCGCGTGCTGATAGAATGCTGACACGGAACCCTCCGAGGACTAGCGACACTGAAAACATTCGGACACTTGGCGAAGACAATGGAAGCTCGAAGTCAGTGGTTGAACCAGCGATGCGGTTGCCGTCCATATGTTCAGATCAAACAGCCACATCGAGTGCCTTCTCCGGCGGGTACTTTGTACATGCTGTCCCGTCACCTTTTGTGTTTTCAGCTACCCCGGGCACTCTGTCACGGCCATCCATGTTTTCGTCTGTACATTCCCATCTCAGGTGTTTCTTTGGTTTCATGACCTCAACCTGTCGCATCTCGGGCTTCTTTTCTCCAAGGTCCCCATCAACCACATCAAACCCCTTATCATTAACACCCTGTTCCAACCACTCACTTGCTCTGTCATCACTAGAACTAGTCTTGATCTCGGGAAGAAGTTCGATAGATGGCGGCCGTGACACTGACGAGTAGTGTTGCAACAGATCCTCTCGCTGCTCTTGCTGTGTTTGCTGTCGGGAAAGTCGATGTGATAGACGAGACTCGCGACCGCTTTCGGGGTCGAGAAGCCCCGGCTCGAAGTCTTGTCGAGGATTCACTTTTCTCTTGTCCCGATTGACGAATCGAATGAGCAGGTAAATCATGATCACGATCAATATCACCGACGTTAAGACAACCAGGCCGAGGAAGAGATTGGCTGTGATGCTCGAGACAATCATGTCGCAACTTGACGCTGTCAGTTGCCGTCTGAATACGCAAAAGGACGAGTCCAGAGGTGTTGCGGGTTTTGTGGTCCCTGCAGTAGCAAGTCTACTGCGTATTTAAGCCTGACATGAGCGACATGCGCTACGTCACTGCATCTCAATCAGGCGCAAAGCACAAGAAAATATGTGTGAGTCCATACATGAGCCTTACTGTACGAGGATCTGACCAAAACGTTGAGTTGTATCCTAACGTTGTACAGAGTCGCACGACCATGGGCAATACATGCTGTGCGACAATTGTGGACTCGAGGGACATGACTACCAGATTGGAGATCCAAACACAGTCACAGCGGAGAAAAAAGAAAACTTTAGTATTCAATGGATAGGCTCAATTAAGACCAGTTGATTCCTGGTCCATACTCTATGCGAGCTACTCCTCCAAGGGACCAAGGTAGTCGTAAACCAATCTCACCCTTACATCCGCACCCGTGTCAGTGTTCCTAACAGCAAACTTCTTTACCAGCTTCCTCTTTCCGCCAGATTCAGCGAAGCCCCAAACGTTCCATAAAATCCACTTGTTGGCCGCACTGGACGTAAAGCTTTCTATGACATCCCCTTCTTGGCTTTCATTCAACCACCCCTCAATCAGGTACTTGATATCTTCATCCGTCGCACCTGTTTCCTTGGACTCTTCCTGGAATTTCTGGAGGGTAGAGTAGCGGGAACGGCCTTTGATGACGCCGAAGATCAAGTCGCTGTGCTCGCGGTAGGCCCAGTCCAGGGTTCGGTTTTCTGGCGATCCCTTGAGGCCACCAGTGAGGAACTGGTCCACTTTAATGTGCGTGGTAGGCACACCGTCTGAACCATCGACGGTGCTTTGGTACAAGTATTGAGTCAGGGTTGCTGCCCCAATGGCCTTTCGTGTGAGCCAACCAATGCCCTGGAGGGAGAGAACTGGATCGAAGGCATCGGACTCGGACTTGTTCTGCGAGATCACGTTAGAGGATCTGTTGAAGCATTGCTTATTTGGTAACCATGGAATTCGCTTTAGTCTTACCATAGTCCATCGTCCAACGAGGTTCTTGATATTAATGTTCGCGGGAGACGCCATATTTGCTGGTACAATGTTTTGCTGACTTTACAGGTTCTTCAAAAGTGCGAAAGGTTGATGTTTTATGTTTAACTCTGTTGAGTTATCGACGCAAGAAGCTGCATGTCATTTGAGGGGTAGCCGTCGTCGGTATCCTTACCGTATACTGCCACAACCCCGCTTAAACACCACAATTTTCGAGGACAGCCATTTAGGCGTGCATCTCCATTACTCCGCAAAGGTACGCTGTCACATTCATCCCAAAAGCATGTGTAAGCCTTGTCGTACTGCCTACCGAGGTTTACCCCCTTCGGCGTTATCCCCTTCAGGATAGTACCCCTCGTGAAACACTAAAATTGCCAGTCTCATACCAATCACACCGGAAATATGTAAGCAGATACATGAACAAAGCCATTTTCAAAGCACCCCGATGGCTCAGCGGACGATAGAAGATGGGCGGAAAAACAAAGCGACGATGGCTTGGGAATGAGTGCGTCGGAAAGCGGTGAAGCAAGGCATACAGTCTCAACGCAGAATGCGACGAATCCGAGAACCCAGGCCCATTTTACAGAGGCCTTCTCCGCCATTCCGAAACTGAAGTCCTTCCGGCCATTCAAAAACTTATTGTCGCACTCCCGTCTGTGACGAAGCGGAATACCTCGGTGTGGCTCTAGTCGTACACACATTCGGACAAACGAGCGCCTTCACAAGGACGCAGACAGTAAACTAAAGACTATCCTACGATGATCCAATTATAGAAAAGACATGCAGTGGCATCCCAACTGGTTTCAAAAATTGTCGTTTTTGGGTGCCTGTTCATCCATCACCATGACCATTGAATCTCAAACAGAAGACTGGAAAACCTTTCTCCTCATCATGATGGCGCTACTACTTTCAGGGTCTATGTAATTTCCCTCAAAAAGCGCATATCTTCTCAGGCACAAAGTGTTTGGATTGGCCAGAATATCCCGAAACCTCCGTCCTGTTTCAACGGCCGCAGGTTTGGTGTGCCGTAGCGCAAACCCGTTACGCCAACCATGACTTGCCGCGTCGTGAACGCGGGGAGAAGAATATGAGCACGGCACGTTTCCCTCGTTCAACGCTAAGGCTGCGACGCGGAATGTTTATGATATCTATAGGCTGTGCCATGGTTCTACGGCCGAAAGAGATACATAATATCTGTAGCATCCGCACATGGGAGTGTTTTGGTTGTGGTTTTCGCTTTACTTTACCCTTGACTCCCTGCAATCCTTCGCTTTTACATTCATGCGCAAACACCTGTCAGAATAAGCGCCGACTGATTTTTTAGCACCAAGTGTCTTTGGTTGCACACTCAAGCATCCAGATTGCAGAATTTGTCACGCAAAGTCTCATCACTCTTTACTCATTGGCGGCGCGCACAAACTTATACCACACCATTACTGCGTACGATCATCTCACAGCGTTACACATACCGGGAACGTGTACTTGTGCATATTCCAATCACCACTTCATAAATCCTCGACGTTGTACCTCCTCCAGGCAGGTTCACAATTTACGACTCCTGTTTTTGCGCGACTGGAAATTGGATCTGAGGTACGGTGTGCAGGACACACAATAATTGGCGCGGATATTCTCTCGGTCCATCCGCAGCCTTCATCTCACGATACTATCCACGAACCAGACGAATTTTTCTTCGAGCAGAGATCCTAGGGCGATCAAAAGCATCTGCACAGACCCATCAAGTCGGCCAGCCTCTCGTTCACTTCATCCTTTTGGTCGCGCTGGCCGTTTGCTTGCTTATTAAAACCCCCCGGTTCGCCCACCACATCTCACCAACAACATTTCAGTAGCTGTTCTGTGATATCCGGTCCTTTGCACCAAACCGCTCATTAGGTTCACCTCTCGATTTACCACATAACTCTGCAGGCAGCGCAGCCCATCTCACTCTTTCCACGATACCCAACATCTACATACACCAAATAAACAAACACCGACAAGCACTAGGCAAAATGAGACTCACAACACTCTTCTTCGTCGGCACCACAGCCATGGCATCTCGAATACACTTACCCGAGGACAACAACGGCGCCAACATGCTTCTGGACCGTGCCATAGACCCTGCCGACATGAACCCCACACAGCTCTCCATACTGTCAGTGCTCAAGACCGCCATACCATCCGGCACCAGCATTCCCATGCCGACGGGTACTTCTGAACCAGATTGGTATAAGAATCTGCCTGATGACGTCAAGAGCCTGTTGCCTCAGTTTTACCCTGCAACTACTACTTCGTCTGTGGAGAGTACGAGTAGTAGCATTAGTACTAGCAGTGAGGTTGCCAGTCAAGCGTCTTCGACACCCACGCCGACGCCGACGCCAACTTCGACCCCGGTTTTGACAAGCAGTCTGGCGAGCGAGACGTCGTCTGCGGTTGTGTCTGCGGCTGCGGTTACATCTGCCTCTGTGCAGGTTTCATCGGTAAGTACAAAATATATACTTCTTTCAAGTCTACTACTATCCACTACTATCCTCCTCCCCTTTTTGCTACGGTTCTTTGGCAACGAACTAACGCACTACAGTCATCTCCCCCACCCACCTCGACAGCAATAACACCCCTTTTCTCCCCCACCGTCTCAGCTTTCCCTTCTCCCTCTTCCAACAGCAGCACCTCAGTCAGTGCGCCATCTGCCTCGCCAACCCCGTCTGCGCTCTTCTCCGCTGGCCTAAGAAATACCGTGCATACGGGTCTTCTGGCTGCTGTGGCGTACGTCAGTGTTGCGCTGGGATTCTGTGTATTTGCTTAGAGGGTTGAAGTGAGCGACAGACGTCGTTATGGCGTGTTGACACGCGTGTGGTAGGCGAAGTTAATATAGCATAATGTCTTTTCTCTTCTTCTTCTTGTTTCTTCTTCCTTTTTTTAGTACTTGCAGCAAGTGTATGGAGAAAGTGTGTCAGGGGAAGCCTTGAAGGTTGGCCCGTGATGCTATGAATGAAATGAGAAGTCCGTTCACAAAGAGGAGGTGGGGAGCGAGGGAGCGAAGGATCAGTTTCTTTTCTTTTCAAAGCGTGTGTATATTGAAATACCCCAGCGGAGATATCCATCTGCATCATGATTACCATGAATCAAGTTTTTTTTCTTCATTTCCACACTTTATGCTTTCCATGTAGTCATCATATTGCCTCTCACAAACATAACACCCCCGCGACCCTGACGCCTAAATCCAGCACAGCCAGATGCTCATCACTTCCATCCACAAGTCTTTTATCCGTCTCACTAAACACTACCGCAAGCCGCACCTTCTTCACATCCTCCACCCTCTCATCAAACATAATCTGCTCGTACAACTGCCCCACCGTCTGCGCTGCGCTCCACCCCTCCGCCACCATGTTCTCGACGACCTTGGCAATCTCATTATACCGTATCGTTTTTTGTGCTGAAGACTTGGGGAAGAGGGCAGATGTGAAAGTAGAGAGGGTCTCAGGGGGTAAGACGCCTGCGATTTCGGCGATGGTAGGGAGTGATACAGACGGTGTCGCTGTGCTGCCAGAATCGATGTCCATCTCGTCATCTTCCGGGACCGCCGTACGTTTCTTTCCCTTTTTGCTGCCGCCGCCTTGAGATTGTATAGCGCCGACAAGCCGCGCAGCAGACTGCAAGAATGTGATTGCCTTTCGTAAATCACCGTCCGCTACACGCACCAATTCCTCTGCTACACCGTCGTCCAGCCGCACGCTCTCGAGCGCAGCAATGTCGCTGACGCGCTTGACGGCATTGCCCTGGTCGAGACTCTTGAAGCGGAATTTGGAGCAGCGGGAGGCGAGGGGGTCGATGATGCGGGTGACGTAGTTGCAGACAAGGCAGAAGCGCGTCATGCGGCTGTATGTTTCCATTGTGCGGCGGAGCGCGGATTGCGCATCTTGCGTCATGCTGTCTGCCTCGTCGAGGACGATGATTTTGAAGGGTGGGCATGGGTACTTGTCTCGGTATCGTACCATGCCTCCTTCTCCTGTCCCGCTCTTGTCTTCTACCATGACGTTGTATGTTGGTGCTACGCTAAGTTGTTGGCGGGCAAAGTCTTTGACTTTTTGTCGTACAATGCTGATACCGCGCTCGTCAGATGCGTTTAGTTCCAGCACACGCGACTTCATGAGTTCGGGCCCGTAGAGTTCTTTGGCAAGGGCGAGGATAGTCGAGGTTTTTCCTGTTCCTGGGGGGCCGTAGAATAGCATGTGGGGTAGGTTGGAGGACTGCATTGTGCGGGAGAGGACTTGGATAGTGTTGTCCTGGGCTGTGACTTCGGACAGCGTCTTGGGTCGGCTGCAATGGTTGTTAGCCTTGAGTCCCAGTTGGTTGATACGTGGGGGTGTGTACTATTTCTCTACCCATGGTTGCAAGCGATTTGGCTCTTGCTTTGTTGTAGGGGCTTTTGAAGAACTCGCCTGCGCAGCGGCCTGTTGCCGGGCCTTAATGTTGAAGAAGTCAGCCATTGTGACTTGTGGTGGCTGCGTTGAAGTTGGGCGAAGTTGGAAAGCTAAAGTGCGACGCGTCGACGCGAACTCGCGAAAGCACGTTATTGCCAACCGTGCGGCGGCTCACCAATCACGTCACCATCACTGCATATAGAATATCATGTCGTGTGGAAGATCAGAACATTTCTTGAATTATTGGATCTAAAGCTGAACATTCCAGCTCGCTGCTTATCTCATGCATGCCACGCTCATCTTGGCGTCATCCATTCGTTCATCAAATCCATATGCCATCGTAACTGGCGCTCTGCTGCGCTGCCCATCATCGGTCGAAATTCGTACCTATGGTGTTAAGGGTCACGCCTCAGGAGTCAGACTAGAAATATCTAATCTACTTCCCATTCAGCCTAACCCCCTTGACCCGCTTAGCCAATTGTACTGAATCGGAATCTGAGCCATAGGAGGGCTGTCGCATTGTACGCTGGTGCTCCAGGGGAAGAGGTGCTGCAGCCCCCCTCCTGGCCGGTTGAGAGGGAGAGGGAGACTGATAAGAACGTTTCGGGGGGCGCTCACCACTTTCTTTGAGAATGGTTAGAAGAGTTGCCCAGCCTGGCGTGTGCTGGAGTGCTGAGCCTTCTGAGGTATCGTGCGTCGATGCAACCTTGAACAGAAGCGATTCTTCGTCCTTTTTACCGAATTAGTAAACACTGGCTGAAATCAGGAGACAATATACCTTTGATAGGATGCCCAGGTTGTGGATGAAGCAGAGCATGTGAAAGTTCGAAATCGCCTTCAGGCCACTGGCAGTGTTGAGAGCAAGGCCATTTGCCTTGGCATTGAGAGCCTTGCTAAGATGCGTGATCTCGGGCATTTCGCCCATGGCTTCGCGGTTTTCAATTGGAAACTTGCCACCGGTAAAAAGAGGGTTTGGCTGAGTGGGGAAACCATGAGTAAGTGTAAGAAGCAGATACTCAACTGGAAAGTCAGGTTTAGCAATTTCTTGTACATTTGCGCCATGTTCATTGATCTTTCGGTAGAAGACTTCAGGGATATATCGCGTGCGGTTGAGCGCCTCGTTGTCTTCTTCAGACTGAACAAGCATAACCTTGGGTTCCGCCGAAGGCTCGATGATGTCGGCGCGCACCATCTCAACAGCATCGTTTGATACCTGATAAGATGAGATGCCAATCTGACCTTGGTCGTCACCGCTAATAACACATGTTACAAAGTTAGATCCATGTCGACCGGTATCGCTCCATTTTGACGGCCGAGGATACTTTGCCTGATACCGTGCCGAGAAGCAAACCTCAAGTGAAGACAGATAGTAGGAGTCTATGTGTCGCTTGCAGATGACGGAGCCATCGCCCTTGTCGGCGTCGAGAAGATCAGTAAAGATGACACCGACTCGTTGCAGCCCGCACTGTGCGGCGATGTCGTCAATAACCTGCTCGTTATCCCAGTCACCCAACGATATCCCGTCTACTTCATTGATCTGCGGAGGCTCGTAGATGGTCTCAACCACAGCCTTTGTCCCTAGTGGCACCTCAGTGTACTCCTCATATCTGCCATATAAGAAACCCAGTCGTTGACAACCAGTTTGCCTCCAGAAGTTGATCAAATCGTCGACAACCTGTATAGATGCAAACTCGACGTGGTCCACCATGCGATATTCTTGTGGTTTGAGCGAGATGGCGCTGGGCATGCACTTTGTACAGATACCCTCTGGGAATGGCTTGTGTCCCGATGGACAGTCGGGTCGTACGCGGTAGTAGGGTTCAGTCAGAGGCGGGATGTAAGAACTTCCGAGCTCTGGTCGGTTCTTTGCCGAGTTGACCTTGCGGAGGTACGAGTGGAAAGAAAGATGCTTGATCTTCTTTTCGGCAAGGTACTCGGGCGAGTAGGGCTCCAACGGCATGCAGTAGTCGCACATGCCCTTAGGCCCGTGGGTACACATGCGGGCGTCGCGTTTGCGGGGAATCTTGCCATCTTGCCTGTCGAGCCGATCGTCAAGTGGAGACTGTCTGACCACTTCCCATGGCTTCTTTATAATTTGCGTGGGGCCATCGAGGGGCACAGAGGCAGTTTCGGAGGGTTGGACGGGCTTGCCATTTAGTCGCGCGCCGCCAGAGGCAATTGCAGCATGGCCATTCGATGGTGTAGATTGCTCTTCAAAAGCGAGGAAGAGTTGTGCACCGTTCCTGAGGAGGCGTGAGCGGCGATATCAAGCTTGGCCAAGCTACTTACGACAGGTTCACTTGCTTGAAGCTCACACCTTTGAGATCTACGAATTTCCTCGCATCGCCACCCTGCGGGCGGTTGCTGACACTGAGGCTTTCGAGATCGACATTCTTGGGGAGCTTCTCGGCGATTTGTGGGAGAATGTCTGGGAAAGTATCCTCGGGCTGTACCGTCAATCTGAATTGGCCCTCTTTGCTAACGAACCTGAGTATCATGGCGGGACACTATCCGTTTTGGCGGGCGGGACAAATGCGTTGGGGAGTGGAACGAGTGAAGCAATAAAATTAGAAGAGGTTGTAGAAGGTAAGAGAGGTGTGGATAGGGACAGGGTCGGGGAGTAATGAACTGTGGTTGTAGACTGATTACACACAAAGTGACTAGGAGGGCGTCGAAGGCGGCAGAATGACGCGCGCGACGTTAGCGCATATGCTGGTTGTAGCGCGAAACCACCCGGCCCTTTGCCGAGTTGCGAACTGGCCAGATATTCTATCGATAACTGACCATACGGCGAGCGCATTCCACGACTACCTCGCCTTCACCCTCCTCCCCAACTGGATCTCACTTCTGAGGACACCACCGCTCCTTTAGCACTTTTGCACAAACATTTGCCGTCGCCTGCGACGTGTCCCGCCAACCAGACACTTCTCTACATCATCGATAGTAATTCCTGTGGCCCTCACCTGACGCCCACGATCCAAAATGTGGCCCTTTGACGCCGTCGACTGGCTTATGCTCACTGTGCCCTTTGCCTACATTGGTATACTGGCTGGCTCTTTCGGTGTCTTCACAAACCTATATCGCAAACGCAAGGCTGCCAACGCTGCGTCTCTCGAACCCTGGTTCCCCACCCACCTCCAGCGCAATGTCTACCTCTCCCTTCTGCACATGGAAGACCCCAAAGTGCCAGACAGCATCCTAAAGGCCGCCCTGCTGCGCCGGGCAACGGAAGATATCCACCGAATTGTCCAGATTAGGAATGCGAAGCAGGCGCTCCAGGTCCTGTTGCAGAGGGGTAGTGTGGGCGATGATTTGTGGCAGAGGTTCCAGCGCGCTGAGAAGGAAATAGAAGAAGAGCTCAGAGACGTTGTCAACGAGGTGAGTTTGCGCAATGCATTTGCGACATGCCGCATGTAAACTGACAATCTACAGGCCAATGCATTCGCACCAAACTGGGGCCAGACCATCTTCCAATCCGCTTCTGAAATGGCCCAGAACAACCACATCCGCGAGCGTCTGGCTGAAATTGAGGCAAAAGCCCCCGCTGAGAAGGAGTGGTGGGAGAACCGCCGGGCTGGCATCCAGTCAGAGTTCATGAAGGAGTTGGATGACGAGAAGGCGAAGAGCGAGGAGGATGGTGTAATGGTGGAGAAGAGCAAGAATTGAGTGCCTTGCACGTCACGGTATACTTACTTCAAGCCCTAATTCGAGTACATTTCTAGGGACAGTGGGGATGAGGGATGAGGCTTTTGGCGTTTTCCAGCATTCGGGTGGCGCATTGTTTAGAGGATTGCACACAACGGCGTCATAGGCGCGAATACCATGTTTTTTAGCTTGCTCAAATGTTGATTGCACTACTACCAAACGCCAATGATCCCATAGAGTACATGCTACTACGCTCTGCCATCCTAACCAATGGTTCTGATACACCATGTATAAAAGCCAAAACTTGTACAGCTCTGCCGCCCCCTCTTGCTCTGTATTCATCCTCGTCGACTTACACCTCCGTCTCTTACACTTCATTCCTTACTAACTTCATTCCGTACACTTCATCTCTTACACTCCAGTTTTCTACTTCCTCGCGGTGGGTCCGCTAACACCGGCACCAATGACGCTGGGAAGCTCCTCAGCACCCATTGAGTAAAGCATGCCAATACCGGCAGAGACGAGGAATGCCAGAATGACACCACTGCCGACAAACAGCCAGAACTGAACAGAGATGTCCTTCTTCTGGCAGGCGGGGCCTCCCCAGTAAGTCACCTTCTTCTTTGATTCCATGCCCTTGTCCTCGCCCACATGCTCAACTGTAGCTTTGCAGGCACATCCGTAGCAGTCGACCGTCTCCTGGTTGGATCCAGATCCGCGGCCCTTGTGGAGGAGCGTGCACTCGCCATGGCTGGAGCAGTTGTGAGTCTGGCTTTGGCAAGCGTCTAGCGACTTGAAGCAGACGGGGAGGATGCCGCGCACGGGTCCCTTCTTGTCCTCGCTGCTGTCGGCCTGGGCGATGGTAGGGAAATCTTCAAGAACTGGAACCTTTGAAGTCGAGGGGATGGCGGAGAGAACGGCTTCCGGGTTTTGGCGACGCGCCTCCATGGCAGGGACATCGTAGGTGCCCCAGGGGTTGGCAGCACGCTTGGACTTGGACTTGGACGAGCGCGGCATCATGACTATGGTTGTGGAGAAACCAGCCTCCTCTGCCTTTTTGTTGACGTTGCTCAGCACCTGGGCGAGCTCCTCGGTCGTCATCTTGGAGCTCTCGTCGATGCGCCACATGTTGAGGTAGCCATTGTAGGCCTTTGACTTGGTCTTTGGGGGAAGCGCCGATTCAATCTCAAAGTTGGACTTGTATGTTCGCTGCTGGGGGTCTGGGTGTTCTGGCAGCGACTCGGCCTGCACTATAAAGTCGTGGATGAGGCGGTCGTTGTCAGATGCAGAGGGCGCGCCGGATATAGAAAAGTCTAGTGTGCGATCTGATCCGTCGTTGATGATGACTGCAAGCTCGAGTTAGCCGGCAGCTCTCCGTGGCCGTGTTGGCCGTTGCCTCTGCCCACCTGTTGGTTCATCTTGGTCGGCATCCTCTGCCCAGACTAGCAGATGCGCCTTGGAGACGTCTGTAGCATCTGCTCCAAACAGCGGCTGTCGCTTTCCTCCGTACGTGTTGATGTGGTGAATGGTGTCAGCATCTGCATGCTCGAGTGAGTGGAATCGCGACAGGCCCAGGCGCTGGGCGATGATAAGACGCGCAGTCTCTGGGCTGACGGTTGGCCGAGCTGCAAGCACGGCGCAGGATAGTGATGAGGCGAAAAAGGCCCCGGATAGCTTCATCGTGGGTGATGGGTTGGGGTTGGAGAGATTCGATGCTGCGGCGGCGATGATGCAGTCGCCGGGGAAGCTGAGACCCAGATCTCGGAACTTGCCTTGGACGCCTCCGAGCCTATCGCCCACGCCTATAGCCAGAGCACCATTTGTCCACAACATGCACTCTATTCTTTGTCCAGCAAACTTGACCTGCATTTTTTGAGTCTACATTGCGCCTTCATGTCGCTTCTTGTCACTCACTTCTCCCATAATCTCTGCTTGCCATGTCCAGGCCACTGATGCTTCGGCGCAACTTCTCCCTCTTGAACAGGGTCCCTCATTCTCACATAGTGCGATCGGCCGCCCGCCATGGCCACGACAGCATCATAATCCAGCGAGTGCGTATACGCCGGCCTTTCTTTAGCAAGACGTGAGCATTCTCACAAGTCCACTCCCGCCACATGCTGATTCACTTTGCAGACGTCTCGTTGGCACAGTCGCCGTCACTGCCGCAGCCTACGGCCTTGTCCAGTACTTGGGCCTAGAAGTCGAGGTTGAAGAGGTACAAGAACAAGGCAGACAAGACGGGTGGGAAGTGGCTGGCTCTGAGAAAGACGATGAAGAAGAAGAGGACGATGACGCCATTCTATTCATACCCACGGGCTTCTCGCGACCACGGCCAAGGACATTCTATAAAGGCTCAGATGCAGAGTGGAAGACGTTCAAGGAGATAGCCACCAACCGTGAAAGAGCGACTAAGATACGTAGTAAGTAGGACTTGGTGAAGGAGTGATCACTCGTCACTAACAACACCATAGCGGAGTTGATAAGCATAGTGCGCAATAATGCCCAGAAGAAGGCAGTGTTCACATCTCGCGTTGGCAAGGTTGATACCTCAAAGGGCATGTCATGGGTGGAAATCCAGTTCCCGAATGGCCCACCAATAGAGTACGAACGCCCAGGCATCGAGCTCACTGAAAATCTGGAATGGCGCAAGGCGACACGCCCAGTTGAAGACGCCCACCACCGGCGCCTGGAGAGAGTATTGTATCCGAAAGAAGCCACAGATGCTTTGTACAAAGACACGACAAGAAAGGCAGAAAAGGCATGGAAGACGTTTAAAATCTACATGGGCTGGGACCAAGAATCAAAATCAGAAACCGTCCAGGAACTCTTCCAACGCATCTCCACAAACCGTCAGTCCACGGGCGAATCCACGAGCATAGCCCCAAACCCCTTTTCGGCCTCTGCAAATGATACCCAGCGACCGGGTGCCTCACCCTCACCGGCCCCCGTCGACGGCCCCGCAAGCATAGGTTTCGACCTCCCCGACCCAAAAAGCATGACGCTAGACCTGACTCAATTCCGTGCCGACTTTGCCAAAACATACAAGCCCATTGTACTGCAACCTCCCCGCGGCGCATTCATTGTACGAGCTCTCATAGAAATCTACGGTGACCGCGCGCGCTTGACGCTCAACGTGAGCGCCGTGTACGACCCCAAGCAAGGCCGCTACGTCCAAATGACGGCAGTCCCTTGGAACTATGTCGAGCATTACCAGGCTCCAAAGGGCGGGTCTTGAGCGCGCTTCCCTGGTTGGTTGTGTGCGTGTGCATTGTTACTGGGCGTCACTGGGTTAGGGAGGGATTTGAGCGCTAGATATTCGATATCCTTGCATGGGTGGTGTCTGTTTTGGCGTAATAGCGTTTATGAGCGGTATCATGGGCGAGTAGATTATCTGCTTGTGTAGACATGAAATGAGATGTTTATGCTTGATGTGTGTTTGTTTTTGTTTTTTTCCTTGTGTTGAATTTTGTTGTGTATACTACTAGCAAGCATGGTACAATAGTAGGTATATTGTCATATTATGTATGCCCATCTCTCGTGATTTATTTCTCTCTTTGGTAAGGTCATCTGTGTTGCTTGTTTCTAAATACTGTTGCTGTTGCTGTTGCTTTCTCTTCTCTGCAGTGTACACCTTGCTTTTGTATCAATGTTTACTTCACATTGTTGCTTACAATTCGTTTCTCGCCGTCATTCTCGCCCTACGAAGTCAATCAGACCCATAAAATTACTTCAAGTCAATGGGAATTATATGTAGGAAATATCTGCGCAGCCATACGAAACATTACCCTGTCCATCCCAAACCCCTTTATTCAATGAGTAATAGGATGCTCTTTTACATCATCATCATACCTCTTAAGCTTTGTTGAGCCAACGTACCATCAAGTCCATGACCAATTTTCATCTCCAAGTCTTACATATTATCTAACAATGCAGTAGCACGTAATACCAATTTCCTTCTAAATGCATTTAGAAACTTTGTTCTATCTAGGTCTACCTGCCTACGTAGTGACTGTACAATACAGCTTCACTACAACAAAAACGAGACATGATGTAGATTAAGCACTTTTGTAATGTCTTCCTTGTTAAATGTAGGGTGTAAGAAATAAAAAAAATGAAGGATAGAAACTAGGCATCCCGACTTCCTACATTCAAGATGAAGTATTGGGGAACGCTCTTGAAATTTTTGACTTTAACTTTCCGATTACTACAGCTTGGAGGTTTTTGAGTATTGACTCTGGAGAGAAGATTCTTTAGAGTCTTCTTCTTCCTCGTCTTTGACTACTGTTTATCTTCTGAATCTGCATTTTCTGTATCTTACACAACTCTATATATTCAAAGCTATATAGCAACCAAATGCATGACTATGTAAAAAAGGAATCATAGTATGTAGATGACTACATTATGAAGTTGATACTTCCCACTAGTTTGGGTTCCATTTGCTTTGGGGCTATGGTTGTCGAGCCCATAAAATGGGAAGATGTGCAAGGTGAAGGCATTTGTGCTTGTGAATGAAGGATTTTGTATCCCATTGGTACTTATAGTATACAGGTTCCCTACCTGTAACTGATAAAAGAAGAAAGGCAGCAAATGTAGTGTGTGGATTTCCACTCATCGATATTAAGCGCTGAGTGCGTGGGGGCGAAGTCCTATAAATACTACCCGTTTTATATTTGGTGACGGGCGCCTATAACGCAAGCGCATTACAGCTCCATAATCTAGACTTGAGTATCCTAGAATAGAGTATGCGATGTTTGAATAGAACAGTGAGGCAGTGGAAGAAGGATTCGGGTGATTCGCTGCCGCCTCGTCTCGGTCGCGAATCCTCAAAATGGTCAAGAATATGGCCTGACAGGAGCACGACTTGGCAAACAACACGCCACCCCAACAAACCTTATGTAGTCATCAACACTTTGTTGTTGCGAGCTCTATAGTTACTTTGTTTTTCGAAAAAACAGACGCGATACAGACTGACCTAAATACTCGCAGTACAGCATACGAGTCACTGACCGCATCGCACAGCAAGACAGCACGCACCCAGCGTCGTATGCATTGGCAGTGGAGTTTGTGTGGTTCCAAAACCGTCGTATAGATAATAACAGCTTCGTGTTATAGTGCTTGGGTCGTTGTAATGACGCGGCTTGGAAGACGCGTACGTTTGGACACCGCCCCGGCAGCCCGGACATACTGTTGTTTCTCAACTCGGGCTTGGAAAGATGACAGGAGATATCGTACATGCATGCTGCATGGCTCTCATTAAACGCAGAATATGCGTAAATGGAATATATCGAAGTAGGAGCCGGGGTGCACTGGGGAGCACGTGCTCTACAGTCTACCCAGAGTACATATGCGCAAGTATACCGCCAGTAAAGGCGTACCATACTACGTAGATAAGCACGTGGCTTGATAATTGCCCCCCTCGCTTCCTGAAGCTGGTGTTGCATTGCATCGCCACATCGTTCCTGGCCCATACCGTATGGGATTGCTTCGGTCCTTCTCTTTCGAGACGTGTATCTAGAGTACGTATCCGCTCGCCCCGACCTTCCTATTCGTGCCCAACAAAACATCTTCAGGGGAATCGGGCCAAGATGTATTAGTGCAGCGTAGCTTTTGTACCAAGAAAATGGCGTCGGTAGTGGAGGCGCGAGTGGCCCCTTTGGCGAAAAACAGTCTGGGCGTTCGCCAAAAATTCCGGTGCCTTCTAGCCTCAGCGCGAATTTTGGCGGGACCGAGTGTCTCTGGTGCTGTATCCCAAGTCGAGGGTATTGGTAGGTACTTGGTAGAGAACGAGTCAGGCGCTTCTAGGCGCCGGATAGTGGAGGTACGAACAACGCAAGCGCCTCGAAATGAACAAAGAAGCAAAGAGGTTTGGTGTCAAACGGGCCGAGGGCCTGGATGTGCTGATCGGCAAAGGGTGTACCTGACAGCAGCGCCTTAGGAGTCCGACGGTCGCCACTCGTGTGCCAAGTACACGATCCAAGAGAGAAGACGTAAGTCCGTCAGTAATACGATACGCATAGTCGAGTCACCGCGCATGCACACCGTCCAAAGTTCTCGACCATGCCAACCCCCACTGTGATATCACTCACGCATCCAGACGTCGATATGGCGAGCAGGGAAACACATCCTTCAGCTGTGTTGAGAGCGCCACGTAAACGCCGGAAGGGAACGAAGGCGTGCCGCTGAGCTGTCGCCCGAATCCCCTCCCAAGCGCCCGAGTCAACTGGAGTTAGCGGGAGATCATGGCCCAGCGACGCAGTCTTGGTAATACTGATCTCGTACATCTATGTTTGGCATGTACAGAGAGCAGGTGAGATTGCGTATGCACCTTTCAAAACGCAAAAACAGATTTTCGTGATGCCTGGCCACAGTGGGTGCAGGAAGGAAAAAATGGGGGCCTGACAGCTGTAGTGGTAGTTCGGGGACCGGGACTACGACGATGGTTTGGATGACAGCATCGAGCATGGCGTGCGTGGTAAGGCGTGGTGGGCTTGCAAACTCAAAAGATAGTAGGATCAGCCACGGGACGTTGGTTTTGCCGGACAAAGTACTTCCTGAAACGGACTGGTGGGCACCGCTAAGGTACGCTGTGTGGGTTAGACGGCCAGCCAGAATCTTTTCCACGTCGGAATCCATTACCAAACATCGTTGCTGCGGCCGTACCTGCGTAGGCACCCTCTGATCTAGACAAGGGTTCCTGCGTTAGGCCCCTCTCAACGCTCTTCTTCCCCGAGCAAACCCACAGAAGGTGGTGAAAAGCCTTTTTTTTCTTTCTCTTCGTGCATATGCCGCGCAACTCTACGTGGCTCCAGCAACTTGCCCGGTAACAGTGCACCGTTGCTGTCGTGATTCGACGACTGTGCCAAAATGCAATTTCCACAAAGTCTTAGCCATCGCAGCCCTATCGTGATTGACGAATGGCTAGACCCCACAGCCGACGCCGTGACGCCGGGCTGACGGGGCGTGCGGGAGAGTTGATCCATAATCTTATCGCACGTGTGGACTCTCTCTTTCAGAGTCGGCACCAAGTCTTGGATGAAACACCGCATCTGGGCAAACATAGCTTGTGCCATGTGTTGCTTGCCCGCATCCGTGGTGGGCCCTTTCTGGGCATTGTCAACAAGGCTTCTTTGTCCCATTCTCATTTCGCTACCTTAGTATAAGTATCGACATGGCCCCCGGTTCATGATATTCACTCCAGCTCAGCACTCCAGCAACTCAGTCTCTCTTTTTTGACATTTTTTGTCTATCCACGCTCTTGCTAGCACCCCACATTCCTTCTAGGACCCATCAGGTATCACACTCCTTCGAAAATGCTTACCTCGACCTTCATCATGGCCCTTGCTGGCCTCTCCGCTCTCACTGAGGCTTCCCCTCTTCTCCCCCGCGCTGGAGGCAAGCGTGGTATTGCCTTTCCCAAGCAGCACAATGGCGTTTCCGGCTCCCAGTGGGCTCGCATGATGGCCCAGTCCTCCAAGATCTTCTGGATGTATGACTGGGAAGCCGTCATCGACGGCGATGCTCCCGACCTAGAATACGTTCCTCTGCTCCACTCCAACCAGGAATGGTGCGCCTCAACCTGGGCCAACAACGTTGCCAACGCCCGCAAGAACTACAAGGTCTCCCACATCCTCAGCTTCAACGAGCCCGACCAGGTCGGTGGAGGAGGCTCCAACATGGACGTTGGCACTGCCGTCGACACCCACCGCAAGCTCATCCAGCCCCTTGCCAACGAGGGTCTCCGCATTGGCTCCCCCGCTGTTACCAACGGCAACGAGCCCGGCAAGGGCATCAACTGGCTCAAGTCCTTCATGGACGGCTGCAGCGACTGCCAGATCGACTTCGTCGTCACTCACTACTACGCCTGGGCCAAGCCCCAAGACTTCAAGGACTACCTCAACAAGTTCCACGATACCTTCAACAAGCCCGTCTGGGTCACTGAGTTTGGTGTCACCGAGGGCAACGCCGACGAGTTCCTCAAGGACGTCCTTCCCTGGCTCGATGCCCAGCCTTGGATCGAGCGCTACGCTTACCACATGGCTGCCCCCAGCGACGGTAACCAGTTCCTCATCAGTGCCGATGGTGGCAGCCTCTCCCCTGCTGGACAAGTCTACGCCTCTGCTTAAACACGAGAAAAAGTTTTTTCTCCTCTCTCTCTCTCTCTCAACGACAAGCATACGCATGATGGTGGTTCTTCCCACCTTTTCCAGACCATGCAAATGACGATTTTACGATAAACACCTGTTCGCTTCTTGTTAGATACCATTCCATGATGTTGTTCTTTTTAGACTAGCTCTTTTGGGGTCTCCAGCATCCCTGAAACAATATCATTCCATTCAATCTTTTTTACCCCAATCTGGTCCACCTTTATGCTACTATTCTTTTAATTCCCATTGTGATGTGTTTTTCCCTTTATCACGGTCCCATTCCGGCCTCTTTTTTTCCTTTCAATGCATAAACCAATGACGCAAACAACTCCATGCATATAGGAACCCACATACTCCTTCCAGCAACAGCAACCGTAAATCCCCATCTCCGAATTTCCTCGGGAGGGGAAACAAATTTTTTTATATTCTTGGTTCAAACGCACAGTCGCAGTTGCGCTCAGAGTTTATTAAACAAAAAAAATATTAAATAAAGTATGGGGGGTTGACCCGGGGGAGAGGGGGGGGTAAGGAAAGGAGGAACACTCAGACCATGACATCCAACCTCCTCCCCCGCTCAAAATAGAAGTATCAAGTCCGCGCCCCCCCCTTCCCGCGGATAAAGAAAAAAAAAGGAATCAAAAAAAGAATGGAAAGCGAGATCTACGCGGGAGACAAGGGGGAAAAGGTTCCGGAAAAGCAAGATGCCAAAAAAAAGAGAGAGGAAGAGATTGAAGGGGGGTTCGTGGGGTTGGGTGGTAGAAGTAACTATTCGAGAATAAAACGGAAGGAGAAAGTATGAGAGAGACGCAAGGTACGCTCAGTTGAATTGGTTGGGGGGCAGGGGGGATTGAGTGGAATGCTGTTTATATGGGGATTTACCAAAACAAAAAAAGAGAACAGGAGAGTTGCATTACGGTGTTTATTATTGGTATAAATACCCCGATTCCAGGCTGGTTGGGGAGTGTTGTTGGCCTGGCTATTCTGTTCTGAACATGATTTGAATCTCCATTCGCATTGACCGAATTGATTAAATGCTAATAGTACCATCCCCATCTACATGACCTGGCGCTTTTGTAAAGGTTACATTATACACTACATGTCTTCCATCTCACAACATCCCCCGTTAATCCTCGATATCATCATCACTCAATACCAAACCCGCACTCTTATCCAAAAGCCCTGATATTGCCGATTCGGGCTCTTGGGCTTTGGTCTCGAACCTCGCCCTTTTCTTCTTCTTGGGCGTTTCTGCGGCGGGTTTATCCGTAGTCCACTGCTCCTGTTCGCCTGGGTCAAGCTCGTCTTCTAATTCGTCGTCGTCGTCGTCACCGCCGGATAGGGCACCCCCGGTAAAAGCAGTGATTTTGCGAATCTCGCGTACTGTGGCGGATGTTGATGGAGATGGCATGCGGGATTTATAGAGGATAGTGACTAGATAAGGGAGGCGCTCGAGGAGCATCTCGTAGCGGGCTGAACCGCCACTTCCAAGGAGGGGCGGGGCTGATGCGTCGTCGCCGCTAGGGTCTGAGCCTTGCGTCGCCGCTGGTTGGGACGATGGACCGTTCCTTCTCCATGTGTGTACACCTCCACTGGGAACCGCTGCTTTTGGTGCGCCTGACGCGATTGAGAAAAGTTCACCGCGTTGCGCGCGCGACACCCACATATCCAATAGGCCACCAATTTCCTCCTGCTGCTTCCATATCCGCAGCGATGCTGGGTAGTACATGACGAATGCATTGCCTTTGGGCATGCCACTACTCAACCCCTGTCCTTTTGCTTTGAGTCCCATGATGCCTGGAGGAGGAGCCATTCGCTTTACGGGATGTGGCAGGTTATACAACAGGCCTCGTACACTCGTTTGGAAGCACATTTCATCTTGGCGCAGGTTGTCCGCACTTGTCCCTTGGAAACTTCTGCGGCCACCCCCAGCACCAAAGCGATCTGGAGAAAGAAGATCAGCGTCAGAGAGAGCGTTTATACATCCTTCGATGGAATCCATGGTTTCTTCACTGTCTGCACCTCCACAAGATAGGACGTAGTTCTCATGCAATGCTGCAACAAAGGTCTGCGTATCGGTTCCTAGCTCATCGATAAGAGTATCGATATTGATTTCGGAAGCTTTTGGTCTTCGTCGTTCGGGAAACCAATTTGGTGGGTGCGCCAGTGGTGCTTTGGGATCTTCCGGGATACGCTTATTATAAACAACTTTGCCTACCGAGTGAAAAATACCCAGAGTACTCTCCCGCTGTGTCACCATCTCGAGTGAATCTTGCTCAGTTTTGGTCATGGGGGTATCTTTGGCCGTCTTCTTCTTTGTGAAATTGACCTTGGCGCCCCAGCCCTCGGCATCGTCGCCACGTAGACACAAGAACTCGAGCGATGAGATTGCGCTCCGGATATCACCAAGCTCGGCAAGGCGCTGGATAGCCTGTGGACTCAGGGTCTTTTTTCGACCTGACCTCCTGGCCTCTTTGAGAATAATTGTGTCCAGCGCTTTCGTCATGTATGTGGGTGCAATTGGATTAAACTCGACAACGCTCACTCCAGGATGAGTCAAAATCTCAGGACCCAGGAGACGATGGGCGGTAAAGCTGTCTGCTGCTGCCGTGTTGGTGGATAAGAGTGTCTCAGAGATGATCATAACAATTGGTGTCACTGAGGATGTGGAATCGGCTTGACTTGAGAAGAAAGCAGTGGCTGACTGCGTGTTTGCAGCAAGATACTTGAGGACGGAAGAGCGGAAAGACTGGACGGCCGACGAAGTACGTGTGAATGTATTGGGAAACTCCTCTACTAGGACCAGCTGCTGTTTCCTACCGGCTTGAGTGGCAGGCGAAGCCGTCTGGGTAGCTGATACTTGCGTATCAAAGGTCAGACTTCCAAAGGTGCCAGTTCTCGCAACAAAGTCTTCAAACTGAGCGGTGATGGAGATGAGACTGTCGGAGGTCGACATGGCACCAGTGGGGTTCTTCCACTCGTGCATGTCTATATCCAATTCTTTGGATAGCAGGGCCATGGTGGTGGTCTTTCCGCTGCCAGCGGGGCCCTTGAGCAACAATAGTCTTTTTCGCGATTTGCCACTCAAGACATCAGTCAGCCATGTGCGGACATCTGCTACTTTTTTCTTGTGCACGGCAAGCTCATCAAGGGATACGGGGCCAAACTTTTCGGTCCATGGCCGGCCATCTTCGGCATCCCGCCGTGCTGGCTGGGAAGATGACGATGGAGGAGGCGTGCTCCGGGCCCCGGTTGCTGTTCGCAGGAACTTTTGGCGTGCAATCACATTTGGGCCATGGTCAGTTGGCGCTGTTGCGGCAATGGGCCGTTTGCGCACAGGAAGCGCATTGGATACTTTGACTGGCTTTGCTTGGTCCTCGTCATAGTCGGAATCGAAGATGTCGTCAAAGTCCTCGACTGATGCAGCTGGCTTCTCCGGGCTAGGAGTGGGCTGGGATGACTGGGAGCGGGCGACGGTGGTGAAGAAGGACGTTATAGGCTTGTAGACGGGCCTTTGCTTGGCAGGGGATTTTGCAGGCGACTTGTTATTAGTAGTGGATTGCTCGGATGGATTTGGAGAGGCAGCACGTGTGCGTGACCGGGTCGGCCTCGTGGTCTGACTGGGTGTATGCGAGGCAGAGGGGATGCTTGTTAGTGCGCGCCCCTTGCGAGCAGCGGGAGGCGGTGAAAGGGAGTCGCTCTGCTCGGAGTCGGACGAGAGCACAACGGGCTTGTTCCGGGCCGACCGCAGCCTGGCCATGTTTGCGCCCAATCGCTGGATATGGACAAGTGGTGGGTGCCGGGCAACATTGTCGCACAAGTGAGAGCGGGCGTGGGAGCGAGTCTGGGTCGCTGTGTCGTCGTGGGCAGGGTGGGAGGGTGGAGGGAGGAATAGAGGCCGAGGCGCGCTAAGGCAGGCAGACAGGCAGGCAGGGTGGGGCGGCAATTCTGCCTCTGCTGCCAGCGCATCTTTGCTTCTGCACCTTCACCCACACCGCTGCAACCATCCATGTAGCGCCCTTGAGATGTCGAGGCTGGCATGCAGCTAGCAACACGACGCACAATGATGCACTCCCCCCTTGTCCTCAACTGGCATGCACCCATCGGTTCGCTGCACCGCTCTGCTTCGTCGCAAGTACAGAGAGAGGCCGTAGTAGCCGCCTCGTTCCAATGTCGGTTCGTCTCTCCGCTGCTGGCTATTGTGGTGCTGCTGATGATGATGCCCGTACACACATGCCCACATAGACACCCACCACACGGCCGACATACCAAGTACTCGACCCCGACATACTCGAAGCCGCCCGCGGTGGCTGGGAGCCGTAACAATCGGTGCGCAGCAGCCTTGGGCCGCTCAGATTGTCGATGAGCTGGCAGTTCCCTGCCCCTCGTCCATTGGCCGGCACCGCCTTTTCACTCCGTACCATCGTAGTTCCGACTTTGCATTGGCGCCTTTATATACTTCTTATGCGCGTGCGCAGTCGTCGTTTTGCTCAATTTTCTGCCATTATGCCATGTTCACAAGCACACAGCCCTCTATTTGCAAGTGCCCGCGTCTTCGGTGAGAGGTGAGAGGGACATTGATCAGTTTGGGACTTTTCTCGTGGGCTCTGGGCTGTAAATAATTTTCTTCCGTAGTCAGCGGTAGTCATAACCAACAAGAAAGAAAACCAGCGACATCAACACCAACACCAGCAGCAGCAGCAGCAGAGCAGAGTCAGAAACCAGTGGAGTCTGCGTCTCCACCTGACATTGTGCCAACCAACACGGGGGGAGCCAGTCGCTGACGCGCTTGAAATCCAAATGCCAGCAGAGCCGCCAGCCACGGATGCAATGTCCGGGGAGCAGTCAGTGCTATCCGCTGCCAGAGTGGAGCCCTTGGAGCCGACCATTCCCAAGCACTTGGAAACGTCCACAATTGCATCCTCAACTCTCTTCGACAGTTCACAGTCTAATCCCCACAGGGCTGCAGCTCCATTAGCTGCTGAAAGCACATCTGCCACACAACAAGATCCACTCATGGACGCACCACGCCAGCTTGAACCCCAACCTGCACCCGCAAAAGCCACACTGTCCGACATAACCAACGACAACGCTGAGGAGATTCAGCCGGCCGCCAATCAAAACGACCACTCTTTACATGATGAGTTAGACGACTATTACTATCTAGAAGCAGGGTCCATTCCAGACCAAGAGCCGCCTCTGCAACAAGAGCCAGACGCCATGCAGCCAATCCAAGATCTCACCTCCACAACCGTGCTTCCAAGCCCAGACCTCGCCCAAGCCCCAGATTCACCTGGAGAGCCGCGATTAGATACGGCGTCCCCAGACGAACCTGTTGTTGCCATGGCGTCTGAAGTGGAACAAGACGATTTCGCACAGAGCATTCCCACCGATGCCCAAGGGGCAGATGTTCAAGAGGAGGAATTCTTAACACCTATGGGGGAAGAGCGCCCAGAATATCCTCAGCCGCTGAATTTCACTGCTCCCATGCCACCCACGGCTCCTGTCGCTCCTGAACCACAGACGCCTGAGCCAGTTGAGCCGGCAGATATTGCTGCTCCACCTTCTGATAGCGAGCCAGCCGAAGAAACACCATCAGCTCAACAACTAGAGCCTCAGTCTCTTCCTGATATCGACAATGATGCGGAAACCCCACCAAATGATGAGCCTTTTGACGCGCCCGAGGAGCAACCAATACCACGGGAACTTCCCGAGGCGCCACCTGTGCAGACTGAGTCACTTGCAGATGAAGCTTCAGAAGAGCATACTGTACAGATGGAGACACCTGCAGACGAATTTTTAGAAGAGCGTACTGTCGAGTCAGCCACAGTGCCCGTAGTATTTTCCCAGGACGAAATGCCTGAAGCTCCTGTTCCATTTCCGGAGACGCCCCCAGCACATCAAGAATCCCATCATCCAGAGGAAGAAGCAGTAGAGAATGACCAAGTCCAGCAACACGAGACAAGAGAAGTGAACGGATTCCCTCCTGAGGCTGTCCAGGACGCTCCACAAAACGACGCCGAGGTTCACCGGCAAGGAAATCACCAAGAGAAGCCGGATCAAGAGAGTTCTGAACAAGAAACAAGAAGAAATGAGGAAACTAGGGCCAAAGAACTACTAAAGGAGCTCAAGCAAAAGATACAAATGAAACAGGCTCGAGACGAGGCAGAAGCTGATGGAGTAGCCGAACAATCACATGAAGAAGCCAACACCATGACCGAAGCACAGGAAGCGTCCGAAACAAAGCAGCAGGAAGGCGCCATCCGCGAGAGAATCGAGAGAGAGACTCTAGAGCAAGTCACAGAGGCCAAGAGGCTTCTCGCTCTGATGGAACAAGAAATACGTGCCACTGAGGCTCAAGATGAGATTGAAAAGGCTGCGCTTGCCGAGCGGGCCAAGAGGGAGAATGAGCAACTCGAGTATAAGCAGATGCAGCGGGAGAGAATGGAGCAACGTCGAAGGGATATGGAGGCTCGGATGGCTGCAAGTGGCACCACAAGTGCCCAGAAGGAAGCTGACCAAGTCGAGGCTGCACGAAAGGCTATTGAAGAAGCATCACGTGCTCGAGGACCCAACGGCGTGGGATCTCGTCCCATGGCATCCTCACCGGCTCAGGAACGGTGGCCAGGTGATGAACTACCACGCGCTCGGACGCCTCCGTCGGCTGGTTATCGTGCACACGACCGGTCTCCAAGCCAGTCTGATCGACCCTTTAGATCGTTCCGATCTTTTGCGCCACATGCACGGAAGCTTCGAACGCAGGAAGCGGGTCCCAACTATCCGCCAAAACCCTACTCAGTCTCCCATTTTCTCGAGGATGACATACCAGCTGCACCGAGTCCACCCATGAGCAGGGTACGGCCAAGGTATGTAGTGCAGTCCCTTTTTCCCTTGTTCTCCAGCCACGTTGTTCGGCTCTTCTCCGGCCAACACCACTTCACGGTCCTCACTGTAATGTGACGTCTTGCCAAACGCCGGACTGGCCTAATCACTAACAAACTTGACGAGCTGGCTGGCTGACCACGCATTTCCCTGTAGGCATGCTCCTACTTTTGACAGCGACGACGACTCAGAATACAGTCTAATACCAAATGGGGTAGCGCCTGGGCGCCCATTTAGCGGTGAAGCGCATGAAGTGTCGAGGGCCCACTTAGGCCCGCATCAACCACGTAGCGTTTTTGCATCCCGAGTGCCTATCGAGCCGGCCTATCCCGCCCCTCCACCAAATTACCATCCTGGCTACCATGCCCCGCCATCCCAGCCGCCTCACTACCCAGATCATGGCTATGGTATGAGTCAGCAGGGTTGTCCCGCCCCTAACCCCAATCCTTACGGTCCTTCGTCACCCTCTTCCTCCTCTCCATACCAAGAAGCATGGAGCCAATACCCACCAGGGTATCCTCCTTACGGCAGTCCACTTCATCATCGTCATCGTCAGCAGGACTCCTCGGGTTCTAGAGACTACCCCTTGCATGCTTTGGAAGCCCGACCTGCCATCGAAGACGGGTCTGGTGACGCTTACACTCGTATCGCGCAGAACATACCTGACCTGCCTGCCTTGCTGGCCCGCTACAAGGACACTCACACCCAACTGAGCGCAAGAGAAGACCTACTCCGCCGAGCAGGCGCCGAGAAGGAAGAGAAGCTGAGAGCAAAGGATGGTGAGATTTTTGAGCTGAAAGAGAAGATTCGCACCTTGGAGAATAGGCATACAGCCGAGGCAAATCGACTACACTTCCAAATTGGTAACCTGGAGGAGCAAGTCCGGGACCTTCGAGAACAGATTGCCCAAAACAAAAAGGCAACACAAGAGGCCGAGGAGATAAAGCTCGTCTTGAATGCAGCAATGAAGTCGTGGGAAGACAGATACAGAGAGCTGGAAGATGTGCACCGTGCCCTCGAAAGGAGCACGGCGGAGGAGAGGGAGCGAACATGGAGGGACTTTGACGAATGGAAAGCTACGACCAACACCAAACACGACGCCGAGAAGATTGCCCTTGCTATTCAGTTCGACAAGAAGCTGAAGAAGGCCGAGGCCGCCGCCGACGAGTGGCGACAAGAAGCCTCTGAGGCATCTGAGCTTCGCGCAAGGCTTGAAGAAGCTCTCCAGCGTGAGCAGGACAACCAAGAATCTTGGGCGACCGAGCGAGAGTTGCTCATCAGAGAACGTGACTACTTCGAGAAGACGTGTGCGGAACAGCGGGAGCTCTTGGAAACGCACCACCTGCAAACCGAAGGCCACACCGATATCTTCAAAAAGGCCGTCGAGGAAGCAGCCAGAGCAGATGAGCTTGCGCGAGAAAAGGATGAACTAATGAAGCAGTATGAACAGCTCAAGGCTGAGAGTCAGCAAGAGAAGGAGATCATCAAGAGCGTTGCCAGCAACCTCGAATCCGAGAAGTCCAGGCTAGAGAAGATGATGGAATGCTACGGAGACATTGCAGAGATCAAGAGCAAAGGTGACACCTACTAGTGAGTCATTCCATTTTTCTTTCTTTTCCATCACAGATGTTCGTCGCGTTGCTATGGCTGCGCGTGCCAGAGGGGGTGCCACGGGGTCTCTCGAGCTGGGATGTACCCCGCAGTCCCCCCTGCAGCTCCATGAAACATACCGAAGCCCCTCAGCCAGCTCTATCGCCAGTGTCTATACGCACTCGCTGGATGTTGCCATAATTTACATCATGGCGGCTGTGCATTTATTGATCTCGCGATATATTACTTCTTTCTTGGCATGGAGCTGGTCGCTAACTTATCACCTACAGTCTGACATCTTTCACCCATCTACAAAGGCAAATCATCGATCTGGCGAAAACTCACTTTGTCCACCTTCCAGTACGACCACCGCCAGAGGATCTTGGACAAGTGCCTTCTAATCTACCCTCATTCATCGGCGACACGATAGCTTCCAGGTAAGGAAGAAGATTGCAAAAGAAAGATTGCTTACTAACGAGACGACCCCGTCACAGACAAGTTCGAGCGGCATACATAGCTCATACGGTAGCCAAACTCATCACTTACCGCGTCTTTGGACCCTTCCTGTTCAGTCTTGGCCGCCGTTATGACAAAGCTGACTCGCTATTCTCTTCAATGAGTCACCACATTCGCGAGAAGAGTACACGGAAAGAAGCAATCTGGCGTCAACAAACACTTCTTGCAGCCTTCACGAGCTCTGGTGCTAAACAGCGCATCAACACTGCTGCTGGAACGGTCGTAGAGGAGATCGTCAACGCCATCAAACATTTTGCCGATCCAAGAGAAGAAGAAGGTATCAAGATTGCAGTGAAACGAATTGTGAAGCTCGCTGCGGAGACATGGAGATTTGCACGTCTTGAACGTGAAATGATCACGGCCGTCATGCCGGCTTTGCACGATGAAGACCACCAATTTACCGGTAGCCAGTATTGGCCAGCTTACAAACCAGATGACACTGCAGGTTCTCCGATGGACACCTCCACTGATTCGCAACCGAAACTGCTTCTGAGAATTTTCCCTGTCGTCTTCCGAGAACCGAAGCACGAGAACTTCCAGATCAACGGAGAGCCGCGCGACGAAGGCTGCGTTCTCCACCATGGACTGGCTTTGTACGACAATTCCGAGCCCGTAGTGGCCAGGCTTGAAGAGCTGAAATCTGCTGGTTTGCCATCCCATACCACTGTATTAACGAGTCCGACTGACGAGGGCAAGTTTCCGGCGCCGGTACGTAACACAACCCGCATGTGTTTACCTGACCCCAACGCTCACCTTGGCATCTCCGAACTTCACCTGATCACTGCAATGCCCACGAACTACTCCAGACTTTCCCCGAGACGACGATTGCATAGAAACGCTTGGCTAACATCTTGCTATCGCAGGCATGCCCCCCTCCCCGAGACGAGCAAACAAACCCCCCCGCTCCTCGTTCCCCGTCCAAAACCGAGTTGAACACGGCTGAGAAACCTACCCCACGGCTACGTCCAACTTCACCAACAGAAAAGAATGAGAAACCTGAGAAACCCGAAAAGTCTTCGACCATCAAGCGGGCACTAAGTCTTTTCTCTGGCCCTTCGTTGGGTGACAAGGGCGTGAAGCCACCTCTCTCCACGTACTCACACATGCCGCCCCCACCTCCGCCGACGTCTATCTTTACGTCCCCGAGGAACATTATTGGCATGCCAGTCGAAAGTCTGGCTCCTTCACATACACCAAATTCAAAGAGGAAGCCGCCACCGCCGCCACCTAAGCCTGTATCCAAGCCAGAGGTGCCATTGCCTTTTGCGGAAACTCCACACCATCGCACATTGTCTGAAAGTGCTGGCTTACCCCCAATCTTCTCTCGAACCCCACTTGACGAGACTGTCCCATATCACGATGTGGAGCCCGACACCTGTCCTCCCACACCTGTAGATACAGTATCTCCAGTCTACGATGCCATAGACGAAATCGAGAGTCTGTTGCCTCAACGGACACGCACTTCCTCCACCACACACTCACGCCGTCGTTCTACACACACTCGCCGATCTGGCGATTCGGCCATTGACGACGAGCTAGATGACTTTGCTACTCCTCGACCTGAATCTATCCGCCGCAGGAGCACCTACGCTTCTAGTGTCCGCACACACAAGTCTGCTGATACAGAGCGCACGGACAAGAGTGAGCGTACAGACAAGAGTGAGCGAACGGATAAAAGTGAGCGTACAGAGAAGAGTGAGCGCACCCACAAGAGTGAGCGCACTAGCCGGACAGAGAAGAGCGATCGCTCGGATAAAACCGAGCGTGAGAAGGCTCGCTACTTGTACGAGAGTCGAAGTGCAGGCGTCAAAGCTCTGTACCCCAGTCCTGCGACTGGGCAAAGTGCAAATGGAAGCACCAAGAATTCTACTCGAAGTGAAAAGAGCGAGCGGAGGAAGGAGCGTGGCAGTAGGGACTCGACCAAGGAATCGAATTCCCTCAGGGATTCGAAAGAATCAAAGAGGGAGTCTCGTGAGATCAGGAAGATGAGGAGCATTTCTGATGCTGGCACTTGGGATACGAACAGTGTCGTCACGCACAATGATTTCGCACCTACAACAGTTTCCACCAATGTTCCCTACCCACACGCCTATGACACAAGGCGGGACTCAAAGGAGGTGAAGAGGGAATCAAAGGAGATTAGGAGGCAAAGAAGCATCTCTGACGCTGGAACGTGGGATACCGCCAGCGAGGTTACTCGATTTGCGCCGCCTACGACCGTATCTACAAATGTTCCTTACCCGACTGGCGTGTCCTGGAATCTGCGACGAGCAAGAAGCATCCCCGATGACGCTACTTGGGATACTAGCAGTGAGGTTACTCAACGAGCCCCTGAAACCACTGTCTCGACCAACATTCCATATCCTACGGAATTTGGCCGCGAGACCAGGAGAATGAGTGTCTCTGATGCTGGTACGTGGGACACGGAAAGTGTGTTCACGCAACGCCCTCCGCCGACAACGGTATCGACCAATGTTCCGTATCCGACCAACGCCTCCATGACTAATGTTTCTTATGTGCCTCCCTCACCACGGCAGATAAGACGACTCAGTGTTTCTGACGCCGGCACTTGGGATACCAATACTGAGATCACAACACATCGTTCCCGCCCCCCACCTACGACTGTGTCGACGAACGTTCCATACCCGACCAGCTTCTCCACTGACGAGGATTCTTCCGTGCCAACATCGCCACAGCTGTCAAGAAGACTTAGCGTCTCCGATGCTGGCACTTGGGACACCAACACGGAGATTACAACTCATCGCGCTGCGCCAACGACTGTGTCAACCAATATACCCTACCCAGCAGGGATGCCTTATGAGCGAAGAAGGCTAAGTGTCTCTGACGCTGGCACATGGGATACCGATAGTGTTGTGACACATCACCGTGCCCCACCTACAACTGTGTCAACCAATGTCCCTTATCCTAGGGGATTTGGAGGACCTGCATCTTCAGTCCACCTGCCTGGACCCTTTGAAAGATTGAAGAGAGAGCAAGAGCAGCACAGTTTTTCTGATGAAGGCTCCGACTCCGGCACCTGGGATACGAGCAGTGAGATCACCCATGCCAACAACGGGCCTTCTACAATCGTCTCAACCAATGCGCCCTACAAGCCTGCGAAGCCAGCACGACTTGAAAGGCCAAGGGTCTTGAGAAGTAAGACCAGCGTATCCGACGCCGGAACTTGGGATACCAACAGCGTGATTACGAATAATGACATGAAAACGACCGTTTCAACGAACGTCGCATATGCAGCTGAACGACGATCTCGCTAGACCCACCTAGCGAAAGGACATGAATTCATTTCCAGCAGTTTCGTTTTCTCCGGGTGTCACGCCGCGAGAACATTTCCTTGTTGTTGTTTTTTCCTTGTTCGTTATTTGACTTTGATGTTTGTTTGTTTTCTGCGCACGCTGCATGCTTTGTTGGACCATCGCATTGGTTACATGATGAGGAGTAAGTGGAGATGAAATACATGAAATATGAATATGCACATGAAATACGAATACAACGGTTGAGCAAACACGAGTTGAAGACAGAAATGCATTAATTTGTAGCACGGCGTTTTGGGTGTTTAGCATGCGTTCTTTAATCCGCAACTTAGATCAGTTTTGGTAATAGTCAAATATACAAGATTATTTTGCGGACATGGCCTTCTAGTCTTTCTACACGTGACAAGAGCAATTGGCGACGTGCTTTTAAATGTGAAGTGAAGGAAGAAGCCCTTCAGGCAAACGCCGAGGCCAGCCCGCAATCGCCGAACGTCACAGCAGAGCTTAGAGCTACCCTCCAGAAACAATCCACACAACATCCCAGCACTAACAACCACTCTGTCCACTCTACCAAATCGCGCCATTACGCGTCAATTGATTGAAGAAATCACCACAAAGAAACCCGCAAAATGACCGAACCATCCCCAAACCCTGCGCCAGAACACGACATGGACGCTCCGCTGCTAAACGGCGAAGCCCAAATGCAGCAGCAACTCGCAGACGTAGAGATGGCAGAGTCTACAAGCGACCAACCGGTACCTCTCTCCCCTTCCACACATATTCCCTCCTAGAAGTACTCTCTTTCCTAACTCTGAAAAAAACAACAATGTAGCCCCAAGCAGAACCCTCACCCCCATCCCAAGCACCTCCCCAGCCAACAACGACAACAACAACACAAACGCAGCCGCCAACACCCTCGCAAACAACAACAACAACAACAACAACAACGACGCCCTCAGCACCAGCGCCTAGCGCCCCAGCAGCACATCCCGCCACGGCCCCTGCATCGTCGCGCAACTCGCCGTACCCAACGGCACAGGCGCCCACGCAGCCGATTCCGCACGGGAGCCCGACGCGGGTGTATTTGAATCAGCATGTGACGCCGTACTTGCTCGAGGCGATGAAGCATCTTGCGACGCAGGAGCCGGAGAAGCCGCTGAAGTGGTTGAGTGAGTTTTTGGCGCAGAAGAGTGCGGAGGTTGAGGGGGCTTGAAAAAATGTGGGTTGGAAATGGGGGCATGGTTTGGAGATTGAGCGCGTTGTACAGTGAAAGGTGGGGAAATAAGAGGGAATGACAGGTAAACATGGTAGTAGTAGGGTTACCATGGTATACAGAGGATACGGAGCAGGTATAGCTGGTGTCCATCCAGTGCTCAGGGCAGACAGGCGGCATATACGACAAAAAAAGATACCCAGATCAAACAGGCATCAACTTCATCACACACACGACACACATTCTGGCACCTCGATTGCAATTGGGTATAATTTCATCTTGAGATGATGATGCTTTTTGATTCATTCCGTATCGTGATGCTGCTAGGTATCCGTAAAGCAAGCATCCATGCCCATAAACTCCACATAAATGTCTTCCATCACGATTACCAGCCACACCAATCCTACATCTGCTTATGCGACGAGGGTAGAGGCGGTGGCGCTCTCGTACCTCCAGGTAGGGGGGAGGGCACCGACGGTCTTGTAGTAACGGGAGAGCTAAGAATTGTTAGTTCGAGTCTCTTTTTTTTTAAGAACTATATCTTCGGCTAAACTTACACGGTGGATACGGGACTCGATGAGAATGAGGCGGAACTTGCTGTCCCTGTCCTTGCGGTTGGTCTGGAGGTGCTTGCGGACGGCAACGGCCTTCTTGATAAGCATGTAGAGGTCCTCTGGGATGTCGGGGCTCAGGCCTTTATGCGCAAAATGTTAGCCTAGACCAACAAATGCAGATTTGTATAGCGCGCAGATGCTCTCACGCGGGAGCAGAGCTGTGTCGACGTGCGCTTTTTCATGTGTATAGGGCAATCGTACCGCTCGACTTGAGAATGCGGAGGATCTTGTTGCCGGTAACAACCTTGACTTGGGCGACACCGTGAGAGTCACGGAGGATCTCACCGATCCTGCAATTCCCGTCAGTATATGCAATTCCCCCCAAAAATCTCTTTATCGTAATGGGTTCGGCTTACTGAGAAGGAGTAGCACCCTTCCTGGCGAGCTTGCAGATCTGGTCGACAACCTGCTCCGGGGTGGTCTTCAACCACGCAGGGGGGTTGCGGGAGTAGGGGATGGCGGAGGCTGATATGCCCTTTCCGTTGCTGTGAAGACGACCCATTTTGAATGAATGTACCGGGCGGCGAGCTGGTGGATTAGTACGGAGACGTGTGGAAGGCTTGAAGTCGTGTTGGAAGTTCGCGATCCAAGGACCAATTTCTCGCGGCTCGGCTAGGTGTGTGGTGGACCGTGCGCCGTTTTAGCGTCAAAGCTCCTGCTGCCAGACAAAAAGTCTGTCGACCCTCATCTTTTCACACTTCGCAGCTTTGGAACAGCCACCATGCAGAGAACATCGTCTTTGTGCTTTGTTGCAGCCGGACGACCTCCATGCTGATGGCGCTGTTGATGCTGCTCTGCTGATGCGCTCTGCTGAAGCGCGCTATTAACACACAGCACGAAACAGGTCATATTCTCACAAAGGTACGTTCATTTTTTCATCTCTTTTCTGCTACAGCACAGTGATGATCCACCAAAATTATTTTCTGATACCTCTTATTTTAGGCGAGGCCTTAACGGGTCTTGCCGGTGCATTCAACTTATATTCTGAAATATGCTATACCCATCTACTTCTTCACGTCAGGCCTCGAAAGGAAACATGGACTGACTAGAAGCAGATTTTGAGATTAGCCGTTGAACGAGCTCTTGTCAGGTAGACAGTTTTCTACTGGTATCTGCTACGGTTCTCTGAGTAGCTCTCTATGTGCTAGTCCATAATGAGAGTCTGCTTTCTTGGACTTATGAGCTGGGAGTTGTTCACATTAGAGTTCCACACGGTTATGTAGCTACGATACCTAATATAATACATTCCGCAAGATTTTTTGATGGCATTGATCGAGTGATGACAGTGTGCTTGGATAGACACGGATGGTTCAGCACTAACTACAGCCTCATTGTTCCTCTTGCATACAGCGAGACTTACAAGAAGCCATGCCAAGATACTGCCGAACTCTATACCCAAGCTTGTACTGGATGCATGAACTCGCTCAGTCATGTCATATCAACTAGTACGACCGGAAATAGAGGTTAAGAGGGCAAAGTTTACCAAAGTAAGTTATGTTTAGCATAAGATACTATTATTTAAGGTCTTTTGATACATAAAATATAAATAACGTGGTTCACAAGCGAATCGGTCGCGCCCCACCAGCGCGTCAACGTCGACACTACATCACATTATGTCTCAACAACGCAGTTACTTATCAACTTATTCT